AAAAAATAGAGAGACACCCAAGAACAAGATTGCTTCAATGTAGACGCCTGATGTGGACTTTGTGATAACATGACTGAATGAAAGGAGCGAACCAATTACACTCAACGTCAACATCACGCAACCGAGACAGCTCCGGAGGGAAATGTCTCATTACAGGTCATTCGGAGCAATTTTCAAAACAGTTGTTTGTTTTCGGTAAGAAAATATGTCTGATACACGAGGTAGCAACCATAGTAACTGTGTTATAATTCCATCTAGGAAAGTTTATTTATTGTCATTTTCCGTGCTCAGTAAAAGTAGTGAACAGTTGGTTAACAAAGTTTTAAAACATATTTATCAATCACTCAGCATATGAAGTAACTTTATAATGTACTTACCATAGCCGACTTCGAACGTTGATCGGTCAGGTCGCACAAATCCTCGCCTTTGTGTTTGTCCCTCTGCTCCTTGTGCAAGTTCAGTCGCTGCTTGCCCCTCTACTGGGGCCTGAAGTTTCAGGATCTGTTTTTCGAGGTTGATTTTGCGTTTCCTTTATTTGTGTGTAGAGGTCATACAGGTTTTTTGTGATTTCGTGGGGATATAGAGTTAGCTTCGTTCAAGTCTCAGCTTTCTTCTTGGCTCTCCTTTTGCCATTTCGTTCTCCTTTTATTTGCTTCAAGAATATCCCAGTCTTATAGTTTAGTTTCTTTGCGACACAATCAAAGGCAGATTCTTCAAGTTGATAAAAGATCCCTCGCAATTTAGGTTGAAGAACTATAATAGAATTCTTGTAACCTATATTCTTATAACTCCCTTCCATCTTCCTCCAAGTTCCTATAAAAGATACTGTCTATTTGCAGAGAAGAATTATGATCTTCACCGTCGAAAAATGGTGCAACCATATGGAAAAAGTGAAGGTTGGACCGGAAGTTCCTTGTGCTCTGCAAAGAGCTTCTGGTCCAAATTATAAATATTTTCCCCGGCCATTTTCGTATTTGGGTTCATGCTTCTATCTTTTCACGTGCACGGTTAGGGTTAGGGTTTTGTCCATAAATTCGGACACAAAAGCGCCCATACATAAGGAAGATGAGTATCGTTAATAAGCTGCTTCAGCTATGAGTGACTGCTGCTTATTTTTGAAGAAAAATAAGTCGAAATCTTAATGAGGTTCTTTTCCCACACCAAAAGTTCCTGTAAAGCCTAGTTTTGGAAAATAATAGTCTACAACTTCCTCTTGATCAATTTTCCCAAAATATGACAATAAAGTTAATTTAACCCTATGGCGAGGAAAATCTATTTCACTACTTTAGCAAAGCCTACTCAACGTATTTTAAAACTAATCATAACCATTACAATTTTCTCAAGTGTGATTGGTGCATCAGCTGCTTTATATTTCCCAAATTACTCTGTACAGTTGTGATCAGGCAGTGTAATCGGACAGTTGGCTATAATCGGATACCTGTAATCGGACTGTTGAAGCAGCCAATCATACTAAGTCCGCTCAGCTAAATCCACACAAAGTTCATCTCCTATCTTACACCACGATGAACAATAACCACATATTTTATTATATTTCATTTCATATCTTTGTCTATAGGAACGGTTACGAATCGGCTAGTGGTTCGAGTATGAACCGACTTAAACTGGGTACAGCTCGACTGAATGTGGGTACAAAACGAGCATGGGTACAAACGACCGAATACCGCACCGATAAGAATTCATTTTGAAAGGATTATTGGGCCAGTTAGAGAATGGTCAGTTTTGAAAGCTGCTTGGCCAGTTCAAGGAATGGATTATTATCCTCTACCTGGCAGGCATTGTCATATTGTCAATCTGACAGTGCCTCTTTGTGGGCCCCAGAGAAAGCAAATGAAACTACCCGGTTTATAATTACGAGTGATGTCCGCGTGTCTGATCAAGAAGAAAGGAATTAGCAAATTTATTCGTATTTCACTTTAATTTTGATACACATCAAGAGATTGTAAACTTCTCAGTTAATAATCTATTGTGCACATTTAATACATGAATCTACTCTATTAATTTCCTGCCTTGTCCTCGGCCTTGTCTTCCTTTCGTCACAATTTTGACATTGACAAGAGCTGTTCTTGGCTCTGATCCTGCTGCATTTTACTCCACATTGTTTTTTTTTTACCGCAATCGCTGCAACTATACAACAGTGCATATCTTCCCCGCAGTCGATCTTAGAATGCCTTTTAGTTTGTCTTTATTATTCGCATACCTCGCACGCCTAGCACCACGACTCGCACGCCTTGCACCACGACTCGCACGCCTCGCACCACGACTCGCACGCCTGGTACCACGACTCGCACGCCTGGCATGCGTATTGGTAATATTATTGAGATGCTGTGGCGAGCAATTCGAGCATGATAGTATAATGAAACCGCCACAATTAGAGGGGAAAGAGGCGAATTCGGCAAAGTTGGCTGATTAGAACAGTAATTTCGCATTAGAACAATAACCTTCTCTCCTTACTTAAGGTTTATTGTGAAATCTTTATCTCGTAATGGTCTTGATATATTGCAAAATTAGTCATAAATCGCCAAATAACTCATTTAAGTATTATCAGTTGTATTTATATGAATACAGCTTGTTTTCATACTTGTTGGCGTCAGTTAAATAAACACATTTCGGCGTCTAAAAATATACCTCCTCAAAGGAGAGAAGGAGTCGTTGTCAGCGGAGATGGAAATTACTTTTATCGAGCTGTTGCCCTTCGGAAGGATAAATAAACGATAAGGAACCCCTTAGTCAAGAGGGCAGTTTGTTTGAAAAAAATTCAAAGGTTTTCATGTGCCAGTTTCTTCCTCGAACTCCATGGAGGATTTTGTCAAGAACAGCAAGATCACAGGAACTCCGGCAGAAATTGTGGACGTATATTCAAATATGCATCGCTCCTAAAGCGACTCATTTGTACCCACTCATCGTCGCAGAAGAAAGCCGGGTTCCGCATTGAACCGATTCTGAACGCTGATTTGCCGTCTCTCATTCATCATAACAAATAAGCAATGTAGGTGTTTAATCACATAAATTTATCATGATTATATTTGATGCTCAAGCAAACCATTTCAATCTCCCGCTGCCTCATCGAGATCGCTGCGGTAGCGCTCTTTTGTATTACCAAGCCAAGAAAAAAATCTAGCAGTGGACTGAACATACGTAACAAAAGCTGAAAAGGCTTAATTAAGTTTATTCTTGGCGATTTATGGCCGATATCTTTGAATTTCGAGATTATTACGCTATGTCAATTTCACAATGAACCTCACGGACCTTATGCATGGAGAAAAGTTTATCGGTAGATTTTATTACATATTTCATGGTTCATGGTTAATCAAACAACTTACACTACCCTTGCAACAACACTGCCTGAATTCATTTCTGATAAAACTGCGGCGAAAAAGCGACGATCTCGCTCCAAACGTCGAAACAGACTTTCGCCATATATTTCCCGATAGAAACTTGCAATTTCTGCCCCACGGCAATCCCAGAAATCTTTTCTCAAACACAAGGATCCGATTACTGGCAACTCATACATTTTAGTGAGCTGCACTTTGAAATGCTGTGCAAGTTGGTCTAAAAGGAGCATAAGTAACACCTTCACTTATGCTGACAACAAAACCGCGGCTGCATCATCCAGTTATTGTTATCCTTTTCAAAGAGGAAGGATGACTTTAAAAACGATTTCAATTTAAAAGATTCGTCTGGTTTCCCCTCAAGATAACTGGAGAACAGGTGTGCAAGATCATTTCTAAAAATTCAGCTGTGTGACTTTCCTCCCACATACCACTGACATGTTATTTAGCACGGTTCAGGGACAGAAATTATTTGCTGAATGACTTCGCCAGGGGAAAACGGAAAGAATGTTCCTCCCCTTCCGTTTCTCCTGGGTGGGGAGGGTAGGGCTGTTCGTATGCTACCAGTGAGTGTTCTGTTGATGTTCCCATTCATCATGAAACACTTACCGTAAAATAGTATAATTCTGCTTCCGTGGGATGCCAATTTTCTTTAAGGGATGCCAAATTTTTTTCTTTAAGGAAATTTTCTCAAGTTTTTCTGATGTCTTTTCCAAAGTTAAACATGAAAAGTTGTTTTGTTAAACACAGTTTAATTTTTTTTTTTTTCTTCAACAAACATTTAATGAATATTTTTGACAAAGCAAACTTGAATCCAATGGAAAATCAACAGTTCTCTGTTTATAATTTTCATTTCAGTTTAACAAAAAATGTTAGGATTTCTTTTATAAAGTGAAAGCCCCATCATTCTGAAAAAATGTTAGGATTTCTTTAAAAGCGTTCCGATTTGAGCGTTGTAAAACCAATCCGAAGTAATTAGAGTTATCAATTAAAAAGAAAAAAAAAAGGAAAAAAGGTCATCTGTCCAAAGCGCGGGAAAACGCGAGTGACGAGTTGTTAAGTAAGCACGTGATTGATCGACAGGGTGGCGCGAGTTTTTGAGACCGATTGCAGACCGAGGCAACCCAATTAAATCCTCGATCTATTTCGACAATCAATCGGTAATCGCCTTCGGCTGCATTTAAACCTGCAAGTTTTCCCTAAAAAAGTTTTCGTTGGTGGACTAGATGGAAACTTTTGACTATTTTCTCATTAATAAGTCAATGACTTGTCAATTTTTTAAAAAGACACCTGTAAACGAAATTAACGAGTTTTCGACAAGAAAATTCACCACGGAAAACTTGCAAGTAAAGATTCGGCTTGACCTTAGCGTTTGAGCTGAACCAGATGACAAATGTGAACAACAAACAGATAGAAAACCAGATCAAGTTTTCACTGTCGTTTTTTATTTTGTTAGAGGTAAATGGACCTTGTCACTTGCACGAACGATAAAGGGATCTTTACAGTTGCCAGAGGACCAGCTTGAGCATGTCTCCGATACATATCTAAAAAAACCGTCGCCTGGCTGACGCATGGTTTTCTCACAACTATACATATTTATACAACAATAATAGTCGTTATAATAATAATAATAATAATAATTACAATAATTTATCATATTATAAAAATGACAAATGCTACGTTTCCGAACAGCCTAAGCTATCAGTCACGCAAGACGTATCTGCTTCCGCCAGAGGATATACTGTCACGCAAACATCTTTGTTTGCATCATCTGGCAGGGAAACGTTGTCGTCATTAGTTCTCAATGGTCTCTGAAGCAATGTAGTATGTTCATGGTAATGCCTCGGAAAGCCTAGACTTTTTTGTCCATCTCCTTCGCCTGGATCTTCAGTTTCAGATTTTTTCCGTATATTACACGGTCTATGCTTCTCGGAGTCACTATCAGAAACATGAATTTGTGCTGAAGTCACCACTTGTTGATAACTGGAAAGACAAGCGTCTGAAGGATATGACGATGTCAGAGAGCTATGACTACCCTTCAGCGAGTTCTCCGATGAGACATTGTCGCCTGTGGACGATTTCTCTTCGGAACCCGAAGCGTTTTCCGAGCTTGACACAAGATTCATACACGGCCCTTGCGCAGACTCTGATGAAGTAATAAACGTTGCCGTCGATCGTGGCGACTCGCGGCTGTTTTGAGTGCTACTTGAACTAGACGATTTTAAAGGAATGTAGCTGATACCTTCGTGTTCAAAAGCCTTCGCATTCGCCTCGTCACAGAGCTCCGGTTCAAAATGCGACACGTGCTGTGGACGTCTTCTTGGAGACGCCTTCTTTCCGCAGGAAAGGGTATTGTACTGAATGAAGAGCCACACCATTGATGTAACCACAATGCAGGACACCACTACAACAACAATGATTCCAAGAAACGTTTTCTTATCGTACTTCACGTACTTTGATTTGTTCGTCTTTTCGGTAGTGCCAACGCTCGTGCATTTTTCTGTAAAACAACAGAAATGCTTACAAACCTGGAGAAGCATTATCCAACAATAGCAAACTAAACTAAAATATCTCTACTAAAAGTGAAACCCAACGTTTACGTCTTTCTTTCCCATGACACTCTTTTCGCTTATAACTTCTTCTTTTCTAACAGTTTACTTTGGTTCATAATTGACATAGGGGAAATATTTCCACTTGCAGCGTCGTTTTAATGTTCAAACTGTTATTTTTTTAGTTTTTGTTTTTGTTTTCGTTTTTGTTGTTTTTTAGTCTTGTTTTACTTTTTGTCTGCTTTTGCCGTGGTGTGATTGTTCTTGCTTTTCGTTAGCAAATTGTTAAATGTCTTTTTTTTTTTCCCCCAGCTATTAGAAATCAAATTCAGAATCTGATCTGGAGGGATATTGATCTCTATGCTATCTACAAATTCAAGGTGGGGATGATTCAATGACATTCACACCCATACCTGGTTCTACATAAAGCTCTGTGCTCTGCTTGAGAGTTCCCTCCGAGTTTGAAGCCTCGCAAGAGTACTTGTCGCCATCGTCTTCCTTGACCTCGGTTATAACCAGCACTTGGCCTGCTTCAGCAAACATAATACGGCTGCTCCTCTTTACGACCCTACCACTCTTAAACCACGTCACTGTGGGTCCTGGAGCACCAGTGACAAAACACTGCAGCACCGCATTGTCACCTACAGTCACCACAACTTCACTTCGTATAGGATGCACAACGTGTGGCGCTTCTAGAGACACCAAAAAGTACCTAGTGTAAGCATACCTCTTAACAGTGAATCCTAATTACGAATACACATTTCTCCACAACGACAAGCTGGAAATTCCCACGCGAACAAACGAACATTGATCAAATTTCAATACACTTGCATTAATGCTACTTTCAAATCAGCGAACAGTCTGCTAACAAAACTGCGCGAGTTTACTCTTTGGTGCTAGGATCAATTCCCTAAGTATTTTAAACCCTTCAGAATAATTGTCTGATTTTGGAGGCAGGTCTATCCTCATAATGAGAATAGCAGTCCTTGGGACCTGTGTAGTAGTGCTTATGAGTGCGAGAGAGGGCATATCAGTTAAAAAGGGGCTTAATGGAGTGTACATTGCAATTTTCATTTAGTCATGGTTTGATGCTACTCTGGTTTAAAGATTTAATGAATGTAACCGAAAAGTTACAATTCACGGACCCATCGTTTCGACATTCCTGCCTAGTGCCTTCATCAGGGGTGATCTAATCGCTGCAACTACAGGTCCTTTTCTATGATCACTAATTATCTGCCTATTTTTCTGACGAGGTGTAAATAGACGTCAGGTAGTAAGCCGCCATAATCACGATTTAAAGGAGCGTGGGCGGAGTTCGTACGCCAGGCTTCCAAACAAAGGCGCTGGTGGTAACGTCGATTAGTGGTGTTAATTCTAGAATTATCCCACACATTTGTATGGTTGATTAGGCATGTGTGCTCCGACAAAGCTGAATTTTCTCTTTTGCGAAAGAAAACCGCCTTTTGATGCTCTTTCAATCGTGTACCAAACTAACGTTTGGTCTGTCTGATATACTCGTGATCACAGTCCTTGCACGGAATAGAATAAAAAGCGTCGGTTCGTTGTTCTTTTGTAACAGCATCCCTAGGTTTGGCAAAGATATCCCCTCAAGTCTGAAAAGGTTATTTACACCTCGTCGGAAAAAAGGGCAGCTAACTAGTGAGTATATAAAAGTACCTCTTGTTACAGCAATTAGATCACTCCTAATGAAGGAAATAGACAGGAGAGTAAAATTCTCTAACTTCTCGGTTACATTCATTACATCTTTAAACCAGAGTAGCATCAAACCATGTCTGATGGTCCACCTGGTTACCTTGTGAATTTTAATTTTATTTATTCAAAATAAGACATAATGAGAGCCACTCACTTAAGACAGTAACAAAGGCTGATGAATTGACAGAACCAGCATCATTTGCTGCGCTGCAGATGTATTCTCCAGTATCCTCTGGTTGAGCATTCCTAATCACGTACACTTTCCTCTCAGGCGAATAATATATGCGCTTCTCACTAGCTGCAGGGAAGTTTGAACCCCCATCTTTTTGCCACGAGACCTGTGGTTCTGGGGAACCGTCAGCTTCACAACGCAGCTCAAAAGTTTCACCTCCTTTAACAAATGTGTCAGACGGTTTCTCTTTGATCCTGGGGAAAACTGGAAAACAAAACAAACAAGATCGAAATTACACGAGATTCCATAAAATTCCAGGACCTATTCCAAGGCATTTTTTCGTTATAGATGTATAATATCGGGACCACCACTGACGAAGCTGGTTTCCAAATAATATGGCTACTAAGTCAATCAAGGTATTTCTTCTATAATGTTCTCAGAAAAATTATTATCAATAACCACACTCACATTTCAAGACTTCCAACAACTGGAAAATGATATAAGTTTCCAGATTACCAGAATGCCATAAAGGTGAAGTTGTTTTTATGTTTTCTTTTCTCAATACTCGGATTGGTATAGGAAACTTGTACAGTCATGTGCCTTGTCAGATAAACTAGCAACAACTACAACTTTATCACTTAAGTTTTCCGGCGCATATTATGGCAATTTTCATAACTTAAATACAACAAAAATAAAATCTTGAAAAAGAAACTTATTAAAACTGAAACATTTTTACAGCTTTGTCATATGCAAATCCAATTTCACCTTTCCTACAATGTGTATATAACACAAACATCACAATCAGTGTTATCACATAATGAGTTTAGCCTCGGCAGGTACAGTTTAATTCAGGATGAAGAGGAGGATAAGGAGGGTGTTTCTATTCCATGTAGACTATCTAGGAGCACTAAACAACAATTTTGAATAATATACAATACTTGAAAACTTAAAAAAAGGAATCAGAAGCTTCTGACAAAGAGTAATCATACCATAAGTATTTTAATATATTTCCTGTCTAAAGTAAAGATTCTGTTTCTTAAGCCAGCTCTTTGATCTTTATGTATTTTATTAATACCCAATAATCGACACTGTGTCAAGTTTGTTAATTAAGCTATTGTTAAACCCTATATGCAGATATGATCTATATGTTTGTTCCACTTACCAAGCACTGTGATTTGAGCTATCTTTGACTGGACAGGTGTAAAATAATTTGTTGCCACACACTGATAATTGCCACTGTCTTTGTTTGTCACTGATACCAAATGAAGCTCGCTGCTGTAAGTAACCATTTTGCCATCACTGGTCTGTAGAAGGGAACACATGTTCAAGAAACCAAGCAGGTTATTAAGTGAGTTCGATAGAGATTGATTTTAATAGCCCACAATGGCTTGTAATGGTTGCCACAGCACTGAAAAAGGAGCCATGATTCGCATTGCCTCATTTCCTGGCCCACTCTCCCTAACATGCATACTGCCCTCTCAAAAATGTACAAAATTCAGATCCAACCATTCAATTGAATGACTATAGTCAGCCACATTGCCAATCTCCCTTTCACTCCAAAGATCTAAATATATTCTTTGCACTGTCTTCAAAACAGCTCTTGTAACTTAACTTCCGAGAAATTGGTGTTGAAAAAAAAACCTCCCCTAACTGATACTTTTTCAACTCCAAAGAACAAAGATTTTATCGAACCTTTACACCCTAACATCAGTATGCATATTCTCCATACTGTTCTCTATACATTCACTAAGGTGCTAACAAGAAGAATTTGTTTCACAATTAAGGGCTTCTACAGTTGAGGATCATTTACTTTAGTTTTGTGAACTCAATGTGTGATTCAGAGGGGAGATAGCAGAGGGAAATTACAGTCTAGTTACTCTTGGGGGTCAGAGGGTGAAAAGAGATTCCTTTTGGTTACTCTTGGGAGTGAAAAGAGCATGTGAAATATTAACAAGTTATTATTAATTAAATAATATTCAAGTAATCTATATCACACAAGGAAGATAACACCATTTCCAGAATATCCCATTACAACTAACTCACCAACCTGAGCATGGCTTGTGATGTCTGCACCTTCCAGAGGCTTGTTGTTCTTTGTCCAGTTAACTTTGATTGTACTATTCCTCTGCCTGACCACACAATGTAATGTAACATTCTTACCAAGCAGAACCTTGTGTCCTTGTGGATGTGTTGTTATCTCTGGTTTGTAATCATTCTTGTCTAAAAAATTAAAGGCATCAACATATTATCTGATTGGCTCATGGGTTGGATACATTTATAAAATTAAAAAAAAATGCACAAGCCACAATTTGATAGAATGAGCTTCATACTGGTAATTTAATCACAGTCTCCTAGGCATGTTGAATAATCATACAATGCATTTCACCTGCTGTATGTCCCCGGTAGGAGCACACAAATCTCATTATATTTGGCATTTCATAAAGGAGTAGTTCTCCCCTTGTTATGGGTAATTGTTGTTGCTTCTAGAAATCTCCTGACTGCTGAGTCATGCTGACTTGCATACCATAGAACTTTCCAAAACATCTCATTGAGTCACACATTTATAATGTAAAAGTACTAAAATAATTCTTATGACAGCTTCTAGAATGTTCCAGAACACTTTGTGAATATATATAAAGACTCACTTATGTAGTGGTTGGAGTAATTGCTGTTGTCGCATTGACAACTGTTTTGAAAGCTATACCAAGAGAGAGAGTTACTGCAGAAGATCACTTATTTCAAGAAACTTTGGAGACAGCAGTGAGATTGTGTTAGTGGTGAGCTAGAGTATAGACTGTGGTGGGCTTAATTAAGTTAATTACTGATAAGTATTGTACTGCTTTTGATAGTTGCCCCTCATTAAGAACATAACTTGCTGTTTAATAAAATTGAGTTTGTGGGATTGTAGTGTTTTTCTGTCAGTTAGATTATACCACAACACCCTATTTATTGTAATTACTTTATGTATAAACAAACACTGAGGAAGTTTGCTTCAAAAAAAGGAAGAAGTATAATCACAGTTCTTTGCAACTTAGGCCTCTTTAAAAGAGGAAAGTTCTGACCTAGAATCAACTGGGCTGTTGGAAAAGAAGTCCCATACTGTTAAAATCCTTACCACAAACAAATTCAGATGAACTGAGGTTAAAAATGCTTCTTCTTTCTACTGGTTTAGGGTGTAGGCAAACAGCATGTATGTTTGATTTGAATCCTTCTGTGTCTTCTTCCTTCTTTTTAATCCATCTAGGTAGCCAGTTGAGGTCACAGTTACAAAGAAGGTGGGTAGTGTTTAAATATCTGTGAAACAAGAGAAGGTCCTCTCACATGAGCACATTCCAAAATTCATATCATGACACCCCTCAATGTGTATTTAAACAAAACAGATAGAAGTAACAGTTATCCAACTTACAGAAATTGTAGCTCATTGGCCTCCAAGAAAGCATTCTCCTCAATATATGCTACAATATTAGCTGAAAGGTTCCTAAAACAGAAATGTCACAGTGAAACACATGTTTGACTAGAGGGAAAAATTGTAACAGAAACATGATTATTTAGTTATCATTAGGCTAAAAAGAGCGGTACTCTAACTAGATGCATTTACAAAAAAATAAATATACTATACTTACAAGCTTTTGACTGATTTAAGACCAGAGAATGCATTTGCTGCTATCCAAGGGATACCATTTCCATCAAGCCTCCTACAAAGTTTATAGGTCATCTCATTCCAAAGGTATTTAAAAATATTTAACTACACATCACACAATACAATCATCAAAATCAATTGCAATATACAATAATTCAGAGGTGGCATGCACAGTTAACTCTAAGACTCCCAAAAGAGAATTGCCTTTAGTTCTTCCTTAAAATAATCATTTCAAAGTATTTAATCCAGCAAGCATGTGATGAAAGGAGAAAAATGTCTCAGTGTGTTTTATGTGGATACAACAAATTTCCTCAAGGAGGATAATAAAAAAATGGCTAAACAGATTTTCAGGACTAAAGGGTTGTTTAAGTAGACATATGTAATGTAATTCTATAATCAGTTGGTCAGTTCCACATTTACACCAATTACAGCATCACTACATACATATGATTCAGCAACACTGCATATGGCATAACTAAATCAAATAAGTTGAATTTCTTTACTTACAGCAGAACCAACTTTTTAAGTCCTTCAAATGCACTCCTGGTTCCTTCCAGAATAGAGGACAGAGCATTGTTTCTAAGATCCCTAGAATACAAACAACACTTATACTAACAATCAAATGAAACACTCTTTTGACCTGCCAGTAATATTCAATAAAAGAAATGACCCCTGCAGATGAACTACATCCAGAGGAAGTCAAGAAAAGAAGCAATAAAACAATTCAGACTTTGATGGGATTCAAACCTGTGCCCCCAGATATCAGGTTAAGGCTTTCACTATTTAATCTTTTAACTCCCATGAATGACCAAGACAGAATTTCTCCATACAATATCGATACAATATCAACTAGATAAGTGATGAGAATAAAGAAAAATATCAATTTAGGATAATTCTCTGAACTAACATCATAAGAATTGTATGGTTGACAGTAAGGAGAATTATAAACTTGATCTGGGAGTTAAAGGGTTAACAGGTAACATTACCTAATATTTCTTGAAAAGTTTAAGTAACAAAATCAGCTTTAACACATTAAGTTGAAGGACCACAATGCATAGCGCATGGTAGAAACTTACAACACACTCAATGAGCTCAAGTCAGAGAATGCCCCATCTTCCACATGATAAATCTGGTTATTGCCAAGATTTCTGCAAGGAAAGAAATGGGGGATAATCTTAGTTAAAGCATATGTAATTCACAATTTTCTAACAGGAAACACTGAGGTTCAGATCCAGATCCAGATCCAGCAAATTAGAAGTCACTTGGGCTTGGGCAACATGGTTTTTTTTTTTGTTTTTTTTTGGGCAATAACCTTCAATCTCAATGACTCCCTCCAATCAAGATAGACTAGCAGCCCATCCAGAAGGCAGGTAGTTAAACCCCTAGTTGCTTTGTGGAGCACCAGGCTAAACTTCATATGCATAAATGTGGGGGTTTCAGAAGCTGAAGGTATTACATTGTGTTTCTGTTACCACAAAAGGGGCACTACCAATCTTGGAAAAAAACATCTCAATGGACAGCAGTATGAGGAATTAAACCTGGCCATCTACAAAAAAAAAAGGCCTCTATTGAAGTTGCTGACTTAAGTCATATACTACAAACTGAACACTTACAGACTCTGCAGGGTCAAAAGATGGGCAAATGTGTCCTTGTGAATGTAGGACAATTCATTCTGGGCCAGGTTCCTATGAGAAAAAGAAGGAACTGGTTGTTATGGACAGAGAACCATGATGGGTGTATGCAATACCAAGGAGTGACTTGATATCATTTGTTACACTCCACAAGAGAAGATGAAATACAACCAACTAAAACCAACTTACAAATCCCCCAGAAGAAGAACTGTTCTCCAGTCAAAGGAAGGACCTTTTTCAATCTTGCTGATGCGATTGTTGTTCAGATAGCTGGTTCAGAAATAAAAAAAATTTAAAAAAATTAATATACATTTAACAGGTCCATAACTGAATTGAATTGTGGAAATACATTAAACATTATTGGGTGACATGTTCACGAAAAAGAATTATTACTTTGTGCCACATAGCAAATTGTTCTACCATTTCATTCACTTTTACTCCTCAAAATCCCTGTCCTTAAAATAGCTAACTCTGAGAAAGGCACACCTTCTAGGCAGTGTCCTCAGTTAGAATATAATTATTCATCACAGATGAAGTGACAAAGCTACTATCCCACAATCCCTAACATTGATCAGGGAGGATTACTCGACTACAAGAAAGAAAAATAATCATTTTTCCATATAATGACTCAGGTGATTATATGATCAACTGCAATTTTATACAATCCTGAAGAAGCCATTTTGAAACTTATCCTTCATGCTATCAACACATTAGGCAGGGTAATCATTGCAGGATATGATATTTTCCTCCATCAAACAAAGCGTGTGCATCTTTATAGTCAACTGAGAAATTATCCTAAAGCCCTGCCTACCACTGTAGCACATGAAAAAAATCTAACATGCCTATTCCTCTAAGCAATTACAGGGTTCATGCAAATGTAAGAGAGATATCATTTATCTTTCAACATCCACTGAAACAAACGCTATACCTTAAAGGTACACAGACTTACAGTTTATGAAGGTTGCCATCTCCAATGAACCACAGTGTAGCCACGAATGTTAGATTGTTGTTGTCCAAATACCTAAAGAAAATTGATATTCAGTTAACCCTTTATGCCCTAAAATCAGTATCCATATTCTCCATACTCTTCTCTATATATTTCCTTTGTGACTGAAGAGGAGAATTTTGTTTAACAATCAAAGCTTCTGATGGCAACCATTTCCTTTATTCTTATGATTTTAATGCAAGATTCAGCAGTATTAATGTAAGGAGAAATAACATGTCAATCACTCTTGGAGTTTAACGGGTTACAAGCCATGAAAAAACATTTGGCACCAATGACAGTTTGAAGATGTATTCATGTAGTCAGAAGAGGAGAAAAAATAGGTTATGAATTTCGTAATAAATTTTCAGGGTAAAATACTGCAAAGAGGTTGGACTATCTCCCCACCCCCTTATCTCTACAATTCCAGACCTTACAAGAGACAGGTGAGAAAATTTGTTGAAATCACAAATAACAATACCCACACAAGTTCATATTAACAATTTCAGCTGATGTACTCACAATTCCCTCAGATTGGACATCTCCCAGAGTGCATTATTAGATATGGTATGGATTTTATTCTTTGAAAGCTTTCTGCAATGATGAAAGAAAGAGACAAAATGCTATAAGAGCATGACAATAAGCTTAAGATAGACAGCTTCTGATAGGAGATATCTGTGCTTTTAAATAGATATCTGATCTGTGCTTTGATAAGCAATGCATACAGCAGTGGCTAATGAGACACTGTGGAATTAACAGTCTACTTTAGATGCATTTACAAATTGGTTTTATAACAATTTAAGGAAAAAAAGCCCAGATTGTTGTGTAATGCTGATAGAGATAAATCCCCATGAAACAAACCCAGTCCAGGGGATCATGAATATAGATCAGAAAGTTGTTTTGGTTTTATTGTTCATTTATACTGAATTGAAAAAAAATAAAATCCTTGAGCAATACAAGTCATTCATGTATAAGTACATAACATCATAGAAATTGTAATGAATAAATTTAAGTAATCGAGACAAACTTCATTAGGGGCGTAGACCTATTCTTGTTTCTTGTCTGATGGCCAATTTAATTCCTCAAAAATTATTCTAGGGGTCTAAGGGGACTACTGAAAAATAACCAACAATTTTCTTTCCTTTGTGGTATAAAGCTGTTTAAACTTTTCCTATCAAAACTGTACATCCTTCATTCAATCCCTACATTTTCTCAAACCCTAATTCAATTAACTGTCTGAAATATTTGTGGAATGTAGCAAATTGCAAAATGTCTTTTCTTCATGGAGCTCAGGAAACAAACAGACACCAGCTTGTGGCTGAAAGTGTGCCCTGAGAGATTTAACAGGATTTTTAGTGATCTGATAAACATGATAAGACCAGATTTTCATTCCACTAAAGTAAACTCCCTTAATCTGGAATAAAAATGCAAAGAATGTTTTGAGGATCATGAAATATTAAAACAAAGAATAAGAAAAACTTACAGTATGGCTACAGACTTTAGACTTTTCAAAGGACTGACAACAGCATTGATCCAATTTTTTGTGAGATCTCTGAAAGGAAACACAGTGAAATCATATGAAATACGTAATAACACCCAAAATGCAAACCAGGATTATTCTAATTTCATCAACTCTACTATTCTCCGTTACATGATATCACACTTAAATGAAAAGCACATCAACCTTATCTATCTAAAAATCTTTTTAATACATCAACCACATTTTTAAGTATTTAAAGCCTATCCAAACATTTGGTTCTTGAGTATAAACAGAACTACAAGTATCCTCCCACAGAGCTACATGTCCAAATTGCGTATCGCTTAAAATTAGGAAATATCATGTGATTTTGTTCATCAAAGTAACAAAGATGAAAAATTACACAGCTGTAAAGAAAAAATGATGAAAAATTTTGCTTCAGACAGCTTCTGTGATAAGATCTGGGTCTAAGTAAGTTATGAAACATAACATGATATAATTTCTTCCCCACAGGAAGCAGAAGGGCAATAACCTGTCATTTGAATCACTTTATAAAGCAGATGCAGCAATGTGATAAGAATCTTATTCAAAACAACACAAATAATTAAATAACTGACAAATGAGAGACTTACAGTTTTTTTAATGAGGTTAACTGACTCAAGGCCTGAACTGGAATGGATGTCAGCCTATTTCGGCTCAGTTTCCTGTGATAAACAGACATTGCAGCTTTGTTGAACATTTTATTCATAATACAACATAATAGCCCGACTCTCATTAATGTCATACAAAATCATGTTTAGTTCATGCTGCCACCTCTTCCATCCAATTTAAATTATAGGGTATCAAAATTTCCAAAGTTACTTCATTCAATCATCCTAAGTCTTCAATAACACTGATGGCGCAATCTATTTGGAGGTCCTTATGCATCAAATTTGATTCATAGACATTGCAATCAACTACAGAAACTAGTGAACATGTGACATGGTCACTTCATGTGAAAGAAATTGCTTCACAAAAACAATTTGGCATGGAGTGAGCATTTATGATCTGAGAGGCATAGGATGGCTGATTGAGTTTTTCTACCCTTTACTTGCCTATAGACTTTGGTAATCAAATCAAATTGAACAACAATCAATTCCCTAGGGAAATTCACTTGGTCTCGACAAATATCCTTAGCATCCTTCTACTACCTCTGCCACAACTACGATAACAATTTTAACAAGGTAGTGGATCACTTTCACTACTTTCACTACTCACAATGACTGCACTGAGGTGAGATTAGCAAAGGCATTTGGCCCAATGTATGAAATTTTATTACTGCTCAGAAACCTGGAACAAAACAGGAAGCAAAAACATGAGAGTGTGATCTTTAAGTTATTTTATATATCAATATCTGTATGGCATGATGTTATCCCATTTGGGAATTATTGATAAATATCTATTATTGATAGCACTGGTAGATAAACGACTTCTATTTTTCTCTCAATAAAGCTCTACAAATGATATGTAAGGCTTTCTAGCTGAAAACAGCACTGGAATCAAGAGAGAACATGGAGGAGATTTTTTCACCTTCAAAAGAATAGTGTTTAAGGATTGAACAGAAGGTATCCACATACGTTTTCCTTTCTAGATAGCTTATAAGTGATCTGCCTTAAATGGGTGTCACTTGCTGAGAGGTTCACCCTAAAAACTAAATGGTAAGTGCTTAGTTATACTCCTATGCAAACATGCAGTTTGAATGTAAATGCCACAAATATACTTACAGATATTGTAAAGATAGTCTCTTTGTGACATTTTGTGATGGGATGGACGTTATTTTGTTGTGATGCCTGCAAAGGTAAAGTGAAAAATGCTATTTTCTCAGACACTTATTTTTTCCCCCCAGACTTAAAAGTCAAGTTTTCAATCTGCAGTTCACTTCTTGAATCTGTAATGTATTCCTCTTTCAAAAGATCTGAAGAAGTATGTCAAAAATACTGTTGGTCATTGACTTGTCAATAAGGATGGGTCAACTGAACCAATGATTAAACCCTTGTTTGAGTAGAATGAAATGAAGCATGAGCCTTATATAGCCTTGTAATTCCTTGAATATGCTGCTAAATACCTAGATTTACAACATGCTTTTCAGTGCACTACAGGAAAATCACAGTGAAGCCGTAACTTTACTTCATAACTTATTGCCCATTGAATACCAAGGAACCTCCACATAGACGCACCCTACAAAAGTGTCCCTTGAATTTAAGTATCCACAGAAGGGAGGTAATAAGTTAGCTGAGTTTCCGGAAAAGTTGCGAAGGATGACTTCATAGAGTGTGTACACAGGGTTACAAAAATTAAATTTAATACTCACAAAGACAAGCGGATCAAGGAAGATGGTAAAGCCTGCCATGGTGGAACTTCTTTGAGCCGATTTTCATGAAGAAGACTGATAAAAGAGAGAAGGACAAAATGTCAAGAACTCTGCAATGGATAAAGAGTGGGCTGGCAAATAATTTTCATATTACACCCTTTGTTATAAGTGTGTTGTTTCAAGCACAGGAACAGAGGGTAAATCCTCCTGCTGATGGGCCAACTTCAAAAGTCTTGCCTCTTGTGAATTCATGACTGACCATGTGAAAAAATAGTTTCTATTAACCATTATTAATCATCTATTATTGACATAAAAGAACTACTGGGCTCAAAATGTTCAATGAATGATATCATTAAACAAATAGCTTAGGTTTGTGGACGATTACTTGCAAAGGATAAGAAGGAAACCGATTTAGGATACTGTAAATTATAACCAAATATAAGATTAATTCTAAAGGCTTACAGCTCTTGAAGGTCTGTTAGTCTTGAAAGCTGCGAAATATTCAAGGTCACCAGCTGATTATAACTAAGATCCCTGAAAAAATAGATTAAAAGAGAATGTCAGCGGAAGTAAGGTTGAGCCAACCTAAACAATAACTTACTAAGGAGCATGTTCTGCGACACCAATCATTTCAAAGCTTCAACATTCAACCCTCCTATCCACACCCCCCAAATGAGGATTTGAAGGATTTGAAAGTCACCTGTGCCTAGGGGTTAGGAGTTTGAACCTTGCCAGGCTGGGTTGAGGAATTTAAGCTGGAAGTGTCCAGTCTATCCAGTGGAATGCAACTGTTATCTCTTGTAATATGGAGGTGTTTATGGGTAAAAAAGTTTACATTTAAGGAGTGAATGTCTCAGAAGAAAAGGTCTACTAGGTCTAAGTTTTATAGTTGGGTAAATGTGTTGAGACTATCAACAATTTTGCCCTACACAAAAAAAGATGAACAAGAAAGTGAAATACAACAGGTATTCCTGCTCCTTATAATCTAATCAATTCAATGTAGAGGTCCTACAATCTATCAGGTGTTCCATTCAAAGAAGTCATACAGTCTTCAAATCAATTTCCGTGTAGGCATACATGTGCAGTGGATACATTATCCTACAGATTTTTAATCAGTCATCCATGTCACCTTCTAAGTTCAAACAGGAAAATTTCATCTCTAAATTCCTACTTGAACACCCCATCTCCCAAGTTATATGTGTGTTGTACCTTTTCACAACATTACCATATGTTTTATTCAATAGATGAGATGCTTTCAGAATTACAACAGAAGTACCTTACATCAGGAACCTTCTAGAAAATTTTCAAACAAATCTCAAACTGCTTGTCACCTAGTAAGGCTCCATGAAGAATATTGACTTCTTGAATACAAAAGAGTACTCAGTAATTTACAAACTTAAGCCCACAAAGAACATCCAGAAAAATGAACCTTCAAACCAGGTTCCCTTTCTTCCACAACCAAAAAAAAACCCAAAGTGGATGATATGCCTTTGATGAAGAAAATCTGATACAGACTACAGCTAAGAATAAGATTATAAACACTTAAATCTCCTAAGTACAACTGGGCTATGTGCCACGTAAACAACTTGAGCATGAACACAGCTACAATATCAACTACCATTATTTCGCAAACTACTGATTCAATGAATTGAGAAATTAAATGACATTACATTTTTGCACACCTTAAAACTAAGGCTACAACAAGCTGGCAGTTTACAACATATTTTCTTACTACCAGTAGACAGAAAAGCATGAAAATAAAATGGTCAAATATGGCATTTCCTGAGAGTCATTCCAGCATGAAAATGACATCATATTGGAGCCAGGACATGGTAATAAAGAGGAAAAAAAACAAACCAAATGTGTTCCATTTAATGGGAACAGAGGTCTACTAAGTTCCCAAAAAAATTATTGTAAGGATTAGAAATTTGTGTTTCAAAGTTGCTGAATAAAAACAAAATTTTTGATTTATAAACTTCCTATTTCTTGCAAGCACAGCTCAAGTAAACACAGAAAATTGATTTACTGCTTTCAAGGTGGGTAAATGTGTGTGGTAGGTACCTGGCAGAACATTACACAGTCATAACAAGCATCTCTTTGTTTAACTGCCTGATGTATCCTGTCTTAAGAAAATATATCCACTACACATACAATGAAAAACAACTAACGAGTTTCTTTCTGAGCTACGTTAAGCAAAAGATAACTATATAGTACATTTCAATTTTGTTACAAAGTGCCAGCAGTTCAGTGTTCTTTCTCATATTAAATTTCATGATCCTCTGTGCAATAGTATGACATCAATGCTTGTAACCAAAACAGAACAAAAACATATCAGTTTGTTGATGATGTTTCGATCGACAATTCATTCAGGTGTACCACAAGTTTCCATCAGGGCCAAGTTCGCTGTGATTTTCTCCTGTGCTCCATTAAAAAAAAGAGAGAGATAAAAAAGCCAGGAAGAGAAAGGAGACGTCCATAATGTTACACAGCTTCTTATACTGTTTGAAAGTAAACTATGTAAAGATGTTCCAAAGGGGCTACATTTCATTTACACGGTGCCTAGAACTAATATGCACTTTGTTCAACTTTTCCAGGATTCAAATTTAACAAAAAACCAATTTATCTCTACTTTGTCCACAATCAAAAACAAAAGTGTATAATTACAAACATATAAAATTGACAGGGTCACATGCAACTTGAGGTAAAAATAATATTATGTGATCTATGATCTTTGATTCATTTATAACAAAAAAAGGGAAGCCAATCTAAGAGATGGTGGATCTAGATAATTTAAAATTTTGGAAGATTTGTGAAGACTATCTTAAGTAACAAAGTTCTGTACCAACAATACCTTATTTACAGTTCTTATTCAATCATAAACTTTTGGAGAAAGAAAAATTTAAATTAAAAGCGAATTACTAGTTAGGCATAAAACACGCATTGTAATCAGTACAGGAACTTGTGGTCATGTACTGTATTAACAAATATTTCCCAATGCAATAATCTCTGTTCACTTTTTCAAAAGATGTGGTACAAAGGCTATCATGAAGTGAATCAATCCCTTCATTACTCTGAAATGTTGATCTAGAGAAGTAAGTTGTATTGTTAAACACACATTTTTTTTTTCTTTGTTGTTTTCGACAATATTACAGGTACTTGACCATTGTAAATTCACATCTAATATGAGCTTAATTGTTTTGAAAATAGGGTTCAAATACCTCAGTGTGTAAATTGTCTCATATATTGACTACATTGAACTATGACCAATATTGAGAGTAAGGAAATTTTCATATATTGAGACCAAAATTATTACTTATTTACTGACAGTCAATACATTGGTTGTTCTCTTGAAAACTTGCAATTTTTATTCAAAATTATCAATCAACTGTCTAATATTTGCAATTCTGACAAGCAAACTTTTTTAATAACTCATGATGGACACATCTGAGAATGGTAGTCATCAGTTTAATTTCCAGTAGGCTGAAGCCCTGTTTCAAGCCAATGGGTGTATCAAATTCTTTGACAAAGCCATTGTACCCTACTCTGCTCAGAAATACATTATTAAAATAGTTATAAGTTAATAAAACCTATAAATAGTTAGAATTTACCAGAAGCACACTGAAATAAATGTTAAACCCAAAACTCAAGTTCAAGAATTTCATTTCAACTTGCCAGGCTTGACAATTTGATCATAACTACATTGATGCTTAATAACTCTTCCAGTAAAACTTTCCTAAATTGTTCACAATTTACTTGTGTTAGACAATAAAAAATATTTTGTTCAATGACAAAGATGCCAGGGTATTATAAAATGTACCGACTGCTTGATGTCCCAAGTCACACCCTAGCTAAGTGGCCTGAAATTACAACAACCTTTTCCTGTTGCTGGGTAACATATGAGTGGAAAAAAGAAAAGAGGATATGATCAAGGAGAAGTTCAAATGTCTACTGACGCAATTCAAATTGAGGAGGAAAAGAACCAACAAGAACACACAAGCCACCGTGATTGGCTTAGCACCCTTGGTATGTTGTTGCATGTTCACTGTTACATTCATTGCTCAGTAATCTGTCACAAAGCAAATTATAGAAGCTCTTGTTATGTCTAAACATTCAAGTTCCACTTGATAGGTCAAGAACTAATCCATGGTTGCTCTTAATTCCAACATGCAACAACAAGCTTTTTTCAACATAGACTGTGGCAATGAAATGGAAAAGATTTTCAACAGGAACAAAATTCCTTTGCTCAAGCAAAAAAATATATCCCAAATGTGACCTATCATATCACTCAAGGACATTGTAATGCCTTGATCCAAAGAGTATCCCACGAAACAAATGAAAGTAGAACAGTTGATTCTTTTCATTTTCCAAACATTCAAAACACACTTTCACAGGCGTCAAAGTAAGACATTCAATCAGTAGCACTACTTGTTTAAATGACCTACATATACTTTGTGCTGTCTCCAAAGATCTATTGCTTCTTAGTGTATCTACTTGCAAACAATAAAATAAATATCCAAGTGTTCCTCTTGTATACAATGCAAGATTTTATCTCACTAATAGTTGCAACTGCACACTTGCACATACCAAGTGTGATTCTTGTAACTGTAAATCAGAAAGTTTGATCACACCCAAGCTTGTGGCCTACAAACCAGTTTGATAAAATAAACTTGTACCAGTTCAAGGGAGAAAAGTCTTAAATAAATAATCACTTCCCACACATGGCACTCCCGATTACAGAAGGGAGAACATTTAAAAACTCAGTCCTTACTCCTCAAACCGTCTTGCAAAATTTGCAAAATGCATTCTAACATCCAACAGATAAGATCAGATCCAGTAAGAGAAATCTTGCACAGTTCACTAGCATAAGTTGGCAGGTATAAAATGTTGCTAACATCACTTCAAATCCCACTTCCATTCTCCTGTAAGGCAGCAAGTGTCCTTTAAAGTCACTTTTGTCTGCCTCTAGCGAAAGGTCACCTATAACAGCTTAGGTTGTGCATGTACTGTAGCTTCATCATAAAAAATTACACACTGGCAAAAAGTTTTCTAAACTGATGTGGGTCATAATATTAGTGAAATGAAACACGGCAACTCTTTCAGTAGCACATTTGAACTCTGCATATCAATGATCATATTTGTGCAAAAATTACAATTTGTCACCAGAGAAACAATCAGTCAAGGGTAAATGCACTACATATCCTATTGCATTTGGTTAACCCAATCACCAGTTCTCTTCCCTATTGAAAGAAAACTTTCCATCTACACTGTTGACAAAGGTACAGGTATCTAAGCAAAGCAGTCAAACAGTTGTACTGTGTGTCATAAATAAGATACAACAGTATAAGCTGTACTTTCTGACTGGTTTATCTCAAAGAGAAAGACTGAATGAATCAAACCATACCCCTCAATGAAAATGACACAACCATATCTACCTGTACCAAGAAATAGAAAAAAACTACCATCTAGAGAAGAGACATAACATACATTCTACAAGTATAAAATAAAACACAGTCATTGTGAGCCTCCACACAAACAGTATGAGCTTAAGCATGATATCTGAAACAAGGCTGAAACTTCCTTCACTCCACTAATTCTTTAAGTCTGAATAATGTAATTAAAAGCACCTGGAATTTCAGTCTACTTTGTATACTATTTCTCACAGTGATTGAGAGTCTCATAAAAATTGATAAGAATCAAGCTCGACTTGCAAATTCTGAGAGAGTAAAGGCTAATCTAAAGTTTACGTTTTCTTGAAACATCACAGATATAAACTCAAACAAAAAATTCGCTGGAATCAAAAGGATAACATATATTTTTTTGTAGCCACTCCCTTACGTTCTGATATAAATTTTTGGACGAAGACCACAAAGGGAAAGCTCTGTTCCCACCAATTCATCAGTAGGGGGTCTACATTTGATGAGGAATTTGCATATTATGTTCTGTGGCCTGGGGGCATAACAAAAAACACATTTTCCAGCATCTATAACTTCTCGATCCTCTTCAATGATAATAAATTGATCTATCAGGTCTCTCGACGATTAGAGCATTGACACAAAATCATATCAAAACATCAAAATTCACTCGCATAGGTAGAAGAAGTTTTATAGCATCGCCCATTCAGTAGGTTGTTGAGATAGTTACAAAATTGGAATTTTTAATCACGATCTTTTCAAAGCACAATTTAAATAAATACAACAGCAGGAGATTTTGCTACAAACGCGTAAGAAATCAGCCTCGGGAAAGAAAGCGTGCACTGTACACAACAACAAACCAACACAAGGGAGCGAGCGCTTCAAACACTACCAACATAATGTAAAGAGAATCCAATCGTCCATAAATAAGGAAATTGAAGAAAAGAATAATTATGCCAATGAACGGCGTTCTCACGGCAAAACAAAAACAATGTAAAGCACAGGAAAACAAAGACACTAATTTAATAAATTTGCTTCAGTCGAAATAATTGTCGATAGACGACGGAAAATTCCCTTTCATAAGATAGTGAATTAATTGAATATCTAGCCTGAAAACGATTTCTGAAGAAGGTGCGCGTTCTGGTCAGAATATTAGACCATAAAAACGACAAATGTAACATATTTCTCTCATGCTGTTTACTTTTTATTTCTTATTAGTCCACATTGAATAATATGGCTTTAGCGCAATGTGCGGTGGCGAACGCTACGATTGAATTTTGAGTTTGCAGCATGAAACCTGCCGCAACGAACGTCCCTAAATAACGGTAAAAACAAGAATTGCAATTCCCAGTTAAAAATAAAAAAATAAAAAAAAAAACTTCAAATTGATTTATGTCGCAAGAACACGGCGGGAAACCTTCCCAATATGTACATAATTTGCGAGTAATGCACATATGTCAATATCTCGATCGCAACCTAAACAAGACACGGATGATTCCTTCCTTGGGATTTCGCCTTAAATAAATTTTAGTTACTGGATAGCATAGAAATTTACTTTACAATGAATGAAATATCGAGTTCACAGTTTATTGAAGACCTTGTTATTTGTTTAACGAAGCAAAGATAACAATAGAGGAGAACCTTTCAAAGAGACGGTTTAGTTGACACATTATCAATTGGAAGTACGCGTATCATGCTGTAATTCGTTTGCAATATGTCACTTATTTATGGAGTTTTAGCACAACAGAGGAAATCCACTCGCTTTCTAAAGAAACAACTAAGCTTACTTAAAAATATATCAGACACATGGGCACGTCACATTCACCATTCCTTCGTAAACTCGTCGCTTGACAATTTGACATTTGAAGCAACACATGACGTGTTCGATTCCAGTTCAAAGCAATGCTCTCTCATACCTGCATTCTTTTTCGACATATTTTATAGATGCAACCGAAAACTCTCACGCGAATCGAATCTTTCTTCATTCAAGACTTCGTAAACAGAAAAGTGCAAAACCTCTATCAAACCAGCTCCCCGTTCATGGTGTTTTTCTAGTTGTAAGGTGACACCGTGAAAAATCCCTCGGTTCAAAAACTGCCATTCGTAGGTAACAAGGTATTCACCTTAGATAAAGAGTAGCCCGAAATATCTTATCAAAACCGATAAACATGAGATGTTGAGAAAAAGTTCGTTAGGAGTGACTTAAGAGATTTTAAATCGCCGACGAGTACGCTTACAACTCAACAAAAGACAGCACATAAACTAGCAAGAACCAAGAAACCGTTTTACTCACAATGAGGTCGTTTGCAAAGGAATCCCCTCAGGTATTGAGCGAAGTTGACGACTCTTGCAGATAACTCTTGTTCCAGAACAAATGCAGGGCTTGGCTGTTAAACATTCTTGGCTATTTTGATCTTGTCCCAGCGACAATCCACATAAGGCCAAACATATTGCAATCAAAGCATTCATAATATTAATAGACGCCATATTTGATTGAAATCCGCGGTGCTTTTACATTTCCCACCACAGTCTCTACTAAAGGAGATTTTCTATGATGTGCCACCAAAAACCCCGCAGATTCATCCACGGTGAAAAGCTTCCTTTACTTAGTAGGGTGTCGGTAACAGAATAGGTACACCTTCACGCAAAGTTTTCTTAAAGCGTCAAAGAGGAAACCATCAACCTCACTCGGTTGAAATTGAATGCCACTTTCACGACATGAAACTGACCACCCACGAACGTCACAACAACAATAGCCTGCGATGTGATTGGTCACTTATACCATGTGTCGGTAAATTGACAAGGACCTAAGCCGCGGGATACAACCCAAATAAAATTTGTCGTATTTACTCCAATTCATCCATATCGCTCCGATTTCAACCTTCCCAAAAAGTGATTGACAGCAGAATAATTGATATGAAATGAGACGTGTAAAGCGAGCCAATTGAGTGTGCAGATGTTAATTTTATTTGCCTGTGCAAACAGCTGGGGTAAGCTTCGACACGCACGCGTTTAGATAGAGAGATAGTGTACTCTAAAGGTTTTCTTCACCTTGTGAAAACTCTTACTCTGGGCGTATTGTTTTATTTCTCTGCGCTGAAAAGTCCCTTACAATACAACCCGAAACAAGGAGAGTGTAAGGGAAGTTTTCCGGCCGGAATAATACACAAATGAGATTTTGTAAAGAACTTCACATAATTATAGAGCCATCCATCAAATGAACCGCTTGCACACCACTTGAACAAACACATTCCATTTACGCAAGCTGAACACGAAACGGCGAGAAATCCACTCCTGCGGTCTTAAGTCAAAAGAATGAAAACGGCAAACATGCGAGGTGCGATCGCCTAAAATATCTTAAAGAGCTGGATAAATTTTGAATGTTTCAATCAGTTCAGTGTTCATTGGTTGAATCACGATAAACGGAATATTTCAAAATGCTTGGCAGTGGCGTTACGGAGTATTTAACCGATGGTTATCGGGGAACATTATGTTTTCGATAACTTTTTCGATCGTCGAGAGGATACGATTCTAAGGTAATTCATTAGCTGTTGGAACGTGCGTCTTGAGAGCTTGACGCAAATTGTTTGAGCATTCATTCAAGGCCCTGCAATAAGCTAAACAAATGTCACTAGCAAATTTAGCAAGTCTGTAGCATGTCAGGCAAGTTGTCTACTAGGTAGTGTTTTAACACAATAGATCGCCAATTTAAGGAAATTTTTCTCACCAGGAGCAAATGACAACATGGTTACAACCTGTACACGTGAGAAGATATAAACGGGCTAATTTTCTCACAAACATCCCAAAGGCCAGCACACGAGTGATTTTGAGTAGGAGAACAAAAGGGTCATTAACAAAATGAAAGGATAGATCCATAATGCGTATTCACGAATCGCCGGCCGTGGGATTAGAGATACGTAGCCGAAATACAATTGAATGTTACATTAAGCGAGACATTTTGCATACCAGTATTATGATTTAAGGGCCAATAAAATGATACACTATCTTGTGGGACACAGTAAACCGTGGACCTCATTTTCAGTTTGCGTTGCCATGCCTTGTGTCTCAAAAGTTACCCTATTCATCACCAAGTCTCGTTAAACGCTTAATTCCACAACCGTCGTGAGGCTGCATTCACTTAATTAAGATAGATATTGGTTGAAGAAGATCATCGTTTCAAATCATATAGGCTTGAAATTGAGACCGAAATTTTCTGACAAATTTTCGACCCGAAGCCAACCGTTTAAACAAGATAGTCCTTGATGTCGTTATCTCACAGTTAAACTCAGAATATGTTAAAATTTGCCCTTAAGTGGCGAGTTTTGCTGTGAGCTTTTCAATCTAGCGGCTCTTAAATAAAATATTCTTTATCATTTCTCTCACTGTGACGCAATCGTGTTCAAAATAAACCTGTAAACGACCAATATACGGATATTTTGATGTGTGATTATTAAGAAGCGTTTTGTTTCCTTCCTTGAGTCATATCGGTTCCACTTACGGAGCTGTTCTTTCCAGACTGTAGAGGTCTTGGGAATAAAAACTCCTTCCTTACGAACACATCGAAAATTTTAAACTATTTAACTAGAAGAACAGAGCGTTAAGTATTGAAACTGAACTGGTTTAGTTTGCTGGCGTTTCACTGGAGGGGTCCTTAAGGTCTTTACTCAGTTAGACTGAACAAAAACAAAGAATACGAAAATTAACTGCAAATGACCTCAGTCTAAGGCTCGTTGTTACATAGAACGTTTTAATTCTTAGTCGGTTACAGTCCTTGCTTTCGAAGTGTAGCAAACACCTTAGAAAAATACACATTAAGGGTTTGTTGACGAATGATTTGTTTTTCATGCAGTTTCTAGAATGGCTCAATTTGTTTGAATGAGCAAAGAATTGAACGTAGTTAATGGATTAAAAAGTTACTTGTACGTCACTGAAACAAGTAATTCAGTACATGTGATTTTTTGTTGGGTTGCGATAATTGTAGTACAAGCTAACCGGTAACAATTATAAAAGCCCCATATTGGGCTCTGAAATATCCCATTAACTGGAAACTGTATTCAACCCTATCAATCCTAGAAGTGATCAGTACCTAAATTCTCTCAAAGGAGGTAACAAGGCTCAGAAAATTATCAATTGTGAGATATAAACACCAAATTCTCGGTCCTCAGTCTCAGCATCGCCGCAAGCAAAGGATTGTTTCTTGCCTCCAGTTCTTGAAAAGGAAGGGTTCAGTTTTTTAAACACAAAGAAAATAAAGTCAAGACGTGAATAGAAATGACCGGCCTTGCGTTTTCTTCCCATGAAAATGGAAAGACAAATTGAGCTAAGATGTTGCTAGGACGCATAGCCACCTCTTTCCGTATTTTTCACCGTTATTTACATAGTCGAGGTTTCATTGTCGATCGCCCACAATGGCAGAAATCCAAAAATTTGCACACGCTCATTGGCTGAGGTTATTTCGGTCAATCCTAAATGTGCAGAAGATCAAATTTAGGGTAAAAATACAAAATCAAATGTCTGCTATTGACTGATGATCAAATGATTTTGAGTGCAATTTGTAATAAGCCGGGACCCACTCCTTGACTTTTTCATAAACAGAGATGATTAGCACTCGCCTTATGTGCTCTCGCAGCCACTAAACCTAGTTTATGAAAGTTTTACTAACAATCACATTTTATGAATTTCTCTCGAAACTATTTGATGGCTTATTATTTTACCGGTTCTAATAGTTGGCAGCTTTTTATGAGCAAAAACAGGAAATACCACATAACCAACAAAACATGGACGGGAAATGAATTGAGGTGTATTTAAAATCCCGGAAAGGATCAGATGTGGCATATCTGCTCTTGTTAATTGAAAGGGCGGTCCGTTTGCGGAGTTCCCTGTTGTTCACAGTCGGATATGGTTTGGAAAAAATTCGATGTGATGAGTTTTTGTATGCAAGGGTCTCTCAAGTTAAACAAAACGGTTTCTAAGGTTATATATTGGTCAGTGGAAAAAAAAACCGCCAATATCACCTTACTTATCATTCAACGTAAAATCTTGTCAGCTCTAGAAAAGTCCAGAATCTCATTGGCAGACCAAAGTGCTGGCCAGACTATAATAAGCCCTTTTCGTGCGTCAATCAATGACCCCCCTTACACTTTTTCCAACATTGTATGGACTTCAAACTTAATATTCGAATCGTCTTTCCTTTGAAAGCTTTTTGGATACACTCGCGTCGATATTTGGAAGATGAATGACGTTTTCACCGTCTGTCACCGCCTTTGTTCTTGTTGCTTTTTAAACAGTCGTTATGTGGGTGTAGAATGCTGTGTGAATATCAAAATATTGAATCTTTGGCAATTTAACGACAAATATGCGCACTAGCTGGCTGCAGAATAAACTCGAAATTCCTCATAGTGCGCGGTTATGATGTATCGAGCGACTACGATTCTGAACTTGTTTTTCTTTGTCTTCGCGCTGTATTCAAACTTCTCGTTTCTTCTAAAAACAGCGCCAGCGTAGACGGCGAGCGTTCAACTAGAGAGAAGCTCCCTCGAGCGGGTGTTGCTACAGTCTCGCGCGCTGAGTACTTCTGAACTCATCGGAATCGTGTATTAAGTTCACAAGAAACCCCCCTCCCTCCCCATCCACATTATATTCACCAAAAGCAGCTAATCTTTACGCACGAATTTCTCAATTATTTCAACATCTATATCTGGTTATTAGTCAATTTTTTTTAAGTAAGGATATAAACGGAAGAGAGTTTTCCTTTCAGCCCGAGAGCATCCACTGAGGTGTTTACTCACGCGATTAGCCATCACTTGGCCAAGCGAAACAATCATCCGTTGATACTTTGAACCAAGAAGTTAAGAAATACGTTATCTTTTTGAAAGTGTTACCCTACTTAGCTTCAACCTACTTTACAGGAAGCCCACTGAAGATGAAATAAAAGTAAAGTAAAATATCGGAGAAAGGTGACTATGTACATACGAATAAAAACTGACCAAAAAAACAACGGTTTACAGCCGAGTAGAGTGGAGAATGAGTATTAGCCTACTCTCCGAAAAGGACGCTCCATTGTGACTTACGGGAAGCTTTCCCGTGACTACCAGCGATATGCCATCCAAAAGAAAGAAAATCACTACTTGTCAGGTTCACTAATTTTTCTATTTACCCTTAATAATTTTAGCACCAAAGAAGCGTAAGAAATATTCTATCTGATACATAATGTTCTGCCTATGTAATTCCGTCTAAACGGGTATTGCTGCAGAAAAAAGTTGCCTCAAATTTAGACATTCAAGGCAGGTGTATGTCTTCCGACGGTCGTCCAGTCAAGAACAGACGGTTTTCAGTTTGAGTAATTAAGCGGCATATACCACAACTTGGATCAACTTAGCAACCTAGTGGCTCTTCATTAGCGAAGAGCGACTCAACGTCGAGAGATACCGTAATTTCATTGTCATGTGTTTTCTGGTGGCTAATTGCAGACACCGATTACTTTACAAGTTAACTATCGTCGATTTTCCTGCACGAAAGAATGATTTTTGGAAAAGCAAGGAAGTTGAAGTTAAAAGAAAGGGCTGCAATAAATGATCCTTAACACACTTGTATTACATGGAAACATTTTATTTGCACTGTATATTATAGTTAATTTAAAATTTTCCTTATAACGAAATAAATCTCTGGTTTACGTTTAACTATAAGCAAGAAAAACGCAAATTTGCGTTTTCAGTTATTTACACGAATATTTTTTAAGCCCACCCATTCGTCCGCATATATCTAAATATCAAGCGCTAACTCAGGACGTCCCTTGGCGCGACCTTCAGTGGACCCTTCGGCGCTGGATGAAGGCTAGCGCATGCGCAATGAAAGCTAGTTGCTCCGTAGTTGACCTGTTCGAACAGTTAGTCCAACCCTGGGGTGTTTTTCACTCATCATGTCTGGCCGAACTAAAGAGCTGATCTCTGACGATGTAAATGAAATCCAGATGGACTCCCCTGACGAGTGGAGTGAGATGTGCTTTTTTCATGTGATTTCAATTCCTGAAGAATTTAAATTAGTTTGCACCATTGCTGCAATACTGGGTACTTAATATGCAAATCGTTTGGCGAAAATTCTGTAGTGAAATATTAGTGCTGTTTGGGGTCAGACCCTTGTCAAAGAAAGGGCCATCTCTGTTGGTATTTATAATCAATCAATTCCATTCATGGCCAGTTCTGACAAACTAAGCTTAACAATAACTTCTGACCTACAGGAAATGAAGAAAGTATGGTAACATCAGCCTTAATTCCTACAGAGAAGGATAATAAAATCTCTTTTGACCAACGGAAAAGAGAGGTTATACTTGATATGTTTGAGATTCTCCAACAGCTTTGGATGGGAAATGAAATGTTAAAAGAAATACAAGTTAATGAGACTAAGAGGAATTTCTGTGTTAACATCAACAAAAACATGAATACCGGGCATCATATTGTTTTGACGGATCAAGTTAACGGAGCGTTGACTACGTCGTTTTGGAATTTGCGTGAACTCTACATTCACTTGTAGAGAGGCACGATGCGAAAATTTTATAATGAAACTACATCAGAGTGCCCTTTTCTCAAACAGTACGATAATTCAAACCAAAATTCGCTTCTCCTTCCCTCAAGTTCAAGTGCTGTTTTCGCACAGATAAATGATCAAATCGAATTCTTTTATCCTTATTCAGAAGGTTTAAAAAAGTGGGATTCTAGTGCAATTGGACCTGATTTTAAGGGAGTTTTTCCATTTTGACATAATGTAGCTTGCATTTTCAGACAAGTTCATCGAATGTCACCCGTGTGAATCCAATCTATCGTAGCCCATCTTCCTTAAAGCTCAGTTTATTCTTGAATTCTTCCTATTCTCTCTATTGTTTACCTACCCCATATGACGATTATTTCACGATTTCTATCTATTCAAAGACGATTTTATGACTCAAAATGAATCAAAATATAGTCACATCGTTTCTTTAAGTAAAACAGTTGTGTCCAGATTGTAAGATCAGTATGTCTTGTATCTTTAGTACATCTTTAACAACTCCAAGTATCCCTCCACACTCAATCGTGTCCCTGGTGCGGTGCTTGTTGGGCTGATGCTTATTCTACTATGAGCGGGAATCAGTACTGCGCCCGTGAGAATAGAGCCTTAAAAGAATGAATCAATGAAAAGAAATTGAAATACACTGACCACGTCAAAACAAGCTAACACAAGCCATCATGCCTAAGATTTGTTTGAATTTCTGATTGGAGCGCATTCTGAAAGAGGGCCGGGAAACGAAAGTCAAAGTGATCAAAGTGCTCAATCAGAACAAAGATGAACCTCACGAATAGCCAATGTGAGCTCAAACTTCAGTAAGTGTAACTGTAACCGCAAGTAAAGGAAAGTGCGTGTGACAGTGTCGCTTCTGGCCTCAGTTTTGAATCTCATTGGTTGAGGTGTGCACAACAACGATGCAGTCCTGGTTTATTTTTCTCACTCAATTGAGAATTATTTTCTACCGAGGCAGTCAACAGAGAAGATTCTACTCAACAACACCGTTATTTACCAGGTCTCCACGAACCGGTTCCTTCTCCTTTCAATCTAGCCGCGGAAGGTTGGTATTTTGGAGCAGAGGAAATGACACTTATTCTGTGATGAGTTGGTGATTTACCGGAACTGTTAAACTGCAAATGACATGACAGGTGAACTGGATAAGTATATGTATCCAGATTCTACCAAAACATCAAAAACCAGGAAAGAAAACAAAACAAAACAGAAACACATAACAAGATCAAACTTTTTTCAGAAGGAAAAAAAACTTAACTAAACAAGCTACACTGCAGTTGACGATGAAAGTGATGTGGGTAAATTCTGAAGAAAAAGACCATTAAAATTGTCGAGATGCCACCAACGTTTGAAGCATGGGCTTAAGTTTTGTCGAAGGGGTTGTTGGTTGCATCCACGTCTGTGTTTACAGCTGTTTGCAGAAAGGTTGTCGGAAAAAGAACGAAATGTAAGTGAGAATCTCGAAAGGTAATCTGGGTATCCGGTAATAAATGAATTTTGATAAGTGGAACAAATAAATATGGACAGAAGGACAAATAAACGGGGAAAAATATCGACATGCACGTGAATAAAATAGCAAGGTCACTTCGAATTCGCCCTTGTTGAGTTTACATCGCTGTTGTCGTTCATTAGGGTCAGTTCATTCTTCTATTCGTTTTTCATGAAGGTTATAGTTAAAATTCAGTGTTGCAAAGAAAATAAATTAATCAAACCCCCTAAGTCTAAGCCTCTTCCTTACAGTGATGTTTTCGTGGATTTCCCTGAAATCCCGAGGTCAAGGAACCGTGACCTGAAAACTACCAACAATGCTTTTCAGGGTTGTCATGTGCAAGGAAAAGAGAATCGCGGAAAAGAATAGCCGGAGAAGGTGGTGCTACAATGTCTTGCCACTTTCTTGTTTGCCTTGATGAAGACCAAGGCTACAACTAGTCAAGTTCTTCACAAAAATTTACTTCTTTCGACTATTCATGGTAAGAGTTTATTTGTCGCCAGCTCGCCTCTAAGGAAAGTATGCGGGGACAGATGGGGGAAAGAGGAAAGTGACTCTTCCTATATCCTGCTGCCATCCCATTGTTCTCTTCGTTCCTTCCATCTCCTTGTCTCACTCTTACGCTTATATGGACCAAGAAGAGACGACTGGATACGAGTCAGAATTGAAAACCAATGCTTGGGACTGAAAGTTCCCGAAAACTCACAGGAAAAACTGTTTAATAAGAAACAGTTGATTAACAATGTTATATTTTCACCTACCAGGGGGACGGGTTCTTCATCAATAGTGACTTGTAGGGAGGGTGGTGTTGTCGTCTTCTTGGAGAAGGCACCCACTGAGAGCCTGATAGAAAGATAAAACACGATGCTTACATGAGGCAGTGAAAAGTTGAATTTGTATGAAGGAACAGTTTAAATTCTAGTATTCTACCCATTTGATTTTTCGTGAAAAATGAATTAAGTCAATCAAAAACGGCTAGTAATCTTCCTTGCAATACTAATACGCTGTCAAGCAAAAAGGTAATGAGAATTACGTTATTTATAATTGAAGGTTTGAATTTTTGATGTAAAATCAAATTTTCTGGTCAAAAACCATTCAAGGTTCTTTGTAGGGTGAAAACCCTTCTAGATTTTGAGAGTTAAAAGGCTGCACGTTCCAACGTGTTGGGGATTTTACGGTAATTCCGAGAGGAATTTCACGTTGAAACGGCGTGTAAGCAAGACTATTGTAAGCCACAAACCTGAAGTAATATTATAGTAGGGGCTTCTTAGTAGAGGCATGTAGTATACACCTCTTCTCAGAAACCCCGACCAACAACCCATGGCACACCTGATTAAAAAAGTGTCGTATAATGATTCTACTGAGATCAAAAGAGAAACTGAAATAAAAAATTACCAGTAACACCCTCCTGTCGTTATTACCACATATGATTTGCCTTTCTCCCAAACCAAGCTCCGTGATTCAGTGTTGTGTATCTGAGAAGTAAAGTTTATATCGTCTGTGTGTTGATCTGCAACACACGAATGTGCCCTTGGGTACAAATTTGACACGCCGCTCCAGCGCCACCTGAAATCAACCATTGAATGGTACAAATTAATGATCATTCAAGGATTTTGTTACCAATTCCTTTACTGCACCCCTCAGCCATGTTAGCCTTGATCCAAAACTTTTTCATCATTCTAAAGCGTTTTTGTAATCCACAACGACTTCTCTTTAACCCTTTAACTCCCATGAGTGACCAAGACAGAATTTCTCCTTACAATATCAATACAATATCAACCAGATAAGGGATGAGAATAAAGAAAAATATCAATTTGAGGATAATTAGTTGACTCTCTGAACTAACATTATAATAATTGTCTAGTTGACAGTAATGGAAATTACAAATTTGATCTGAGAGTTAAAAGGTTAAATGCACACGTGAAATTCATTACTCCACACAATAATTTTTCAAAACAGGTAATGTAACTGTTATTGCTACTACTCTGGAGTTGTAGCCACGTTATACTATTTGAATACCAAGGCATTTGAGGTAAATTTCTGAACCAAATAATATGATCAAAACCAAATAAGCAGAGAACAATCGTGGCTGTCATTTCCTCTGTCCCTATTCCTTTGATAGTTTTGTTAAGTTGTTCTGTAAAACATTTTATCCGTGCGGAGCTTTTACTACAAAATGTTTCTTTCACTTTTTTCCTTCACGTAGACACCTTGCGTTTTCTAAGATGGAAGGTGTCGGTAACATTGGGAATAAGGCCTAGTGAGCCAAATAAGGCCTCTTGCCTCCGGACCAAAATAGAGAGCTGATCTCATGAAGGAGTAGCTTGAGAGAAACAAAAGAAAAGTCCTATAAGGTCGCGACAAAACAGAGAAAGTGAGTAGTTTGAACCATCACAAATTTTTGGGCAAAATAACAATTTTGGTCGTTACACAGCTCTCAGAATAAAATGCAAATAAGATATCTAGTGGTACAGAGGAACTAATCACATGTTTACATGGCGCGCTTAGCTCCAAGTTGGCTTGTTAGTTCAGTTGGTAGAGCACTACACCGATATCGTTGAGGTCATGGGTTCAACTCCCGTACAGGCTTGAATTTTTTTCATACTTTATTTTTACTACTGCGTAAGTAGCGTTCATAACTGCAGAGATCACTATTTAATTCAAGGTCAGTACTATTGTAGTAAATATTCTCAGCATTAGAATCCCCCAGAGGAGTCCCCTCCTACTTCTTCAAAGTAATGAATGAATCAATCTTGCAGTGTTGTTTAATTCCAAGTGACCTTACCTTCCATGAAGTTGGACTTTCTGACTGATAGCCTCTGTCCGTTTGTCGAGCGTTGCATATGAATGGTGCACTGATGTGTTGATTTCAGACTTCATGAACAAAGCAAAAATAATGTTATGGAGAATATCAATGTGTGTGGGAAATATTTTCAATTTAGACTAACGACCATCTCCAGATGCTGTTAAATTAGCGTAGTTACCAAGATGAATTCATTTTTTTGGATGACTCCGCGAGCCGGCGAGAGAAAACGAGAGCTGTATTTTAACAACAGTCTAGAAACTGCAGTTTATATTCTCTTGCTTTTAATTAGTTACCTGAGCGACTCGCCTGTGCAACTTATCATATTGTACGATTTACTTCGATCATCCTTACCATTCGGGATTACCCGCTCTGACTCCGCACACACACAAAAAAAAACCCAAAACAAAACGAAGTAAACTCCTCTTCTTCTCGGGTCAATATCACACATATACAGGGAAACATTAACTTGAATCACCTGTTTATTGAGAGCTGCGTGGATCTCCTTCAGTGCCACTTTCCATCCAGTAATGTCCTCATTCCCTATAAGCTGTTCTGCGACCAAGGACACGAGCTACAGAATAAAGAGCCAACGTAGTTATGCTGCTTTAACATTCAAGAACACATAGGCGGCTAAGCCCTGTAAAATATCTACACTAAAATATGATCATTGGAAATTTCGAAGCGAGAAAATATCGGTTTAACAGATGACCACACCTCATCGTCGCCTCGTTTGTTGCCGTCCACCTGACGTCTGTAGAGCGACATGTCCTGTTTAAGGTGAGCTACTTTGCCGTCCAACTCTGACATTCCTGAGGAAGAAAATCAGTGAAGAAGAGAAGTTATAAAAACAAGCAACCCAACGAGAATTATCGTGACCCTCAAAATAATCCTGAAAGACCCTCCCGCGTAGATCTCAACAACGGCTACATTTCTGATTCAGTCAAAAGTAACCCGGTGCGTTTACATGAAAGAGTTCGATGAACAGAACACTACTTCTTCCTTCTCTCGAATTGAAAGCGGTTGCGTCACGATCTGTCAACCTTTAAAATTTAGCGTTCAAAGTTGTATGGTCGTTAACCTTAGTGATGTAAGGTTGTGACCCACAAGTAGAGATGACTAGCAGACTTGGGGTTTTTGTTTTACTTTGCCAACATCATTTCGCCAAACCTCCTGTCGGCTTTTTTTTGAGATTATGACTTGCTGTCACATTCTTTAAGCGTTAAATATCGTCTTGGAATTCTACCTTACACCAGACCGTCCCCTCAGACTTACCTTTCGCTATGTGTTTAACTTTTTCATTTTGTTTGGCAAACTTTAAGAAAGAAAAAGAAAACACTTTAACTTAAGGTGATTTCAAATAACCTGACAAGTTACCATAAATCACAGTTCCATGTCTCCCGTGTCCAAAGAGCCGATAAATGGTCGAAATTAAAGAAAAAGTATCTTAGTTTATCAAATAAAGGGCTTGACCACTTTTCACTTCTACGAAAACAAAACAATGAGAATTTCCCATCTTAAGAAACAGTAATATTTTTACTTAAACAAATGGAATGGTACAAACTTGTTTCTTTTGTATAGAGTTGACTCAGTTATTTGAGAGAGAGTTCCAGACTTCTATAATTTAAGACAACAAACTGGTTTGATATAAACTGAGTACTTTATTCGGCCAGGGCACGGTGCAAATTGGACGAATCCAGTAGCATGTACACTAGCGATATCATTATTCGTAAGGGAGAACGCCATTACTTTTAAACCGAAAAAAACAGATCTTCTGTACACATGAAAAGAACTCTCGGTGATCAGGAGCATGGCCTTATACAAATGATAATAATCAACGTATTGCAAGGAATAAATGAAGAACTAAGAACGAGTCATCTGCGTACATAGGTTGTCCTGTACCGTCTCATTAAGCCCTAAAGCCAAACAAGAGTGCTCTTTGATCAAGTTTGAATCTTATCCATCATATACAGGAGCTATGTACATAAATTAAAGAAAAAGAAGAGAAAAACAGAACAAATTGTGGGAATGTGTTTTTGTATTCAGTTATGGTCGTTAATTTCTTGATAAATCCCCAACCTGTTCTGAGAGCGAATCCACATTTGAATGAAGTTTCCCTAAGGAATCTTGTTTTCCTGTCTTCTTCTCGTCCGAAACTGAAATGAAGACATGTGGGGAAAGACATTTTTACTTCCGCTAACACTTTCATCCAAGAACGCCAAAGCCGACTAATTTTTACCTGTATACACCACAAACGGAGTGTCTAATCAACAGAGCGTTCTCAGATGTCTGAAGGAAGAAAGCATTCGCTTTCAATGAGAACGAGGAGCGTTTCTTCGTCCAGTTTGAGTTTAAACCAATCAAGGGTAAGAGGGAACTGAGGTTTCAGACGCATATAGTAAGAGACTCTCCCCAGTATTCCGCCGGATTCCGCTTACCTGGCCGTTGTTGTTGGCTCATCAGTTCTTTTCCTTTTTTATCAAAATAGCTGCGACCCTTTTGCGTTACGATGAGGACTTCATATCTCAGTCACTCAAAGAAATACAAATAGGAAAGATTGCATGACTTGCAATGACATATAGACCAGTTTCAAGCTCACAAGTAAATTCGCGACTCAGCCAAATTTGCCCACAACTTAAAAAAATATCTTCGTCTGTTATATGACTGATTATAAAAAGAAAATAAATATTACGTAGAATGGTTAAAATATAAGCCTCTTGAACTCGGAGAAAAGACACGTGGAGAAAGAGCCAGCAATAAAAACTGGTTTTACTTGTTTACCTTTTGAAGCTGATGTATGGGATACTTGGCTCATCAAGTCGTCATACAGCTCGATAATTTTTCGATCAAGACTTGCAAACTGAAAAAAGCGATAATGAAGACTTTTCAGCAGTGATAATAATGCCTTTTGGCGCTGTAACAGATATTAAAATGTCTCGGTTGAACCTTATCAGAACCACGCACATAAACCTCTTTTTCCTACCTGATTTCTGTTTGGGCGTTTAGGGAAACGAAGATTACTGCATGTGCAAATTCAAACAAAAAATTAAAAATAAAAAAATAAAAAACTGAAACCTCTAAGTTAGAATTTTTGTGACCACATTTCGCTGTCACCAAAGTACGACACCACAGCGGATTTCCAAAGTTCGGATTTAAACAATGGAAGCACTCATCAATCATAATTTTTGCAGTACAAGTACACTGCACCTTATCGTCAATTCTTTTAGCCAGTTTTCTTTCAAGCTCTTCCAAATCATCGGTGTGTTGGCGGTAACTGACTTTGTCTGTCGTACTAACATAGATAAAAAAAAAACGAACAAACAAGTTTTTGAGTAAAGGAAAAGTAGTATTAATTCTCTACATTTACGATACCCTTTGAAAGTGTGCATTACGCAAACCTAACTACAATATCGACATCACTGAACACTATTGCTTATTCTTACAAAACCATTTAACGGAAGCGACTCAACCCGGTGTATTAAAGTTAAAAATAGCGGAAGATTATGTAGGAAGAGACATCCACTAAAATAGAAATTATGTTTCCTTTGAGATACTATATCTCCAACATCAATTTTCTTCCGTTGATTTCTGACAGGTTTTTGTGAGCCGCCCAATAGCAAACGCTAGCTAAGAGTAGTTTTTCTCTAGGTCTCCAAAACTAATGGAGGCTGTTTCTTTCGAAGCCTCGCGTTTTTGCTACGTAGTTTTCGCTGTCGTTCTAATCGGCCACTCTTATTTATTTGTATTTAAGCTTTGATAAGATGTCTCTAAATGTTGCGTTCGTAATAATTTTTCAGGATGTTAAATTTGTTGTAATGAAATATCTTTTGTCGTTTATTTATGATTTCTCACCTTTCCTTTGCAAACTTCCTAATAAGGGAGGGTTGATTGGCCATGCGGTCTGACATTTCATCAATAATATCTCCCCATTCCGATACTAAAGGAATAAAAACGCACAATAATTTCTGATCACACCAGCCTAAACACTGAATGCAACAAAGTTACCGCATCACACAGAGCATTTTTTGAGTGTCGTGAACCAAAACCCCTGGAAGGGCAATCGTGAAAAAGGCAAGACAGGAAATAAAGTAATAGCAAAATAAGCGCAGAAAAACTCGAAGACAAAGTACACCTCAAGCGCAGGAAATTCACTCACTCATTCACCTTTTGCTTTAAAAGCAAATTTACAACTAGGTGTGGAAAGTAATCCAGAACTGGATTCTTCTGCATTTTTGCTATCTGTGATTGGTCGAGAAAACTTGCGCCACCCTCTTGACCAATCAGATGCAAAACTAAAAGCAACCACGACAACCACGGCAGTTTGCTTGTTTTTGCTTGGAATTATCATGGGCTCCTTGCGGTGTTTCCCTTGTTCTGATTGACTGCTGTGCATACCTTGGTTTTGGTTTTACGACACTCAATCGAAGGAAACTATTAAATTTTGATTGATTGGTTGACAGGATGGTAGGAGTTTTTTTTAAACAATCACAGAGTAAAGCAAAGAGTAAAACCAGTGTAAAGCAAATTCAGCGCATTCGAACGATGCAATGTAATGCGAAATCAGAGCATGCCGGGATATGCTTCAACACTCTATTGAACATTGCTGCAAAGCAGCCTTTCCCATAAATCTCTAGCCAGTTTCACACAGTCCGTTTCTTTTGTAGGGAAGAGCGGTATATCAAGGTGGAGTGAGAGAAAGAACCCCGCCCACCCGCTAACGGCACGTCCTCAGTAGCAGGGAGCCTGTCCTAAGTTACTAAATGTCCATCATCTGATTACAAACCTTAAGCTCTATCGCAGATCACTGGGTTTACGTTTCACTTCAAATTTTAGAACTGTTGCACTAACCTTGATTTTCCAGCAACTGAATCTTTGTACTCAGCGCAACAACTGAAAAAGTGACAAAAAGGGACCTGGCTCCTTTAAATGATTCAATGATGGTAAAATTGTACTTACAGTAAAAATTATGCATAACGTTTTCAAGTTTCCTTTACCAGAATAACTGGAACTCGGTGATGGACTGTATTTGTGCAATTCAGAGCCCTTATGTGACCTCACTGGTGGCATATGTAGATTATATGGCTGACTGGAATTTGAACTGATTTTCCCTGTGATAAAGAAACAAACGAATTAGTTTTTTTTTAAATCTCTGAAACTCCAGAGTAATGCAACTTTTTTGTCACTCATGACGTAATCATTTCCCCTCACACCACCCTTGAGTGATGTTACCCCTTTTGTCAATTACACCATAATCCCAAAATGACCTGAAGCTGGGTATCAACTACTTCTCTTATGTTATACAGCAGGAAATTATCTTTCAGGTGATGACTAAACTTGAATGATTGCCATTTGTTGCTTGTGATAAAACATGAACTGTAGGACCTTTGATTTGGTAGAAAAATTGATTGAAAACTTCCTTTTACACCCATTACTGCTTCAGAGTGAGCGTTAATTGGAGTAAAAATTATTTCCAAAATTATGTTTGACATTCTTGCACAGAAAGCAACAAAAGCATCTTATATTTCTATGTTCCAGCAACATTTATGATATAAATCTTAGAAGCAATTTGGCTCAAAGGTGGCCACACACAAACATCCTAACAAGCAGTTTTCAGCAAAAAGTCTTCAACGCTTTAACTTCCATGAGTGACCAAGACAGAGTTTCTCCTTACAATATCAATACAGTATCAAGCAGACAAGTGATGAGAATAAATAAAAATATAAATTAAGGGAGTGTAAGTTGATCCAATACCAAATTCTCCAAACAAACATCATGAGAACTATATGGCAGACTGTAAGGAGAATTACTAATGAGATCTTGGGAGTTAAAGGGTTAAGTTGGTTAGGGTTTAGGGTAGTTGGTTTTCCCATTATTCTCTTTCTTTCATGATCATGATTTGCAATCACCATCACTTTCAATTCTTGTCCATCCTCTGGAAACTCTGATATTTGCTAATGAGTAAGGTTTAGAGTTCAGAGTTCTGCCTCTGTATTCCTTCCCTTTGGGAAAGCTACTTTTCCTTTAGCCCTCTAGAGTCCATCCAAGAGTGTTAGAGTAACTTAAGAGGAGTTTAAACACTTTCTCCTCAGAGCTCATGGCCATGCATTATCCAAACGTTTGTTGTGAGAAGTCAAGAACACACCCTACTGTAACTTCCACAAACCCCTTAACTATTAAATCATTTTGTTTTCACATCCACTTCCTCTTGAAGTCCAACTCATGTGCTCATATTCACATCTAGTTAGTACACATACTGAATCATTTTCAATGTATAGTATCATTTTCAAGCGATCATATCATTTGTTAGATATTATATGTATATGAAAAACTAACCTTGATGTTCATCAGCGTGCACAGTGGAAACTGAAAGGTCCAGTTTTGGTGTCTGTTCAAATAAGGCAGTTCTTGCTTGAGGAAAATGTTGTGGGGAGGAGTAGGGCTTTGCCGGGGTACTTGTGAGACCATTTGGACTGGAGACTGTGAGTCAAATTTAGGATCCAACATGTCACTTTAATTAAAACAAAATACCCTCAAAACTGAAAATGAGCACCGTCATGGTGGTGCTGTGATCAACCTTCTGAAGACAAAGTATCCTACGTACTTTAAATACTGAGTCTCATAAATGTCCCGTTTGGTAAAGTTCAGTCACTGTCTGACCCCACATGGGCATCAGACCATCATTTCAACCATGCAAAACTTTGATGTAGCTTGGGTGCTACTTATTGGATATTTAACAACACTCCAGACACATTCATAGTCTCATAAATGTAAGTTTTTTGTTATAATATTTTAAAGACAGTAACATTTACTGCAAGTATTGACTAAAAATATAATCCTTGGTTTGGTTATAGAATCATTGCAACATGTATTCCACAGGCAGGCGAAGCGGACTGATAGTGAACTAATAGTTGACAGATACTAAGTAATCAACTTCTCTGCTAATGGTTAACTGACACTCAATAGCTGTCTATGACAGTCATTCAAGTTTACTTCATGGACATAATGACATTGCTTGAATGTCAGGCTGTCATTGACTGACTGGTGGTCAACTATTTACACAAATTTTTACTTGCCGATAGTGTTACTTGTTGTAATATTTGGCAAGGTTCATAAGAACAGGCTATCACTCATTAAAAATTGTCAGCCATCACAACAAGCTTTCATCATTCAAAGTACTTGCCTATGGTTCTTTGATGACTCAAATCAGAAAGTGGCAGCATTCCATTAGCAGCACTAGATATACCAGTACTGTTAATTAAAGTGGATCTTGTTGGTAGCTCATGATACTCGGTCCGGCTTGACATAATTGATGAGGCTTCTGATTGGTTGTCTGGTATGTCATCTGTATGTAAATCTTTCACTGGCTCCTCCTCTCCATTCATGTCATATATCTAGGGTTAGTGAGTAAAAAACGTTTAAAAGTTCAAATTAGAAACACCCTATATTTCAAGAATTCTTCATTTATTCTGAAATAATTTTCTTCCTTCTCATCAAAAAGATTGCCACCAGATAGTAAGTGCCACCCCCAGTCACTGACAAACTTATGAAACTAATAAAAAAAAAGTCTCAGACCCTTGTCAGAATCTTTTATCCTGAGGAGAAGCAAATGAGAGCCTGAAAATTATGAAACTGTAAACAAGAAATCTTCTGTAGGTGTCTTGTAATCCTATTGGTCAATTGTTTCTTTCAGTTTTTTTAGTCATTATGTGATCACGATAGCACTTTTGACTGACAGTGAAGCCCCACAAGTAAAAATAGATTCCAATCATTGACGTACAAGTAGTGCTGCAGTCAGGTAGGTTAGAAAAGCTTTGTTCCATAATACTTATCACCTTCTAGGAATATAACCCAGTTCTAATTGCATGAAGCAACCGATAATTTTATTGTTCTCCGTCCTCCCCCATGAGATACTAGTCCATTACAGGTTACCACCTCCCCTGCCACTCTCCCCAGCATCTCACCAGGTTTCATTGACAGTTCCCATTTAAGTTACTGGGCAGAGGATGTAACTGTGAGAGTTGGACATCTAGCCCAAGAAAATAACAAAACCTTCTTCTGGGGAGCTGGAACCTGCTCCTTTCTATATGGAGGCCAGTGATCTAACCACAAGGGCCACAGTGTCTCCAATTTTCCACAGTCAAGTACTTACATTTAAAAGAGGTGGTACTACTGCAGGGCTTTTTCCATGGGAAGTCAAGAAATTTCTTAATTCTTTTATGGAGCCTTCATGAGACTAAACAGCAAAAGAAACAACAAATACCAATGAATGAAATCTGCTCAGTTTCAGGTGAAATGCTCATGTAAAAAAGGTTTGAAAACCTGAGGAAGACTGTGTATAGATTTTAACACTTTGGATGCTTGAGCACATGCAAATATGTGCCATGTTTCATAAGTTTTTAGCTGGATTATGCATTGATGAGGAGAAGAAACAATCATCTCTGGGAGTTAGAGGATGGATAAATAGATTTGTTGTCTTACAACAAAAGACAGAACAAAATTATATTTATTTGCAAATTCCATGACAATATCATACCATTGAGACCCAGATATTCTGTCAAAACCATTAAGACAACCGTTCAAATGTTCCATTAGGTATCCCCTATCTTCTCCCTGCCCTCTTATCAAAGATGTTTCTAAATTGTTCTTTCTCTACAAGCACCTCTCATTTAGCCAAAGTTTCTGTTTCTGACCAAACAAACAATCATTAGAGGTACTCCTCAATTTTTGTTCTCAACTAGTCCAACACAATTTACTGTTCCATTTAGACATCATTACTGGATAGCAAGTGGGAATTTTTCCAATCATCATTGATTTTCAGTTAGTGGAGGATCATATAAATCCATTGAAAAAATGAGATGCCCCAAAAGTGACTTTATTCAATCATCCCTTCTGTTTACAGACTGTTTCTCTCTTCACACCCATGTCCTTAAAGGAATCTGCTTTTCTGACTCTATTTGTCACAATTATTAGCTATACCAAAGAACTGAATTGCATCACAACCCTCTAAAGTAAATTAAATTTATGTTTCAGGTTTGATAAAAAATTTGCAAGGTACATTTTTTTGAGAGAGAAAAACTAAAAAACCCTGAGAACATCCCTGAAGTAAACATTAGAAACAAGAAATTTAAAGCAGATCTGAAGCTAGTTTTGAACTGAACCCTGCTTCCTTAAAAGAAGAAAAATCAGGTTGAACTCACATGGGAATTACAAAGTTCCCCTTCTCAGCTAGCATCCTGAACCCCCCCCCCCTCCTCCCCTGATCTCCCCTCTGAAGACCAATTTAGAATAAATGTAACTCCCTGTTAAAACTTTCCACTATGGCAGTGAAGAGAAAATAAAATGGAAGCAACTCTTCATATAATTTTTAACCCTAGCTGTTCAACACCAATTTCAAAAAATTCTGCAGGCACTCCTCTATCAGGAAAAAATATATGGATCAATAAATCGATCAGAAAATTATCATTTTCAGAGTGTATGAATAAACGTTGAAGTTTCCTCTATTTTTCTGGAAAGATACATCAGCTGTTTCACTGTCATGTCAACAAGCTGTTTCAATTTTGAACTTTGACTTTTTCATTATTCCCTCAGCAGACTTTTTAGGATAATTTAACATATCACTAAGAGATGGGCCACAATAGCATTTCTGTTAACAATACATCACGATAATGATCATCTTTCAAGAAGTAAAACAAATTTAAAAGCACTTATTTTTTTGCGCTAACTAATAATGAATTCCACTTTTTGCATTCACGAACTAGACAGCTGTTTTTCTGTAAACATAGACCCGCTAAACAACGGTTACCTGACTATAATTAAACCCTCTGGTTTTAAAATTAACTTTGATATTTCTTACTTTCCCGAAATGTGAATATTTTTTCACAATTGCTTTCGACCAATTCGAGAGGAAAATTCATTAAAAATGTGTAAAATCTACTACAAAGAGATCGTAAAAAATTTGATCCCCCGTCTTCGATGGATGCTATCAGTAGATGTTTTGGAGCAATGCAAACAATATTGGAATGCATACAAGACGCTTCGCCTTTCCTGAAGGTTTGATCGATCAAACGAAAGTGACGCGAAATTCACAAAACTTGTAAGTCTTCGAACATCGCATTACATGGTAACTTTTGTCGTCGAAAATTAGCTGTTTATCCCGCTCTTTCTGTAACTATAAACGGAAAGAGGTTTAAGGTTATTAAAGCTTTTCAAAGACAGTGATAATTAGCGTGATGCCACTAAAGCGATAAAAAGTCTCGTAGGACTTTTAATTTCGCTTTTTAAGTTATCTCACCTTCAATACATCCATGATCACTTTTAATGTGGTCGCAACGCTATCATCCTGCACTTCGATTGGTGCCTGGGCCGGGGAAACAACACTTCGGGACATTTTCTATCCAAACGACCAGCTGCTCTGCTACAGAAAAGATAATCGTTACCGTAAATCATTTGAATAGCCAAGCGCCGTCATAAGTTTACACACTTCTTCAAATATGGCGCCTTTGTTCGCAGCCTCGCAACCGTGACGATCAATATCACTCTGGGGAACAGGGCGGGAAAAAAGTAATAATGGTAGAGTACCTTGCCCGCACCTGAGCTTAGAGCTCTTTGGGAACTCGTCTTGAAACAAACTCTGAGGAAAAGAAGATCAATGCAAATTCTATTTCGAACCTAAGTTTTGAAGTCTGGGTAAAGATGGAGAGTTAAAGGAAAGGATTGTAAAGGGGGGAGGGGAGGGGTGGGTTTTTTTTCTTAATTAATCCATTTATGTCGCAATATTGAGATCTGCTGTCTACGAGGAGTATGGAATTCTCTAAACGTTTTATGGTTGCAATCCTAAATGAATTGATGGCCTGTTGAACGTTTGGTAAAGGTGAGTTGCAAACTGTGAACGGATCATTTTCCATCCCTAGATTCATATTTCATTCGTTCAATCTAATTTCGCATTACTCTTTGCTTCAATTTCGCTGATTCCTAACAGTTCATCGGTGACCTTTAAAAGTTATATGTACAGGACCTGTCATTACGACAAAACTAAGAATCTGAGCTCAAGAAATATGATTCTTAAAAGAAACAATCTACTGCACACTCGTTTTGTTGATTTAAGAAAGGGGTGTTATCATCATAACCGGCCATTATGGAGGTTTGAAAGTACACGCTTATAATCGGTGTGGATTATTACAAGGGCCGAGAAAAAAGTGAAAAATAAGATTACAAAATAAGTTGCAAAATAAATAAAGGACGACCACGGTAAAAAATTGCTTCATTTAAAACGAATACATTCCTGCTACGTAACTCACAATTGTTTGAACCGATAAAACGACTCTGGAGAAATTTTCGCTGTGTTGTAAAGACGGGACTTCACTACTTTTGCATCGTAAAGCCACTCTTTGTCAAATTAGGTCTTGTAAAAGGGGAACAATGCCAGTGCATGAAATAAATCTTGTTTTCTGGGTTAAAAATTTGTTTGAAAAAATAGGGTAGCGTGTCTCTCACAATGTTTTTGGCCCTTTGGTGCGATTGAAATTAAAACAACAACAACAAACTGTGACACAAAACCTTTTTAGTTTTAAAGTATAATTTTCAAATTTTATTTCCTTCCAACATCAATCTCACTGCAACAACTCAAGACTGTAATTTATTAAAAGTATGTTCTTCTGTTATGTGTTCTTATTTTTCCCTTTTTAAACCTCTGATACTCCGATCAATGTTTTTCCAACACAGAGGACTGATGTGGGTGGACTTGACTTGCGAAAAAAAAAATTGATGAAAAAAAGGAATTAATGAATAAGTTGTGTTAAGAAAACAATTTGTTTAAATAACGAGATGACAAATTCTGCGAAGTTCACGTTCGTATTCATAAATAAGCCATATTTAACCAATCTCAACTACCTGCATTGGCTTGAGAAAGTGCAAATTGAAGAATTTCACCCTAAATTTGTACGTTTAGAAAGCTTTGGATTCCAAATATAAATTTGTTACGTAATGCCAAACACGAATGGTTTTTCTCGGCTCAAATTAGCACAATGACCGTTCTATGAAAAGAGCCGTAGAACCTCTTTAGTTCTACATTTCTTTAATAAACATTCAATTGCCTAGCGCCTGTTAGCTTGAAGACAGACCGTCCCCGGTCAAATATTTTTTCAGATGAAGAACTAACGAGGGATTGAGGGCTTCGTTTAAGGGAACTTTTGAAATTTAGTTTATGGCATGATGACGGTGACACAAAAAATCAAATAAACAAAACTACCTACAGTGTGTAGTAAGAATTTCGCTGAGTGTTTGATGTGTTAACCTTCTTTTTTGAAATTATAGTCAAAGCTAAAATCTTGGAGTCCTCTTTGATTTCCAAACTGAAACATAAAAGAATCTTCCGTCAAAAGAAAAAGGCGATTACGTAGTTGGAAATGCATGTAACGAATGATCGTTCTTCTCATCCAAGGCTTTGTTTTACTACGTTGTCGATGTATTTGCCGGCGCAGTTTACTGAGATCCCAGTTTTTTTTGCTAAGGAATTCGTCTCAAGAGCTTCTTCCTTAAGATTTTATTTTTTGCGCGATGGAAAAGTTGGCCAGGTAACTATATTTCAATTTATTTATTTCAAAGCGAGAGCGCGCAATGCTGTTTCCAGATTCCTACTTCTCTGCTAAAAGACGTTTGGTAAATCATGCTATCGAAACAAGAACAGTCAAGAACTTGGATGACTGTGAGCTTATGTGCTACCTGAACGACAACTGCGTCAGTCTTAACTTCAAAAAGATTCAGAGAATAATTTAAGCAATAATAAACTTTGAGATATCAAACACACTTGAAAAAATATCGTATTTATGGACCGAAACGGTAATGCGGATGTGTTACCTCCATTGAAACCGTCAACGAAGGGTAATGTGAAGGCTCACGAATCGAACGTTTCTGGAGCTTTACCGCTTGTTGGAGGAGTACAAGTACAACAACTATTTGAGGAAGAAACTAACCAACAAAACAAAGGAAAGATCGCCAACGAAATACAAGGCCTTCCATCTGTTCATCGGCCAGTATCTTATTCTGGGAATGCTTCTCCAGCGTCAGGAAGGAGATCTAGCTTGAACGGATCGGGATCGCTGAAATCTAGAGGATTACCCATGGCGCCGGAGCAGGCAATGAAACAATTCATGCACAAGCTAACCAGCAACGAAGGAGCAGAAGAGGACATCTGTATTCTTTCACATTGCATATGCAATGAGATTCACTTTTCAGCTTGGCCTGTTATTGTCAAATTTTGCTTATTTTCCTGAAATCTGTCATTAAATTCACGTTATACCGAGGTCAACCCTTTCATTGTTTGCACTTGTAGTCTTCTCGGCTCATGATGACATTGTTTACATATCCTTACATGAGAACAATTATAGTAAAGAAACTTTGCATTGTGAGATATTATGTTTTCTCTCACCTTTATCTTCACCACTGAATTGTTTTAGAAGCATATGCCAAACTAACAACAGTCCCTGAATAGCCATCTACATACGACATAATGAGCTCGACTACTACATACCTGAAGACTCTTGTGTTTATTGGGAAAAGTCTATTGCATTTCAGAAGTGTAGTTTTTAATGTTTAAGTGTTCAACAGCATCAGTTTTAGTAGATATAGATGGTCTTGTATGTGCTCCAAACTCCATAGATAGCTCTATAAATGTTCAACTATGAAAGATTCACTTAAAAGAGTTCACTTCTAAAGTTTTTTCTTGGTGTCTTTTTAAGAAAGTTTTATCCCAAAATTTGACTTGCCAAATGCATTATGCGGCTTATCAGCTAGTGCGGCTTGTACGGTGGTTTTTATGAAACTCTTTGACAGTTTTTTAAACAGCAAAATGTAAGTCTGAGACATTTATAGAGAAACCACTGTTACGTATAGCCTTTTTCAAAACACAGCTTTTCAGACAGGGCCCACATTTTCAAGTCAAAAAAAGCCAGCACAGGAAGACCAAAACTTTACATGCATTAGTGAGGCCAACATAAAAGCACGTGCAAACCAAGTGCACTTGTACCCTTGACTCTGAGTAGTGTTGCCTTGTATAGCATTCACATCAACTATGCGCTTGGCTGTTATCCTAGATTTAACAAAACTTACTCTCGCTCACTCATGCCCGTTATGGCGTGTGGCATAAGGATCGCCACGTCTGCTGGTTCTGGGCCAGCTTTTGGATGCTACCCCAAATGTGTTGCATGGTCTTCAGCTCTGCCTCCACAGTTCGGCACCCGGTGTTTCTTAGTCTTCTCCTCTTGCGCTTTCCTTCAGGTGTCCAGTGAAGGGATGTGCGAGTGATGTTGTCCTGCTCTCTCCTCATGACGTTCCTAATCCATCTCCATCGCCTCAGCATGATGATGGTCTCCATACTGTCTTGCAGCGGGTGAGTAGCTGTTGATAGGAGATGGTGTCAGGCCAAAAGATTGGCAGGATTCTCCTGAGGTTCTTTCTGTGGAAGACTGACTGCTTGGTGATGTCGCTCTCTGTCATCCTCCAGCATTCAGAGCCGTATAGTAGGGTGGACATCACACAGCTTTGGTAGATACTCAGCTTGGTCTTGGTGCTGTACTGAGAGGAACTCCACACGTTGTTGTGCATTCTGAAAGCGTTTCTGGCCTTCTTGAGACGGTTTTTGATGTCACTCCCTGCTCCTCCATCATGCCTTTCTGTGCTTCCCAGGTAAGTGAGCTCTTCAGTTGTTGGCAGGTCTTTTCCGTTCACTTGAACTGGTCTAGGATTGGACACGTTCAGCAGCGTAAGTACTGAGTCGGGTCGTCTTTTCCTGCATGTGTTGGTGAGTATGGGGGACCAAGGCTAGATCATCTGCAAAATCGAGGTCCTCCAGCGTTGAGAAGAGGGTCCATCTGATTCCCCGTGACTGATCTTCTGTTGTGTGCCTCATTACCCAGCCAACGGTCATGTTGAAGAGCATCGCCGACATTGTACAGCCTTGTCCGATGCCAGTCTTCACTTCAAAGCTGGTTTCGCTGTTGTCCACTCTGCATGTTGTTGTAGAAGCTTCTGATGATGTCGTTAATCTGCTGTGGTATACCATAGGCCCGAAGGGTGCGCCACAGACTTTCCCGGTGCACGCTGTCAAAAGCCTTCTCAAAGTCTACAAAGTTGATGTAGAGTTGTCTCTATCACTCAGTGCACTGCTCTATGATGTTACACAGGGTGAAGATCTGGTCTGTGCATCCCTCTCCTTTCCAAAATCCTGCCTGCTCTCTTCTCAGTTGTTGGTCCACTGTGTCAGCTATTCGCTGGGTGATGATCTTGGCCAGTATCTGGCTGAGTACAGATAGTAAGGTGATTCCTTGCCAGTTGTTGCAGTTGTTGAGGGCACCTTTCTTTGGAATCTTCACAATGACTCTCTCTGTCCAATCTTCAGGTAACTTCATCCCCTCCTAGATGTCTGCAAAGAGCGGCTGGGGTAGGTCCGCTGCTAGCTGTGGATCTGCTTTAAATACTTCTGTACTGAGATTGTCTTGCCCAGGGAATTTTCCGTTCTTGAGGGACTTGATGGCTGCTATGATCTCTTCTTTTCCTGGGGGATTGGTATTGACATCCAGGTCTGTCTCCGCCTCTTGTATATCTGCCTCTGTTGGTGGTGGTGGTGGTCTGTTCAGAACTTCACTGAAGTGTTCCGTCCCTCGTGCGTCTTGTTCGGCTTCTGTCGTGATTAGTCGCCCCTGCTTGTCCATGATTAGAGCGTCAGTGCCTCTTCTGTACCTGCCACACACCAGCTTGGTGATCTTGTAGACTCTGTCTTGCTCTCCCCTGCTTGCTGCATCTTCTGCCTGGCTTGGAAGGTAGGTCGCTTATGTGGCTCCGCTTGTCTGTTCTTGTCATCCTCTTCGCTGTTGGGTTCGCTTCGCTATGTTGTTGCTTGTATCTCTCTTTCAGTTGCTCTGATTTGGCCTCTAAGACTTTCTTCTTGAGAGTTCTTCTGTTTTCAATGGCTTGCCAGGTATCTTCTGTGATCCACTCCTTCCTCTTCCTCTGCTTTGTTCCGAGGCAGACTTTGCAGGTCTGCTCGTAGGCTATCTTAAGCTGTTGCCACTTTGCATTGATGTCTCCTGAGCCTCCCTGCGTCTGGTCTTCAGCATCTGCCAGTATCTGGAACTTATTCTTCAGCTGGAGTGTGAAGGCAATCTTTACTTTAAGGTCTCACAGCTTCTCCACGTCAGAGTGTCGTCGCCCTCTCAGACTGGATCATGTCTTCCTTATGGCTGCCAGGTATGTACTTAACATTGACTACATAAGGCTTTAACCTGAGAATCATCTTTTTGAAGACAGAGGGGTGCTTGAGGAATAGGCTTCTGCAGGATTGCTTTTAATGGCTTGTGATCATTTTCAACTGTAGTCTCTCGTTGCCCATACAAATAATCATGAAACCCCTCACATCCAAAGACAATGGCCAGCATTTCTTTTTATATCTAAGCATAATTTTCTTGGCTTGGAGACAGGGCTTTAGATGCGTAAGCAATTGGGCGGTCATTCTGCAGAAGAACTGCATCAACACCTTTTGAGCTTGCATCAACAGACAGGGTCACTGGTTCGTTCGGGTCAAAGAACTTGAGGAGCTGAGAAGATTGAAGTTTTCAGGCATGTAAATGTGTCATCTTCTACTTGTCCCCAGGTTCGCACAACATCTTTCTAGAGTAGCTGGCAGAGTGGAGCACTCTTCTGAGACATGACTGGGATGAACTTAGACAAATAGGTCACCACACCTAAGAATCTCTGTAAGTCTTCACGATTGGTTGCGGTTGGCATAGCGATTATTGCTTCAACTTTCTTAGGGTCTGGTTTAACACCGTCTGCACTCAACACATGGCCCACATAATGAACTTCAGATTCTCGAAAATGGCATTTCTCCCTGTTAAGCTTAAGGTTGTGCCCACGATAGCGGTCCAACATCTTTCTAAGCCTCACATCATGCTGCTCCACATCTTTCCCCCACACAACAAGATCATCCACAATTACCTCAACACCTTCAATGTCCCGAAACAAATGGAACATAACATTCTGGAAGACTTCTGGGGCCAGTGCTATCCTAAATGGCAAACGTTTGTAACTATACCGACCAAATGGGGTGTTAAAGGTAGCTAGCTTGCTACTGTCCTTGGCTAGTTTAACCTGCCGAAGGACATGGTTAGCATCAAGAACACTGAACACTTTTGCATTGGGCATTCTGCTAATCACATCTTCCACGGTCTGCATGGGGTTGCTAGGATCCAGGCACACTCTGAGCTTGCTATTCTTCTTCTTGGCAACCACAAGACTGTGTAACCAGGAAGTGGGCTCTGTACATTTCTTAATGACTCCCAGCTTCTCCATTCTCTGAAGCTTCTCTTTAAGAGGCTCGCGAAAGGCCTCAGGAAGCCTACGGGGAGGGTGCACAACAGGGATGGCATTGGGATCAATTTGAATTTTGTGCTGGACGCCTTTAGTCTCAGCCAGACCCTCAAACACGTCTGCATACTCGGATTCTAGATTCTCTTCTTGAAGGTGGTAAATTCTCTTTATCAGGCCTAAATCAAGACAGGACTTCAATCCAAGATTGAATGGTAAATCTTGCTCAGTGAGTATGAAGTCTACAACGGTGAATTTCCCTTTGTGCTCACAAGTTAGGCTGATCCTGCCCCTGGGTGTGATTCGACGTCCGTCATACACTTTCAGCTTGGCTTTGCTCTGGCGGGTCTGTTTGGGACCAACTGGAAGTCCAACCAACAACGACTTGGAAATGACATTACAGTCAGACCCTGAATCTACTTTAAAATTCACACTTGTATCAGCAATCTTGAGCGAGACTTGCCAATCGTCTTGAGAAGGGCATTCATTACTGGACTCCACTGAAAAGGTCAGAAAATCGGCTTCGTTATCTCTGCCCTCCGATTCAGCGACTGCGTGTACCGTTTTCCCGCCAAAATCCCACAGTCTTTTCCGGTAAACGTTCGCAAAATGATCTCGCATCTGGCAGTAATCTCACGTTTCGCCCAAAGCAGGGCAAGATCCCCACAAGTGAGAAGAACCACAAAACGTGCGCTTTCCTTTTTGTGAGCCCGAACCTGGTCTCTGTCGACACGGAGGATTTTTTTCCTCTCTGCCGCCGCCAGCTCGAATTTCATTCACAGTTGGATTTTCAATGTTTACTCCTTTGGGCCATTACTTTAATCTGTTCTTTTGAGGCATCGGACACTCTTGCCATAGAAATCTCTTTTTCCAGTGTAAGCTTCTCTTCCCTCAGTAATCGTTCCTTCACCTGTAGATCTCGTTTACTAATGACGAACTTGTCTCGCACCATGTCATCAACTGGCGACGAGTAATCGCAAGATTTCACCTTGTTTTTCAAATGTGTGACGAACTGATCCACGTTTTCAGAATCTTTCTGTGTTATCTGCCAAAACTGATGTCTCTCGAAAACTACGTTCTTCCTGGGGTTATAGTACTGCTCAAACTGCTCCAGGACTTTGTTCAACACTTTCTTTCCTTTGTTGTGCATCACAGTCTCTGACTCTTGTAGGTACCATTTGTCTGAAATCTCGATATCATGATCTTTACAGATGCTCAATGGAGATATGCTGCAGCATTATTATGCCTGTAGATGTACTCTTTTTTAGCTAATACCTCACATCCAGATACAATATGGTCCATTGTCTCTTCATGTTGGGAAAAAATCCTGCATTTGCTCTCTACTTGCTGGCCATATGTTACTTTGTGGTAGTTTGTGGTGTTTTATTGCGTGGTCTTGAGCTGCAACAAATAGTCCCCTGTTTCTCCTTTCAGATTACTTGAAAACCATTTGTTGGTGGTGACTGTGTCTAAGTGAGGCTTCTCTAGAATCCTGGAATACTGGCCATGTAATGCTTTTTTTTCCACTTTCATTTATTCATGGATTTCATCCTGGACTTTGATGTGTGTTTCAGGGCCTTAGCATTTTCCGAGGCTGATTTATCCTCTCTGTTCTCAAAGCCTGGCATTGTTACTTCCCTTTTGAGCTTAGTAGCATTCTTGGTTATTGAATTTTTGGACTTAAATCTTTCATGTTCAAGCGCCTGCTTTGGATATTGCCCTTCTTTGTACCTTAGGTAATGATTGAGCCCTATTGTTACTGTTTTGAATGTTGTTTCTACATTAATCAAGCCCCTTCCTCCATCTTTTCTTGGGATGTACAGCCTTTTCACATCTGCTTTAGGATGTAACACCTGGTGCTTGTTCAATAGTATGGGTGTTTTCATGTCAATCTTCTTCGGTTTGGAGATTTTCCAGTCAATGATGCCAAAACTATAATGCACAACTGGGACTACAAGGCTGTTGATGGCTTCTATTTTGTTTCTTCCATTGAGCTCAGTTCTTAGGATCAATCTTACTCTCCTATTTTATTATTTTCTTATCCTCTCTTTCATTTTGCTATGCTGGATACCATCACTTTTATCTACACCCAGGTATTTGTATCCTCCTTCCTGGTTCAATTCTTGTATTTCTGTCTCCTCATCTATTATTTTGTTTCCAGTTGAAGTCAGTTTATCTTTCTTGAAACTGGCTTTGGCACATTCCACAAGGCCAAATTCCATACCAATATCATCACTGAATTGTGTCACTATTTTTAGTTCTCCAACTTGTTTTTGCTTGTTCTTGCTGTTCAATTTTAGGTCTTTCATATAAAACAGATTACTAGGCAAGAATGAATCTCCTTGAAAGATCCCTCTTTGGATCTTGATCTGATCCATTGTGATACATCCATCATTACAAGATGGCTTCATTGTAGTTTTCCAGTTTCTCATTGAGGTTTCCATGAACTTGATTAGTTTTTTTATTAAATCTGTACATCTGTAAGGTCTTTAGTATCCAACTATGAGGGACACTATCATAAGCTTTTCTGTAATCTATCCAGCTCATAGTCAAGTTCTTTTTCTTCTTTTTTCAGTCTTCTATGACCATTTATTCATTAGGAGGTGATCTTTGCATCCGTATGTTCTCCAGACACAAACTCTCTGTTCTATGGGCAATATATCATTCTTTGTGACATGGGTGTAGCTTCTTTTGGCCTAAAATCGATGGGAGAACTTTAGAGGATGTTGATAAACAGGCAATTGGTCTAAAGTTTTTGGGGTTCTCTGTGTCTTTGTATGTTTGTGCTGTTGCGAACCAATTAGGGAGATTTTCGGGGTTTCGACTGCTTGGTTATATACATTCAGGTTTTGATGTAGTGTTGCGAGTTGTTTGAGCCAGAAGTTAAGAACCACATCAGAGCCTGGTGACTTCCAGTTGCTTGTTTTCTTTAAAGCGGTCTGCAACTCATCTTGGCTTATATCCTCCCATGGTTGGCATTCTGTTTCTGCTCCTCTCTCTTTATCCACCCTGTTGAATGGTTGTACTCTCCATTGTTCTCAAAGAGGGAATGCCAGAATGTTCCTGTTGGCTCTTTCTTAGGTGGTTTTTCAACTGATATGTGTTCTTTCCCAAGGTTTCTGAAGAACTTATTTCTATTGTTTGGAAAAATCTGGTTTTGAATGACTTGTTTACTTGTTTACACATATTCTTCTGACTCTTTGAACTTTTGCTTGAATTTTCATTTTGAAGGATTCTCTTTCCTGTCGGCAGTTCTTGGTTTGTTGTTATTTTGTATTTTTTAATTCTTTGTTTTTTTTGGAGATCTTTTGGGTTTCACCTTTCTGTGTCGTCTGTTAGTATCTACAGTTCAGCTCTCATGCTTTTAATCTGATTCTCAATTCTGGTCTTCCATTTTGGTTGTTGTTGTTTATTACTTTTTGTCGTTGAGACTTTTTGGTGTCAACACTAGTAACTAACACTCTTATTCTTTCTCCCTCTCTTGTTACAGCTGAGAGGAAGAGAAATCCCGGCTGAGGCTTATCTGATGAGTCGAGTGCGTCACCCAAACGTCATCCAAATCTACCAACTCATCTTTACTGAAGAACATTACTGTTTTTTTATGGAACGACCAGAATCTTGCAAAGACTTTTTTGACGTCATACAGGACCGTAACTTCGCAGGAAACCCATTGTCTGAAAAGAAGTGAGACGACACTTCGCTCAGATCTTTGAAACTAACATCAAATGCGATGAAAAAGTTGTTATACACCGCATTATCAAGCCTGAAAATATCTTCCCGGATTTTTCAAATGATGAAGTGAAATTGAATGACTTTGGATTGGCATCTGAGACACAAGAAGAGCCTATTGACAGCTTTAGAGGTAAGAACTGTTCAATCAGTGAAATCGGTTTCAAGTGATCTCAACTCAACATAACAAAGATTAATCACGCATTCAAACAGCTAAGATCCCAGACAGAAACCAGCTTAGTTAAAAGATCTTGTAGGAAAATGACCCTTAATTTTTCGAAGCAAGCTTCCTTATTTTTGCTTATCTTATCTTTGCTGATATTGATCATTTTAATTTTGCCTCCCTTAACACTACATATTGTTCCAGTTAAGTCGTACTTTGCATCACGTCACGTGACGGCAAGTCAGTGGGAGGAAGTGGAAGCTAGGAATACGGCGGTGCAGCCAGGAATACGGGTAGTGGCCAGAGCCTCTACAAATTTATGTAATTTCCTTTTCCTATTCCTCTTGCGACTCTGAATTTCGACAACCGCCCGTTAAAGAGGCTAAATCTCAACAAAAATCCAATAGAAATTGTTTTCTCTTTGTTCTTGACTAAACTTACTATCAATACTTTTCTTCTAGGTATGAATCAATACATGCCCTCTGAATTCATGAAGACAAGTAAATATGATGGTTGCGAGGCAACCATATGGGTGATGGGAATTCTCTTGGTCGATATGTTGCCACCAATTATTTCTGCATTTGGAAAACTGCAACATTGTTTGAGCATGGAGTCCAGAATACCTCGACACTTTTCATCAAGTGTGTAACAGTTTGGTTTAGTGGACATTTTTAAATACTGCGTTCATTATCATGACAAACAAAAAATCTTCGCAAATTCTGGTATGACAGTCGGAAAGTTTCGCCCTCAATTGCTGATCAAGTTGTAAAGGAAACTGTTGTTGGGTCATTGTTGGTTATCACCACTCAAGCTCTCTGAGGATAATTGTAGGAGTTACTTCGCCTTTACATTAATGAAGTGGCTCCAGTTAAGCAATCAACTATAAGAAGAATCGTCGGGTTCCGAATTATCTCTTTTCCCTTTTTAAACAGAGATCAAGAATATTGTTTATATACTTTGTGGAATCTCGAAGCAGATCAGCGACCAACTCTTAGACAAGTTCTCCAGCATCCATGGTTCTCAGTTAAAGTGTAAACTCCTCTCTGTATTATGGACCTTGTTTGCTGATTACGAGATGTCGTTGTTTTTTTTTTTAGCATGACCGATTATTTTTACTCGGTACAATTGCCTTGATAAATTGTGTGTTGTTACTGAGAGTCTCTAACAGTAGCCTTGAAATGTTGCGTAGTAAGGTGAGACAAGAAAACGTAGATTCTCCGACAGGGTTGAATAATGTCAAACTAGCTATAACGGTTTAGCGGAACTAAATGCGCAAACTACCTGAACCAGTTCATAGGGTGAAAATGGTCTAACTAGCTGATATGGGACAACATGCACAAAAGGGATCTTATAATGTACAGCGAAATGGTGAGTCCGAACATAAATGGATCCTATTGATTCGGAGTGATGATAGAATCCCTAAAAGGAACTTAATAGATCTTAGTGAAATGCATAGCCTATACACGAATCTTAATGATCCCTGGCAAGACGGAGTCCCTAAAAGGAACCTACTAATTTTTCGTGAAATGGAGTATATACACAGGTTCTTGAAATATAGTACAGCGAAATGGAGAGGTTACTGATTCTCTAAAGGAACCTATCGATTTGAAGCGAAATTTTGAGTCCTTAACAGGGCTCCTACGATGTACAATAAAGTGGACAGTCTCCATCATGGTCCTTGTAGACCTTGTAGCGTAATGCTCTGATAAACATGGCCACACTCCGAGAGAAAATCTTCCATGTACATTAAGATTTTTCTTAAACATTTTGCCGTTATTTTAATTGAAGTGTAAATAAAATGTCGCCTTGGGAAAAGAGTGTACAAAACGTTAAAAACTTTGTTTCCAAATTATAATGAAGAGCCAAGGGCCCATTTCCATAACATACCAAGGCTTTGTCAACTCATTCTTTATGTCTCCTTCTCTTGTTGGTTGATTTTTACGTCAAAAATGAAAATGGATACCAGACAATTTTGTTTCTGGATAAATTAGGCTATATGAGATTGCTATTTTTCGTCTAAAAATTAATTTATATGATTAATTATTAACCGGCTTAATCTAAAACTTACGCCTATTGAATGTAGAACCCCTGACTGAGTAACGTGATATTCACCATCGTAAATAAGAAAGTTCAATCGTTTCTTACAAGAAATTTTAAAGTTTACGTCGTCTTGATCTCTTATGTCTCTGATAACAGAAAAAAGTCTAGTCTAGCACGAGTTTAGTTGTATTCTCTTTCGATCTCCACTCGTTTCTCAATGAATGGAGTCTTATGGCATGCAGGGTCATTTCGTCGCCGTCAAGGAAATGGAGCAATGTCGGGATCTGAGAAACTACGCACCCACCCCTCCCTAACCCAGCTTTAACCCTAACTTGATGACTGTTGTTAGGTAGGGGTGGGGTAAATTCGCAGTTGCTCAGATACTGACATAAACGTTCTCGTCCGAATCGTGAGCTTCTAGTTGTATGTGATCTGTGGCTTACTGTACTCTCTCTTTATCGTTCACAATGCAAACTGGCTAAGGAAAAAAAATTAAACTCGTGAGGTACGAGTTGAAAACTCGAAGAAAAATTCCATATCTGCGCACACCCATGTATTATTCTCAAACTTATTCCATGCGTTAATTTCGTGAAAGTCACGTGAAAGTCACGTGAAAAGCACGTGGACATCTTTATTTATCCCACAACACACAGTGTTTCCATATGCCTTTTGATTTAGTTGTTAAAGTCCTTTGGTGAAAATCTTTTCACTTACGTATTTATCTACGGCGACTTTTGGCTAAACACGGGAAAAACCGGAGCAGCGAAATTGATGGACTTTCGATTCATATTAAAGCGTGTGAATGAGGTCACTAACTATAACTTGATGCAATATTATGACGTCATGTCCCGTCAAGCCATGCGAACTGTAAAGAAAATCTACTACCTCAAAAGACTGTAAACATGGCGCTGTGTCAACAACCCTGGCCGGAGGAAATAGATGTCTTTACTGGACCTCACTTGCGGATGAAGCAGCTTGTTTATGAAGCTTTAGAGAAGGTATGTACTGGGTGTTTGAAGTTAAGTGTGTGAACTTATTCGGTTCCTGATTTTACTGGTATGTGCTCTATCGCAAACTTTTCTGTGATAATTTTCTAAGTGTCTTTGCAACATGCACGTAAGGTTACGATAGCTTTCATAGAAGCTCCAGTCCTGGAAAGATCCCTCGAAGTATGCATGATATTGTATAAAACGTTATTTTTATATAAACATTTTAATGTAGGATATATAGCTATGTTGGCAAACGTTATTCAATAAAGTAATGCAAGTTGAGATTCTGAGGATGTTAATTAAGCTGTGTTGTAATCACAGTAGTTGTACGAAACTCCATTCTACAACACAAGTTTCACTTCGTATTTTCGAATATGTGGTATTGAATCGATCAGGAATTGGTACTAGCGTATCATTGATTTGATTTAAAATATATGCAAAGAAAATATGGCTTAAATTTGTTCTTTTAAAATAACGTTGATGGTTTTTAATATTGTTTTACGACTTTCAGCTCTCGGCCACCAACTTTAAAGACGATGTCTCTCTGATCGGACTTTTGGGGTGTATCAACTCCACCTTTCAAGAACTGAAACATCATGAGGAAATTGAAAATACTTGCATTATGAAAGTTTTGCAGCATCGTTTGATTAGCAAACAGATTCAGGCTATTGTGCGTGATGTTCACAAAGACAATCATGTTTTGGAAATTTTGTCACTAGCAAGGAAAGGACTCAAAAGTGCATCAAAAAGCAGAACTAATTTGAACAGGAGAACATTTGAAGACAGACTCAAAGGAGCATTGGAATCATTTCAAAGAGAATTCCTCCCCCACATGAGGCATGAAGAGGAGGTAAAGGCTTTTGAAGGAGAAATCCTTTGCTGCAACAGGCAGAGATGGGTCCAGACAAATTGATGTGACAGTTTGTATAATTTGACTTGTATATGAAATGCGTGAGAAAGGCAAAAATCTTCATATCATCATACTAAATTGTGATGAATATTCTCATTTCATACTGAAAGGAAGTAAGCATACTTTTACCAAGAATGTAGTGTGTTGTTGTTCATGTAGCCAGACTTGGTGAATATAAGTCAATTGATGGGTTCAGCAATTGATGTTTTGTTGCATATATAATAGAAGGAAAAGGGAAAAGAAGTTGATTTTTGGGTGTTCCATCAAGGAGAGGACTTTTCTCAAAAAATTTCCTTGGCATTTGTACCAAAATATACACATGTTTATTTGCAAGTCTTAGGTTTCTTCTTGCAGGATTTTACTTGAAATAAGTCCAAAACTGTTTAGCCAGAATTCATATTAAATTGAGAAATTGCTGGACCATTTAAGTGGCTGAAATTCGCAGTCTCCAGCCTCAAAAATGACCATACAAAACATTTTAGGTAAATCATGTTACTTTATTGTGATATTAAATGAGAAGGATTATCGTAATTTAGTGGGATGATGTGAAGCTTTGTAACATTCTCTTTCACTTTTTCAAAATTCAAAATATAAAGCTATCACGCCATTTGTGTGAGCTCCACATGGAAGAGAGTATTGCTAAAGAGATTTCTGCCAATGTGAAGTTGGTGGTATTTGGGAATGTACAATGTTATATCTTAGCTGCTATTTTTGTACAGTAGTGCTGTTAAAGAAAGATGTGCAGCTGTATTTGTTTGATGGTGAGCATGGGAAGAAAAAACAGAGTCCTCACTGAGGAATCAAACTTTTGGCCCTTGGTCCAAGCTTGGCTCTATTGTGTGGTGTTACATTTCCTGTCTTTGTTACTTGCTTGCAGAAAAGTGGTTATATCTTTTCTTTTCTTTTTGATGACTGTGTTCAAAATTTAAAGTCTTCATTATATGTAGTTTAGTTACTATGTCTGTTTTACTACTAGGTTTTCTTAGGGGACACTTCAGAAAATAGCTACTGTAGTAAGTTTGAAATACCACATGATCCAAAATGGAGGAACTAAGCTTGGTCATATTTCAGAATAGTTCATACTTGTGTCCAACTTTTTATAAATCTTTTGCCTGCTTCCCATTGCTGTCCTTTATTTTGATCTTCTCCTATTCAGGGACAATTTGTTTCTGGATAGGGGACTGAGTTGATTTTATTTGAAGGATGTGCCTCAAGGAAAGACTCCAGGTGTAGTCACAGTCAATTAAAATCCCTACATTGAACCTTGTGGGTGCTGCACACACCATTGCTTTGTTTGTGTCAGACCAAAGAAACAATCATAACTTACTTTGTATATCATACGTAACACTCAAGAGCTTAATCTCAGGCAGACATCTCTCTCTCAATCTGATATGGTCATATGATTATTAGTTAATTTGATAGCAAATTCTTGTATAAAAATCATAGAGATCCCTAAAATCTTCTTTGTTATTGATGTTATAGTGTACACTAAGACTGCCACATGGCATCCTCTCTGATGTTTTCAGGTTTTCCAGCCGTTACTTATGGAATACTTCACATTTGAAGAATTGAAAGAAATCAAAACCAGGGTTCATCAGTTGCACTCTGCTTTTACTGAGGTACATTGTTCATAGCTTTTTCCCCTAAATGTTGTGGTGTTCGGATTTATAGATGTGGTGAAAATTAGAGAGCATATAGCTCCAACAAGTTTTTCCAAAACTGATATTTAATTATTGAATAATTTGTTGGCTTGACTGTTAACATTTTGTTGGGATAATATTTATAATCATTCAGTTTAAAACACATATCTTAAAGAGAAAAGTCAATTTGATCTGAAATTTGCTTTTTGTCAACAACCAACACTTAGATTGGCAACTGTTTGTTAAAATTTTAATCAAAGTTACGTCAAACTTTGAAATTGAGTTTTATTTATCTTTCAGCATTCATGTTCCCACGAAACAGGGTCTCCTCCTCTCACCTCACAAATTAACAAGAATAGTGCATTTGATGCTGAAACTTATCAAAATCCTGACAATGAGGGTAACAAATCTTCTTCAGTGGACACAAACTCAAGTGCTACAGAACATTCATCAGAAGAAAGGATGTACCTAAAATCAGGCATTTGCACAGCAGACAATTTTAAGACTAGTGAAAACAACCTCACAAAAAGGACTTTGAAAGCTGAGGTTGATGTTGTGACTGAAAAAGAACAACCTTTGCTGCTGAGTTTTCCACCTGAAATCACACTAAAGATTTTTTCTTACCTGGGCCCCAAAGACTTATGCCATTGTGCCCAGGTTTGTCAGAAATGGTCACACTCTGCTCGAGATGGTGACTTATGGAGAGAGCTTTATCCTGTGCGCTGGATCTTTAAAAAGGATTGGCGGTTTGGTGCAGATAGTGATGACATGTGCTCTTGTAACTGTGATTCGGAGATACCAAGTTTGGGATTTGATGGCAGGTAAGAGGCATTGAGTAGAATAAGTCACCTTTGATCGTGTTAAAATGTCCAGAGCTTAGGTGGCTGGCCATTTCTGAAGATGAGAAGACTTTCGAAACTAAGGGTAATGTCATTGGATTTATCTTTATGTCCAGAATGAATGGGTACCATATCTATTCTGCACATTACTCAGTAACTGAACTTTCGTCATGCATACTCACAGAAAAGTTATAAATAATGTTGACTAAGATTGAAATGATTAATAATCATGTTGTTGTTATCAGGAAGTGGTTCTCCCCATTTTTTTTTTTACAATAGCTCTTGTAAACAGCCAGTTTTAGCAGCTAATTTTGTGATTCTTTGGAACCCTTTGGACTACTCCCTGTGTACTGTAGCTATTTTAGGTATAACATAGATGTCAATGAATTGAAAATGTTTTCAGCTAGCTTAGTATATTATTTTGTTTACTTGAAAGGTATAATTACATACCTTGTCTTTTCTTCAACTGACTTGAGAATCTTTTTGAATAATTACTTTATTAATGGAATTTTTTGCATTGTGGGAAAATGGATTTGCTGGAATGTAATAAAGCAGTAAGACTTTCAAGTTGGATAAAATTTTAACCAGTATTTATTAGTACCATATTGTTCAGATGGTAATCTGATTTTGGTTCCATTACATGATATACTAACTAAAGAAATTTTTTGTTTGGAAGTTCTTTTACTGACACAGACTTGGACAAGGAAGGGTCTAGTGACACTGAGTCCAGTGACACTGAGTCCAGTTATGATGGAGACAGTGACAGTGAGACACACACAGAGATACATCAGCTGCTGGGTTTGGTTCGATACCTGATACCAATGATTGGTCCAACTGTGTGGGTGTTAAAACTTGGCTGTTGTCCAATGTTGAGTAATGGTTTGGTGAGTTAGTAGCTTAAGTGAATGCTGTGACCCCATACAGGTCAGGTTACTCCCTCTGAAAGCAATGGTCTTGTATATATGCTGCATGCATGATTTTGAGCCCAAAATTTTGGCAAGAAGATGCGGCTATTACTTGAGTTGTTATAGTATCATATTTATCTAAAATGATTTATGTGGATGGCCAAATTAAGTCAGATGAAAGTCCCCATCAGGTTTATAATCCATTTTATAACTGGGGGTGTGAATAAAGAGCCAGTCACTCATGGTCTAACACTGTAAACAAGGTCTTGTGAAGTCATTTTCCTGTGTTCTGATAAACTGCTATGTAATGTCAGATTTATATGGCTCATTTTCACTGCCCATTTCACTATTGACAGACACTGTTGTGAAATGGAGTAATGGTGCTTTGCTTTGTATGAGAGTGCTTTTAACTTCTGTCTAATTTTGTTAAAAGTATCTAGTTATTAAGTAACTTTGGTTCATAACTTGCACAGGCATTCAAGATTTTGTCTCAGTGTCCCAATCTAAGGCAGCTTGATTTATCTCAAACTGCAGTGTCAGACTTGGGTTTGAAAGGGTAAGTGAGAATGCAGATCTGTCTTGAGTTGTAATTTGTTAATATAAATCAAATGAATTTTTGATCAAACGTGCACTTTAAATAATGTAATAGACACCACCCCCTTTTTCCCAATCAACACCCTCCTTCCAATGCTGCATAGGTTGTATTGGATGTCCTATTTTATTTAGAAGTCCCCCATGACAATCACCACATTAGTAGCCAATTGCATCTAGTTCTTTGTCATGTTCAAAGTAAGGATAACATTTGTCTACCTTCTTGATCTCAGTTATAGGCAAACCTCCCAACCCCTTTCCAAGTTATTACTGACTCAGAAATTAAAGGGGCTAACAACAACAAAACAACCCTCAATGTAGATTCTAACCCAAACTTTGAAATTTGACAGAGTGATATGGACCGGTAGGAGGCAGTGTGGTGAAGTGGTTAGGGTGCTGGACTTGTAATCTGATGGTCCTGGGTTCAAGTTCTTCACCCTGACATTCTCTGGATTTGTTCTCAGCAGCCCCAAGTTTAACTCCCTGGTTGGGCTGTGTAAATAGCCAACTGGTCTGCCTCCTGCTAATTGGGATTTTCAAGCACTTTAATATGTTTATTTTCAGTCATTGTAAAGTGCTATTGGATGGCAATAGAAATAGTGCTATATGAATGAAGTATCATTATTATAAATATTACCTGTAAATGGCCAAGACATAGCATAGGAAAGACTGGAAAGCCTTTTCTATATTTCCACCAAAAACATATTTAGGTTGTTGAGCTTGTTGTAAAAGCTGACTGTGCAAGATCTGTTTTTAAATCAAACCTTTTTCTTGCATGATCAGGAAGCCGTAGACAGGATATAAATGTATTGTTCCAAAAGTGATGCACTCATCAACTGAAAACATCTTAAATGAACCCTTTTTGTAATTTCAGATTGTTTCGAAAGGGTGGTGGCTTACAGTTGGAACATCTTGATGTATCTGGCTGCAAAAACATCACAGACAAAACTTTGTTTAAATTGTCTTCATCACTGGGTAAACTTCCAGTTGGATCAGGAATTTCTGACATTGAGGATAGCAGTTGTGACTGCCATACAATCTGTTCTTGTGGCAGATTGATAAGTACTGGTATCACTCCAGAGACAGCTAAAAGTGAGCTTGTCTATCTTGGACTATCAGGCTGTTACCAGATTACTGATGCAGGTCTCAGGTCAGTGATAACACTAGACACAAGATGAATTTGAAACTTTTATTTTTTCCTCCGGAAATAGAAAAACATTTCCTGCCTATGTTGGAAAAAATTATTGACTATATTCTTGAACATGTGTATCATAATAATAATAAGTATTCAACTGAAAAAAATCAAAGGTCTAATTTGGCTATTTTGGATTTATCTTGTTTGAAAAGCTTCATTTTCAATGGAAAAATTTACGAGACTAGTGTGGATAGTAAGCCTAGGAACAAAGGCACATATCTGAAATCATTTTAAATCATGTTGAAGGATCTGTAATGGAATTTTTTGTTAAAAGCATAGATAGTTCTCCTTTATGCTGCCCTTAAGTTGAAAAAATGTTAACCACTCCTGATTTATTTAAAAAAAAAAAAAATTATAATAATGTTATTTTTTGGTGTGACATTCAAATTTTTCCTTAGCTGACATCTGCACAAAGAAATGACTCCTTCATTTTACATCATTTTTATCATCTATTTATTTTAATGAAATGGTATTCATCATATTACTGTTGCTATACTAATGTACCTGGTGCAACTTTGTTTATGCAGGGCATTGGCAAAGTATGGAGGACTTCCCAAGCTTAGGCATTTGGACTTGTCAGGCTGCTTACATGTGACAGCTGAAGGACTTTTGGACTTGGTTTTTGTTTGTCCAGCTTTGGATCATACAGAGTTTTTCTATTGTGATAACATTGATGAGGGTCCCTACCCAGAGACAGCCAGTGGATGTCAGAATCTGCAGTGTAAAAATCGTGTCTGCTGCCGCACTGGGGAGTAACACATTGCATGTTCATAGTGCGCACAAAAATGTGCATCTCAGCACTGAGCTTGAAAGAAGTTTGATTATGTACTTGTTGTTGTTAATAGTTAGTTCATTTGTGAGAACTTCTTTGTTTGGTGCCACTATGAAAACTGATATTAACTTTGACTGTACACTAACTGTTGTTTGTGTCATACCAAGTCTACATAAACTTTTGGGTAGACACTGTAATGGTTGGTAGTTGCAGTCTTGTTTTATTGTATAGTTTTGTTTCCAATTTCTTTTCCAATTTTTTTTATAAAGAATCAATATTTTGTTTTGTAAATTAAAGGCTTATGGTATTGGATTTCATATTACAGACATCAGGTTTGATTGACATTTATTACAATTGTGAAAAAACACATGATAATGCAATTGATTAGTCAAAAGAGAGCAAACTGACTATTGTATAGGATCAATATTTTGTTTTGTAAATCAAAGGCTTATGGCTTTGGATTTCAAATAACAGATATCAGTTTTGATTGGCATTTATTACAATTGCAAAAAAACATGTGGATAGTACCATTGATTAGTCAAAAGAAAGCAAACTGACTTTAAAAAAGAAAAAGTGTGTGGTAGTTGTGTTTGATAAAGGTGAAGCAGATATATACAGAAGTTGTGAAACTTACAAAACTTTCTCTGTGTTTCAAGGAAAAAGCTAATCAACTCTGAGAAAAATAAAAGCAAAACAGGACTGTTTTTTTGCATATCCTAAACTTAATTGTTATTCAGGTCAGTACAGTATGAACCTGTCAGAATCAAATCAAAGTTTTCACCATTTTCTGAGTTTAAAACATGATTTAAAAAAATGAGAGAAAAGAGTCAAGTGAAAAAAGTTGATTAACCCTTTAACTCCCAAGATCTCTTTTAGTAATTTTCCTCACTGTCTGCCATACAGTTCTTGTGATGTTAGTTTTGAGAATTTGGTATTGGACAAACTTAAAATACCCTAATTGATATTTTTCTTTATTCTCATCACTTGTCTGCTTGATATTGTGTTGATATTGTAAAGAGAAATTCTGTCTTGGTCACTCATGGGAGTTGGAGAGTTTAAAAAAATTACTGTAATTTTATATTTAGTGCTCTTTTAAATAGTGTAAAAGACAAGCTAAAAGCATATCATAGACAGGAACACTTTTGATGCCAATTGTGAGATTAGATATGTACAACAATGGCAAAGTGCATGTAATGAATACATAAATATGAATAATGTGGTTACAAAGGTAATGCAAAGTAGTTCTTCTTGATGATTTAGCTGGTAAAGTACCCCTGCTATGAAATGAGGATGTTTTGTTACCATTTGACTTTGATATCATCCTTTTTAAACATCCACCTTTTCAATTCTACACCTCAATTTGAAAAGTTAGCAGGTTTTTTTTTTAACATCAATTTGTCTTAATTGTCCACCATTAACAAAATGCAGTTAAGTCCTTAAAGCACAATATCCCATGCTGCATAATGAAATAAGATGCATTTACCCATTGCGATATGAAAGCTGCAAGTCTTTCACTTCAGTCTTGCGCCTAGCAGAGCCTTCTTAGCGCAACTCGTCTGGAAGATAATCTGGAAATGGTGCACAGATTAGGACTTGTGATAAAGTAAAAAAGATCAAAAGTTTGAGTGCAAGTATGATTGACTGCTTAACAGAGGCATTTTGCTTCATGTAATTTTTGGTTGAACATGCTACTTTTTTCTAGCTCTTATAAAAAATTGAAGAGTTTGAACTAATCAAAGTGTCAATTATTGTGTGCACAGGTTTTTAATCACGAAAGGGTTGATTATCAGTGTCCATGTCTACCTCAGAGATAATAATTGGACACAGTAGCTGTTTTTTTTTTCACAATTATAACCACTTACAGGCAATACCAGAACTTCAAGCTGGGAGTGTTCATGTAATATAGAGTGTCCACCATGTAAGGGGTCTGCTTCATACGGATTTAATTGTATGATAAACTATAAAAATAATAACTAATGCTATCAATACTCTTAATTGCAAGCTTATACTGTTGATAAGATGAAGGCAAGCAATTTGATGGAAATTAGGAAGGAGATTTTTACCCCTCAGAGCACAGCATCAATGTATGTGAGTCCTTCTGGCTAATCAAATTTACCCTTAGAAATCTGGAAAATTGTTTCTGGAAAAGTCGACCATTTTAAGTCTGAGTTGTTCTGATGATTGGCTTAAGGGAAGTAGTGGTAAGAGAAAGTTGGTGTAAAAACGTATTAACTTGTAGATGCAGGACAAATGTGAGCATCATTTGCATACTTTCTTTTTCTGGGCACAAATAAATTTCCCTTTTTCTACCCTCACATTGTGTATCATTGAACTTGTTATTAATTTAAGCCGTTTAAAGAGCTAATCTAAGAAAATTTGTCGAGGTTATTCCCTTTCCCGTCCCTCCCACTTTTGAAACGAGCCCAGTGGAAGCCAAAGTTGAAACTTGTGTCGTCTATTCTGTTCAATATTTACTGCAATGTTAGTGTGCGACAGGTTTTGGGAAGACGAGTAAAATAAAGTAAATGTTTACTTTCTGCAATCCTCCACTGCATTTATGAGCCTAGTAGCATTATAAAATGGATTTTTAGAATTTGTTTAATACTGAAGTTCAGTTGGTGTGTAGCACAGAGAGAATTGCAACGCATGCTCCTGTATTGAAGTTGTAACTTTGAAGACAATTTCGCTACATATAAATTCTTTATGCAAGCCCGTTTGCTAACTTGTCTTAAATTCGCGGAGTAATTTAGCGCATTTTCGGCTGGCGGCCAAGTTATCTCGAAGTAATTTTGTTGTGTAATTGATAGATATGAAGCTTTTACACAAAGAACCCTCGGAGATCGCGATAGACTTTTGGAGATGAAATTCTGGCTCCAGAATACGAGGAATTTGAAGAGTTTCGAGAATGTTGCTCTCTAAGTAAGTTTTCTTATATGGGATTTCTACCAGTAATCATGCTGTCGCTTTTGAACAGGCTCATCAAGTTTCACCAAGTACACGAATCCCTATGTTGAACGCTTCCAGCTGGGACGTGGAAAACAAAGCAAACTCTCGACTAAGCTATCTTTAGAAATGACACACATTCCCACTTAAATGACAGTACAAACGTCCGACTCCAACAGCAATCTACAAGGAATCAAACAAAATTTTTTGGAAAAGTTAAAATATTTATTCTTTTCCTCCCTATCTCACATAAATGTATGGGATAAACAACATTCCTCTTGTTAATTTCACGAACATGAATAGGAATTGTCTAAATTTTATATACAAGTTGCATAATAACAATAACACCTAACTTCACTCGTATATACAGGGTGTTTTACCACGTAGTTCTCTATAACTTATTATTTGGTAGATCATAGAATTCTTTCCTTGACAAAAACAGTAAATAAAATTCGCTTAAAGCTAACACCTAGTAAGCATTGTTGCGCAAACGTACACGTATGAGAAGAGAAGATTTACATTTGAAAGGAACCAGTTCATCGTTCAATTACCTCTGAAGGTGTAATTAACCTAAAACACTCTAAGAATTCCTAAAAAATACAACGAAGAGAGGTAAAAAATAAAATTTTCTCGCAAAGTAAAGTCAGTTGTCACCTTGATAACAAAAGCAAGGTGTTAAAAATATTCGATTTTTATCAAGGGCTTAGAAAATCGTGTACTTCTTGCAAGACTAGTAAAATTATCTTCCCACTATTTTTGGTAACACAGTTCTGGTGTTAAGTTTAGCAGAGTCTGTTACCCCACGACCATCGTCCAAGATCTCTTCGATTTGTCTTCGTGGCTTGGTTTTCCCTGATGTTGGGGCAGCTGGCGGAAGCTTGGCGACTCCCGAGCCTGAATTACGCTGGTGGTATGATTTCTCCACTGACGCGTTCGATTCGGGTGCTCGAGGCAAGCGCCTTCGAAGCCATGGATGACGAAGGGCTTGTGATGGAGTCATACGCTGAGAAGGGTCCCATTCTAAACATCGCTTTAGAAAATCGATGAACTGAGCATCTTCACAGCCTTTCAAAGCCGTTTGCCATTTTTTCGAGCCAGGAGGGCCTCGCGTCTTACCGTGTCGAGAACGACCACCAGTCAAAACTGTGCTTCCATCTGGAAGAGTTGTTGCTGTACAATACCTTGGATGTCCTTTCGAATTAATAAACGTCTTGTCCCGCTTAGAGTTTTCTAATAGTTTCTGAGGAGGCATGCCAAGTAGTTCAATAATGCAAGCAAGCTGGTCTCCTTCATCTTCACCGGGAAACAAAGGATATCCTGTCAAAAGTTCAGCTAAAATACATCCAAAGCTCCACATGTCTATTGGCATACCATACTTTGCTCCAAGAATCACTTCAGGCGCACGGTAAAATCGGCTTTGAATGTACGTGTAAATACGCTGATGTTCATAGCAACTAGAGCCAAAATCAATCACTTTAATTCCACTCCGTCCTTGCTGTTTGAGAAGAATGTTCTCTGGTTTCAAATCACAATGAATAATACGATTTCGGTGTAGTGCGTCACTACATTGTAGAATCGAGTGTGCGAACTTCCGCACCAGTTGTAGACTAAACCCCTGGAATTTGTTTTTCTTTATGAGTTCGTACAGGTTCATGCTCAACAACTCGAAAGTCATGCAAACGTGTTCGCGAAATTTGAAATGTTCCAGCATGTGAATAATATTGTGGCCGTTGTCTTTGTCTTGCTTTTTCAGATGTTCTAGAATCCTGATTTCTTCCTGAGCTTGTCGGTGGAATCGCTTCTCGTTACGGACCATTTTCAAAGCCACATTTGTCTGAGTCTTGTGATCGTAAGCTTTCACAACCTGCCCGAAGCTTCCCTTACCGATAATCTTGACAACTTCGTAGCGGTAAGCAATATGATCATGTGGAACTTGAATGTAAGAACCCTGATCATCATCATAGCCTCCGTTATTCGCACCACCAACCACACCCTGACGTTTCTTCGCATTTGGACCAACAAACCAGATTTGAGGATAATTAAAGATCTCATGATGTTCGTAGCTGGTTAGCTTGTGCATGAATTGTTTCATTGCCTGCTCCGGCGCCATGGGTAATCCTCTAGATTTCAGCGATCCCGATCCGTTCAAGCTAGATCTCCTTCCTGACGCTGGAGAAGCATTCCCTGAGTAAGATACTGGCCGATGAACAGATGGAAGGCCTTGTATTTCGTTGGCAACCTTTCCTTTGTTTTGTTGGTTAGTTTCTTCCTCAAATAGTTGTTGTACTTGTACTCCTCCAACAAGCGGTAAAGCTCCAGAAACGTTCGATTCGTGAGCCTTCACATTACCCTTCGTTGACGGTTTCAATGGAGGTAACACATCCGCATTACCGTTTCGGTCCATATAAATCCCATCTCCTCCAGTTCCTCTCTTTGAAACCGCTAATGGCTTTCTTTGACTAGTTGTGAGCATCATACGTTATAAATGTTAAGATCGAAGCCAGTATTCTGTTCGTTTTGAAGCTACGAAGTAATCAAGCCTCATAAATTGCTTTCTCTTTTGTCAGCCGCATTTGATGTTGTTTCGTTGCGTCGTTGCCAGGTGATTTCTAACCAATCAGCGCGCTTTCCCGTGGCGTCTTGGAAACCACAAGACGTAAACAAACCAGTTCGTTGTGACGTCATAGTTCGGACGTGTGTGAAGGGTTCTTTGTTTTCGACGAGAAACTTCATCTTCTAAGAAAAAAAATGAAAGTTTAACTGTATCATGATCTCAATTTTGAAACTGTTTCACGTATTAACTTGTTAAAAATAGGTAGGTATGACTACCTTTCGCGGACTATACTAAATTAATCCTGATGAACTACGTACGAAGCAGCTGATGCACAAATGATTTTAGAGATTTATGACAATAAGTTTTATGTGTTTTATCAGAAAGAAATGGCGGAAATAGAATAAAACGTCAATTTTCATACAGCTGATGACCTATTACAGCATCGTGTGAGAATTATTTCGGTTAAATCGTCAAAAATTTAACATTGGAAGAAAAAAGAACGTTTTTCACAATTTTTATGATAATTGAATTGATACTTCAGACATGACAACGGAAAAAAATCTCAAATTTAAGTAAAAATCACCTACCCAAAAAAATAATTCTCGAGATATTTCATCATCTTTATGCTATAACAATTCTAAAAGTAACTGACTGAAAATAGACTATAACCTCACATTTGATGTAGCTGATGATGTAACTGCCACAACTATAACCAAAATTAATTCATAGCAGGTAAGCAAGTTTGACTCAAGCTTAAAAATTACTTCCATTGCCACAGATTCTGTTCGTTACTTCCTGTTGGTTATTTTTAATTCTTAGCCTAAATTACAAATAAATCATATGATTTTTATCAAGAGTAAGGGTTCATTTTCAGCACTGAATTTATCATTTTTGTAGCTATTTTCAACAGAAGGAATTTACTCCGTATCATTTTTGAAAAAAAGTCCAAGAAATTTATGTCAGAAGAATTAAATGCGTTTTGTTAATGAAGCCTTATTTAATACTTCAATTAGATCAAACAATTTTATCAATTGTAAGTAAAAAATCATGGTAAATCTCTCTAAATCATCTTCTTTGAGGAGCTTACTATTTGAAACTCAATCAGTATGTGTAAATGTATTTATGTTTGCATGAAGGTATCTCATCAGGACTATCATTATCATCAATATTTTGACTACAAGGAACTGAAATCACTTGTGGTTCATATGTAAGTATGAAACATCCATACAAAGCTCTCATCAAAATCTATTACCTTTAAGCACTGTTGTAATCATAATATTGCCAGTATTGATGGACAAATGTCATTCATAATACATAAGAAACCCTTTTCTTAGTGCTGTTACAGCACTAATTTGAGATTATCACTTTGCCTGCTTGAAGTTTAAAGTTTACATTTTATGAAAACTTTATTGCAAAATTGTATTTTTTAAAGAGCACAAATAAAGATAATGTCTCCTTTAGGAAACAAAAAATAATACTCTATTTGAAAAATAGGGGTGGGAGTACTATTTTCCAACAACACAAGAGGGCGACAAGGTTGCTAAGTAAGATTCAAGTTGGTGGCATCCGTGGTCAAATTTTTCGAACACTTGAAAACAACTTTGCAATGGTTAAGTAATGTGGTTTCTGGAGCACACTTCTCCCTCGATTGAACAAAAAACCACCATACAAAATGAACTAAAAGAGTTATTATTAGTTACTTACCCACGCATTATAAACTGTGAGTGCTAAGTAAAAAGGAAAATACGTTCAAATTTATCAATAGTTGCATTTTGCTGGGGAAAGTTCGCGTGACCAGCCAGGAAGCACGAGGAGCTCTTCGCGTTTCGGCTGAGCCCACGATCATTTCCTCACCTGGACAAGATGGCGGAATTGAAGCTGTGAGTTTGTGAGGTTTTTATATTTCAAGTTATAGTAGGAACTGCCGTTTTGTTTGGTTTGAAAATTGTTTTCAATGAATTTCTTAATTGTTTTTTCAGGGAACTTACTGTGCCTTTTTCGACTGAGTCTGAGGCGCAAATTGTTCGCAATTCTCTCTCCGTCGATCCGGAACCAAAACGTGGCGGAGCCAAGAAACAGCTAACAGTGAAAGACAATGTGTTATACGTGTAAGTGTGGCAAATTTAGCACTTTTCCATCTGTGTATGTACTTGTTTCACTGTGCATTGCTTTTGAAAGCTCTTTTCCTGGAAAGGAAAGTGGACCTTTGGATCAACCTCAGCTGTTTGTAGGTTGTAGCGTAATTGAAAACCCTCGAAAGCTAAGACTTGATAATGAAGACTCCTTTATTTTCTTTATTTGACATGATCTTGTTATGGTTTCTTGCCAGAAACGTCTAGCTCCGGTTTTAATCCCTCTAATAGTGATTTAGTCGCGATACGTATTCGTTTTCAGATCTTCGGTCTCTGTTTTTGCTACAACCGCTGTTTGTAACATAGTTACGTTTTTATCAAGCTTTATCAAGTTGCTACAAGATATTAAAGTTAAAAAGGATGGGGATGTTGTAAGTCGTGAATCACACAATAAGTAACCAATCACTATCTTCTCCTCTTATTGATCCACATCGTAAGCGGCTGTATGACGAGATAATCAATAATTATTCATATATTAGAGTATAACCAGCTTACAGTTAATGAATTGGACTGACAACTGTAGAGAGTTTTAGGATTTATTTTACCTTTCTGTGTAAAAATAATTGTTAGTCTACGTCATCCTACCAACCAGGATGCAGGCAGGTATACTCTAAGGTGTTGGTTTATTTACAGCCCTCTTCTTAGGTGATCAAATGGACTACCATGAACACAGATAGTGATTGTCTCTTTTGTCATATTCCACTCCCCACCGCTTTGCATTAAGATTCAACAAATCCCTTGCAGTTTGTTCTTTCTCTGTGCTGGTAATTTAGGGGGAATGAAGGCCTGTAAAAAAAGACTTCCTACAGGAAGACATGATACTGTTTGTGTGACCAGCACTTTTCATTCCTACAGAACAATATCATCCCCTGAAGCTAAGACATTGAGAGTCTGTGCAAATGGTTTCCTTGACCATTTGACTCTGGTTACAGAAACAATTGAAGCATTTGGTCCTCCCTTGGAAGAATCGTAACCTTCTTGGATATCAACTGATAGCCATTTTTTTGGAGAGAGAGTTTATTGCAACACCAGCAGGATAGATTGATTTATATTGGGTAATTACCCAGTCAAAATTGACCTCACAGCATTACAAAGGTGCTCCATGTGCTTAACAAACACTCTACCTAATAGGTAAATTACTGTTAAGTACTTGCCAGCTGCCATTATCTTGTTGTTATTAATGAGCCGTTTTGCTTGGAATTGTGTATTGAAAAAATAGGTTTCAAGTGGCAAGGATACAAACCACATATGTGTTGGCATGGACTCATGTCTGTGTTTTACTTTAGTGTTTGCCTCAACAACTGAAAAACATGGTAAATCTATCTTAAACATTTTTGCAGTTTCACAGCAGGAATTTTGAGGTAATGGAAGTTACCATGGTATGCTTCTCACTTGTGTTGAAATTACACCATAAACAGTCATGTTTTAGCAACCACATGGAAAAGTTGGAAACTGTCATTTCTTTCTTGTTATTTAAGAGTACATGTACTTTATGTGGTCATGGACTTTTCATAGTGAAACAATGTGCAAAATAACTATAGTAACAGACAACGAAGTAAGGCACATTTTATTATTTCTTCTCTCTCTTGAGAAGGGAATCAAACATTATTTACTTAAGCCTAAGTTACCACACTAAGTCTTTGAATAATAGCTAGCATTACAAATGTGCTAGGTTTTGACCTTATGAGGCAGCTTTTGTGACCAAAATGAATGCTTTGAGCAGGACTCTTGATGGCTGCAACATCATTAATTCTTATGATGTCTAAAATTAGTTCAAACCAAATACAAGGGAAAACTCTACCTAGAAAGTCACCTGTTGTTAAAATAGTACATTTTTATATCTTACAGTTGACCTTGTAAAACATGTACCAGTATGTATCATGTCTGCTTATTGCAGGGCAAGTCAAACTATGTTCATACTTAAGGGGAAAAGTATGTAAAGTGATTCACCTTTGAACATTTAAATTGAGATCTATGCAATTACCCTCGGGCTCTTGAAAAAAACAAAGCCAAATATTTTGACAATAGTGTTTTGGTATGACTTTCAGCTGTACCACATATATGCATTTTGATTAAAAAAAACCTATAGTCCAACTGAACCCTACATGCTGGGAAACTGCCCAAATTTAACAGTCCTAGTTTGTTTCACCTGTGCATCAGATCAAACGGGGTGAAAAAAAAAAAGCACAACTGACCACATATTCCCTGAAAATGTGGAAATATTCATCTTGCAGATGGATGACTTGATATGTTGTAAGGCAACAAAGGGTAGACTACTTCTACTTCATATTTCTCAGAGAAAAAAAAGTGTCATAAAAACACAAATAAAAAGAGACAACTGAAACTAATACTAGCTAAATAGTGATCACCTCTCAAAAGCTGGAGACAACTGAAGTACGAAACAAATCCTTTAAGTGAAAGTGGCAGGAAAAGGATTGTAATAAGAAATTTAGGTTAAGTCATGCAATGAGTGAGTTAATATAAAAGTTGTGACTTAAACTGTCATTTTCAAATTTCGCTAATTGATCAGCAGCAGGAGAAACAACTGCAACTTTCATGTTGATTATCAACTGAAAAGGGCTAACCTGCAAATTAGCAAAAATATCACACTTCAGTGTTCTACATATAAACAAAGAATAAAAAAACTGATTGGTCCCATCACTCTGGTTGGAAAGTGGCTTCAGAAAACCTTTTTCTCACCAGATCAATGTCATTGGTTAATTTGTTCTTAAGCCTAAGCTCTAGGAGCAGGGTGCCCAAGAGTTTTCCCAGGTGTTTTGATTGATTGGCATTGTCTGAGTGATAACTTGGCTTGTAACATTTAACCCTTTACACCCTAACATCAGTTTGCATATTCTCCATACTGTTCTCTACACATTTCCTAAGGTGCTGACAAAGAGAATTTGTTTTACAATCAAGAGCAACTTAAGTTTGTGATCAAGTACTTTATTCTCTTGACCATACTGCATAATTCAGGGGTGATACTGCAAGGAGAAATTAGATGTTAGTCACACTAAGGGGTTAGAGGGTTAAAGTGTAATTTTCATCAGCTGTTTAATTGTTCAATTACCAGCAACCGGTAATCAGACAGGTAAAATCTTGCAGTTTGGTCCTGCTACAGCTGATTTGAGCCTTTTGTTATTTACACAAACTGCAAAAATCCAATATTGAATAAAATCATGGCAGTCATACCTGAGTTTTAAAGTAATGATCTACTTGTTAGCTTTCTTTTCCCACTTATATGTTCCACTGTAAAGAAATCCACTGTCTTTGATAAGAGTATCAGATTCTAATGGTCCTCGGCTGTCAAAAAAAAAACAAAAAAAAAACAAAAAGAAAGAAAGAAAGAAAAAAATCTCAATGAGTGCCAAAAATTGGCAAATCAAACTGAAGACAATTGACCTCATGATTAGTGGATGTGCATATTTGCCTATATAAAAATGAAAAATAAAGATTTATGCAAAATAAGTTGAACTTCCCATACACAGTCATACTGACTTCCTAGCTCTTTATACACACTGTAACATCAGTATGCAAGTTCTCTGTACATTTTGAATGTTACTAATGAGGAGAATTTGTCAAAAAATCAAGAGCTTGAGTTTGCTATCATTTCCTTTATTCTTGTGATCTTACTGTTTGATTCAGGGATAATAGTGTAAGGAGAAATTTGACCTTATGATTATGGGGTGTCCTGGGTTAAAAAAAAAATCAATTTTTAAAGGAACTGTGTGGTTTTCATGTGCCTCTATATGACCATGACTCTGGGCCTTCCATAAGGAGTGTTTTCTTGCCTGACTTTCATCTTTTCAACTTTTTTAATCAAGAGCTTGAGTTTGCTATCATTTCCTTTATTCTTATGATCTTACTGTTTGATTCAGGGATAATACTGTAAGGAGAAATTTGATGCTTATGATTATGGGGAGTCCTGGGTTAAAAAAAAAACATCAATTTTTAAAGGAAATGTGCAGTTTCCATGTGTCTCTCTGTGACCATGACTTCTGGGCCTTCTGTAAGGAGTGTTTTCTTGCCTGACTTTCATCTTTGGCAACAATCAGTATACATAAGTGGGATTAACTATCAGTAAGAAAGATTTAACCTTGAACTAAGTTGACCTTAAATGCAAGTGAAAGCAACAATCCCTAGAATCCAAATATGACTAAGCCACACTGTGTGAGTGATACAGTTTGACTGAGGATCTTGTCAGCTTTGTGTAGGTGGTCAAATAATTTCTGAAGCAATTTGGAATGAACAAGGACAAGTATCTGTAAATTTCTTAAAGACTAAACCACTTGAGTACAATTTGTTGCCTAGGAAAAATTTATAAGTAATTAAATTTATTTCAAATTAGAGGAGAAATCTGTTCATGTCTTCAAATTTAGTTGCATGATTGGGTGTTTTCACTATTGAGTTATCAGTGATACAGTCCCAGTGTATCTAACAGTGACATACCAACCATGACAAAGTGATTGACCTTCCTCTACCAACTGTTACGATTGACAAACTTAAGGGTCATTTTGTTAACAATTGGCTGTTATTCATTTTTAATTGATCATTGAAAGTGCTTGACTGCTACAACTGAACTTGTTTAGCACATGTCCATTATTAACAAGAGTTAATACCTTCCAAACTGATAAGGAATTGGTTTTACATTCTCCTTTTCAATCTGATGGAGAATAGGGGTAAAAATTCTCCAGGCCTCAGCAAGCTCATCACTGGAAATAAAAAAATGTGTGACCCATAAAATTACTAACTTATTATATGTAGAGAAAATCACAATAAAATTATAGCAATATAAAAGAATTAAACAGTTCCTAAGTTTTCAGACCAAGAAACATGATACAAGAATTTACTGCAAAACTTTACTGAAACAAATGGCAGCAAAACTTTGCTCCCCATGGCAAGGAGATTTGTAAGAAAAATCTTTGTTCTTAAGACAGAGTTAAACATCGCTGCGCTCAATTGCATGACCTCTAACAAGTTTTCATTTGTGCAACTGATTGTGGTGACCAAATTCCATTGGAAAAACAAATATTTCTCAAAATTCTCTGTGTCAAATATGATAAGGAAGCTTTTGTTGCAATTTGTCCCAATCACCTCTCACACTAACTTGTTCTTGAAATAGTACATAGTGAACAGCATGATACAACTTGTTATCAATTGTATTGTGGTCTACAACCATTGAGATAAACCCAACAGTCTGATTTCTAACAGATGTTTGTACCTTCTGACAAAATGAGCTTGATTTCCAGAAAACACATCAAGAATAAGTCTCTCATAGGCATCAGGCATCTTCACATTCTGTTTAGTAAAAACAAAAGTGTTAAGTATTCAAATGTTGTGCAATGTTTGAAGAATACTATTAGCTGACACAAATGCCTGAAAAAATTGTTATTCATTGGGATTTACATGATAGAGAGAACAAACTTTTAAGGAGCTGAAAAAGCTACAACCACACCGCAAAAAAAGAAGCTAATTCTGACAGATAGAAAAAAAAAACATACCGTGTATCTGTCAGAATATGTTAAGTCCAGCTCTGATTCTTTTGGTTCAAAGGACATTCCTGCTTCCTTAATCATCAACTTGACATAAACAGCCTGTAAAATACAACAAAAATATTTCCTTCACAACAAACAATTGTTTCAATGCACTTGGATGTGATATTTGAACACTACTTTTTTGGGGGGGGGGGCAGAAGTTAAAAAAACCTAATCCTTGAAAGTTCAAATGTCTGGGGGGGAAGGGTAGGGGGAAGTAGAATTTTCCAATTGATTGATGCATTTTTCACATCTTTTACATGTGAGGATATTGCTGTCATCACAGGTATATCCACCCACAATCAGTGAGATATTATTGTTATTATTATCATTATCATTATCATTATTATTACTGAACATTTTCACAAATTTAAAATTGATACTATGGGAAAACTATTTTTTATTAATAAAAATGGGAAATTTCTGCATACCTCATTTGGCTGAAGTCTGACCACTAACTCGTTCCTCTTGCATCCTCCTTCAAAGATGTCTCCAGGTGTGTCAATGAACTGAATGCGAACCTCTGCCTTACGCTCATTCAGAGCTAGAGAATGAGAAGTAGTTGGTGATTTATTAGTGTAACAGCTAATGATTGCTTCTGACAACAATTCTTAAAATTAAATTAAAACTTAAACTAATTTAATTTTGAATATTATTAAATAAGTAAACTTGTATTTAATTGTGTTAAGTCCATAGAGGCTGATGATTGCTTCTGATAATACTTCTTAAGAGTAAATAAAACTAACTTGATTTGTTTTGAATATTATTAAATAAACTTGTATTTAAATTTGTTGAGTCCATAGAGGCTTAAATCAACACAAACATGAGACTAATATTTTGTATTTACTTCTATGTAAATGAGACAAAAAAGCTTTTTATTGTCAGATATAAAATCTGAAATCATCCAGACTTAAAATTACAATGTATCGACATTTTGACATGTACCAATAATTATATTAATCTATAATCAGACATTATAAAATTATAATTATTGAAAAATACCTTTGCCACATTTGAGAATAAATGGAACACCTGTAGACATGAATGAACAAAAAGTACAGTTAAAAAATATCACAATTGAAGTACTTTGGCTGATTCTATCAATACTAGATTAATTTGTCGTCTTCCTGCCTACCACTTCTTAACACTGAAACATGTGTAGCTCTTAACTTGTACTTAAAGTTAGTGCTAGAGCTAAAAGTTTGATCATGGGAAGATTAGTCTCAGTCCTGCTGCTGTCTGAATAGGACTTTTGTATATCAGTGAGATGGATAAGTGTCATCATTTGAGTCTGGGAGTTGTGTATCACTTGAATGTCATTTGCTTGGTTTGTTGAAATGGATTCATAAAACAATTACTGTAAGTGGACTTGGAACATGTGACTAACATGTGACTAACATGTGACTAACAGAGAACTACTCACTTGACTCAAATAATGACTTTAGCCAAGGTTACTGAAATATCAGTCACTATAATCAACAACATTACTGAACAGTGACACTGCAAGACAGAGTCTTAATGCTGGGTTAAACTCTTTCTTGAATTGTGTTTAGATCCCTCAATTCACTTGCCTCAGTGAGCACCTTTAACTTACCATCCCATTTTTCATTGCGAATGTACATGACAGAGGTTGCAAAGGTTGGTGTGATGGATCCTTTTGGTACAGTTGGATCATCAAGATAACCAAATTTTCCATCACCTTCTGCATCAGGATTTCCAATATACTGACCAAGCACAGTGTTTTCTAATTCAATTGGGCTTATGGACTTCAGAACTTTAACCTGAAAGAGCAAAATGACAGGATTAGTCAACAAGTGTAACCTAACAAAAGCCCCCCCTTTCCTGTGGAGAACAGGAAAGGGGGGGGGGGGTAGGGGTAAAAGGGGGTCACCCTGCTTTGAATCAGTAATCTCATGTATGGGGAGGCAATAACTCTGATCATCCGTGCTAAGCTGACTGTACCTCACATGCCCCATGAATTGTAAATTGTTTATAAAAAATTTAAAGTTTGAAAGAACAATAAAAGTATACAGGGATATCCACTGGTTTCTGCAGGAAAAAAAGAGTTGTTTCTGGATTAAAAAAAGAGTAAGAATTTGTTGGAATAAAGGTGACTGAACAGTTCACACAATTGTACTCACCTTCTCATTTCGAAGATCTTCCGCTCGTTTACTGGCTGGTTTTTCCATGGCAACCAAACAAAGAACCTGTAAGAGATGATTCTGCATCACATCTCTGCAAGAGACATGCACAGTTTGTGTTAATCAGAAGTCAAACCTCAAACTTGCAAAAGAAAAAGAAATTCCCTCTTTGACTCCAAACTAAAGGAGGCTCCATGCTATTAATTATCATACACTGGTAATTGTCATTTACATTTATCAATGGCAGGTTACTCAGTTAAATAAAGATGGATAGAAGTTGCAGGTTCTGCAGAGGCAAAGTTCAGCACCTTCTAACAATTTAAAATCGAAGAGATGAAAAACAAGGCAATTTAATTCAAATTAGTTTTCACTCAGTTGTAAAGTGCCTATAATCCTTTTTCAAATTCAAAGAAACCCCTCTCTCAAACTTAAAACATGAGTTGGTATGCTAATCTTTTGGTGATGAAACACTACAGTAATGGTGAGATGGTTGATTATAAGACTTGAATTTTATTCAGCAATTGTGGCGTCATTTAATCATTTACTTTAAGTTCCTGTAAAGCTGGAGAAACACTACTATTCCACATTTTGGTAATTATACTCACTGTACTGGTCAGAGTAAATTGCTACAAATTACCTTATGATTCCATATTCATCAAAGTAGCCTCCTCGTCCATAAGTTCCAATGGGTTCTTTGAATGTAATGATGACACTTTTGACACTCTCTCTACACCACACTGGACCAAAAATTCGGTTACCAAATCTAATATGAAGAAATTGTTTATAAGGGAGTCACTTGAATTATTGTTACTTTCAATTTGCCACCTAACCTCAGAAATAGAATATCACTGGTACTAAATTTGTGTGTTGCTAATGGTTTTCTCTGCCAATCATAAACCCATTACACCCTAATATCAGTATCCATATTCTCCAAAATCTTCTCTATACATTTCCTTCAGTACTGACAGAGAGAATTTGTTTGTCAATCAAAGTTTAGTTGGGGATCATTTCCTTTATACTCATGATCTTGATGAATGATTCAGCTGTATTACTGTAAGGAGAACTGAGATGCTGGTCACTCTCAGGGTTTAAATAGTTAAAAAACAGTTTCATTAGAAGAGTATCAATCATTAACTAACCATAAATTGCCCTGTTACTAACCATTATAGCTCATGTTAACACAGTTACCTTCATTACTTGTGGTAAGGCAGAAGAAAAGGCAAACACAACATCATAACAGACATAATTTGTTTTAAAATGTCCCTTTACAGTCTTGACCATTAACGACTAATGTGTTCAGTGACTGTATCTATCTATTGACATAAGACTCTTGTTGGAGGTTAATTCAAAGAGCCATCCTTAAAATTTAAAAGCAAGAAGAGTAAAGGGAAATAAGTCCTACCGCAGCACCATCAGGTTCTGTACCATTTCTTTTCCGAGATAATGATCTATACGATACATGGAGTCCTCAGGAAACAGTGATGCTAGATGATTGGACAACTCAGCAGAGCTGTCAGAATCCTTGCCAAAGGGTTTTTCTATCACCACCCTGTTCCAACCCCTATACAAACCATACACAAGTCCAATCTTAGTTATGAACTTCGAAGTAGATTTTGCACATCTAAAACTTTGACAAGTATAGTGATAGATGCTTATCCTGTTTATTGAAACAAGAAGAAACCAAACGTGCCACTACTCACTAAGGATGGCAATACTTTTCTATTACTCTGTTTCAAGCTTATCCTAATTTTTTAATCAAGAAGCTAATATTAATAGGAGTATAGCTACTCTTTATGAAGAAGTTCCTATTATATTGCAAGGGAAACCTTTATTTCAAGCTTATCCTGTTTTTGCCACATGAAAAAACTGAGGATATTGCTACTTCTGCTGGTTATTTGCATGGTTTTCCTGTAATTCATCAATCTTCCCTGGCCATTATGTGCTACCTACTTAGAACTCTTGGGTGAAGGAGGGCACTGTGGGAGTAATACAGCAAGTTTAACCAGGACAGCTGAAAGCTGTCCAGACCCATCATCGGCAAAATCATTATGCATACATCTCATTACATCTTGGTCATTTAATTTATAAAATTAAGGATCTGAAAAACTTTGACACAGGAGTGCAACCTTAATGCTAAAAATTGTTCTCAATTCTGAGGTCATTTACATGATTCTAGGACACCTGGTATTGACCTGAAGTGAATGGAACTAAAAAATGAATGTGAGTGGAAAAAGTGGAATTATATAAGATTATTAAGAAGCAAAACTGTGTAACAGGAGCTCTATTATTTTCATAGTACATATACCCTTACTAAACTTGCTTTGACTTACTAATTGCTTTATTGAATGAAAAATTGCGAGATGAAAATTATTGAATTTTTAAATTTGGTCATTTAAGTCTTTTTCCCATAGTGGAAAGTTTGTGGGAGAGAGTGGACCAACAACATGACTGAATTAAATGTGATTTAATTTTTTTTCTACATTTCAAATTTTACAGACTTGTTTGATTTTTATTTCTCTTTGTCCTAAACTCATCATCACAATAACAAACAGAGAAAAAAATTCAAACAAAACTAGAGTGAAAGAGTTTAAACCAAGGAGAAATCCAAACCACCATGTACACTATTCATCAAACCATAACATACTTTGAGCCCATGCAGTACTTCTTGATGTTCTCTGATGTGTCCATGAAAACAGAAGGAGGAAGTGCAAGATAAAACAGCCTGTTGACAACATCCTTCCCTTCTCCAAGTTTCTCAAGCTCTGCATTCAGACTTTTAAAACCTGAAGCCTCATTGTAAGGACCTTTCACATAGTAGCATCTCTTGTAGAATTCTGACAATTTTTCATTCTCTCCATCTTTAAGCTAAAAAGAAATAATTTATGACAAATTTGTTTAGCTTACAGAAGAAAATTTTCAATAAATGAGAGAGAAATGTACTTATCATTGGTTTGCTTCTCTTTGATTTCACTGTAGTAAAAAAGTTATGCTGCCCTGTCAATCAAGCAAGTGGAAAACTAAAACAAATTTGACTGGATCATTAGGGTTTTTCCATGCTTATATGAATTCATATTGAGTTCCTTTACTCCTGTTGATCTTTCCTTGGTTCTGATTGGCCACAGTGATTACTTCACTTTGGGTTTATGATACTGTATAAAAATGGGCGACCCACACCTCTTCCTTACATCTAAGAACTGTCCTCTATCTCTAAATATTAAAACAGGAAATTTACTGGTTGATCCTCTGAGTTAAAATACTCCACCAGAGGTTAATTTTCTACTCTTAGCCAGAGGAAAAGAACTCACCTTCATGAAAGGCTCAATTTTGGCTCGTAATTTGTCAACAGTCAGATCTGAACGAGCATACCCAATTATTTTAGTGTTTTTTGGAATGAGATCATCTTTGTACAGATACCTAGTAAGATAAATGGCATAGCTTAATTGTAATAGCAAAAATGTGCACTTATTGAAAGATCAAACGCAGACCTTGCCACAAGATATAACTTCCATTTTTTTCCTCCACTGAACAATCACTTACTTGTCAGTTATATGTACAATAAGTGAACTCACTTAAGAGATATATCAGACTTTAAATGGAATAAAAACCTATCATCTAGCATCAATTTCACAACACCAGTTCAACATGTTCCCTTCAAAAGTCTTTAAGCATCATGATACTTCGTTAAAAAATACTTAGTAAGAGATAATTTATTGTAATCTCTATCAGCTTTTTCATGTCTGTGATGACTAATGTCTCCCTAGCCCTTGCAATGAGGTGAAATGGCATCAATTTGATTTAAGTATAACACCATGGGAGAGTATCAAAAAGCAAAAACATTTAACATAACACATGCCACAATGAAATAAAGATTTTCCTATTGATATAAATTGTTATAACAAATTCCTGGTTGAAAATTTTTCTTTCTTTTTTTATTTACACAGTCTTTTTAATTTGGAAATGAAAACTCAAATGAAAAAAGTTTTAATCTAAGTTTTCAACTTTTATTACAATAAGAATCTGGCTGAAAGAGTGACATTTGTGTCACATCATCACTGACTATTGCGTGACTTTTCAGATTTAATAGAATTGCTGACTAGTAAGTCATCCAATATTTGCTTACAAAAGATTTATCAACAAAACTTTGTATTACCATAAGGTGGGGTAAATCTTTTTCTTGGCAAGGTCTCCCTGTAATGATAAGTTATGAGAAATACTGAGGAAGTATTACTTTGATAGTTTCACAAACATGATGGGCGACCTACATCTTCAAAATTCTTGCTATCACATTAGTGACCAATTAGCATGTTAATGCAAATTCCCTTACAAAATCTTTAATCGCAAATAAACAGCTCTTTAATTTCGACTGATGTAAAATGGCATTGAGACTGACAGATACAAAATTCCAGCCTTGCGTTCGAACCCTGTAATTGTAATATTAAATTTCAATCTGTGAACTTCCAAACATGAAGTGAAACTACTTAGACCTAACTTGCAATATTTGCATGTGTAAATTTGTGTTCGATTTTCTGCACGAACGATTGAAGTTGTGAGCTGTTTCAAAATGAACGCATTTGTTCATTAGCAGAAAGGATTTCGAAGCCAGGAGATAGAAAAAGATTTTAAAGCGGCACATTATCTTGGTAACAAATAAAAATGTTCCACCGTGCAACTTGGAAAGATCGATAGAAGCGAAAGTCAAACCTGTCACTTACCGAAGCTCCGAATACAATTAGTAACGTTTCTTCGTTCATCACTGCTGAACTATCCTCTGGATCTGGCGAAATTTATAAAAAAAGGAATAATTACAACGTTTTTAGTTTTAAAATTCTAATTTTCTAAGATTTACAACTTTCTGCAGACCTTTGGGTCCTCTAGGGCACTGTCAGAACACCTTGGTGTTTACGTAATAATGATCATGCGCAAATTACCACATGATTTGTTACCCTGGAAAAATGGCAAGTCTGTACTTTGAACAAATATTTCTCGACATGTTTTTGATTGCTTCAGTCGTTTACTTTTATTTTAATTTTCAAATGCATCGTTTCAAAGAAATGAAGGGCATTGGAAGAAGAGTTTACGTGGGTAGACAATCTAAAACGGAAAAATCCACCCAGGTTTGTCACGCAATCTTGGGTTCACGTGATGAACAACAACTTCGTATGAAATAAAGATAAAGCTGTACAAAGATTGCGAAAACTACAATGTCTGTTTTATGACTCTTATCTGCACTACGTGAAATTTTAGTTACTAAATATTAGAAGATTTTCATAACATCAGGTTTTCCCTTTCGTAATTTTAACCTCACAAGGAGACCCGTTAGCAGAATGGATGATTCCACCTGTTCGAAGTCATAATGCTTTACCCGAACTTATGTGTCGCTTCGGTCACTGATCACATGGGAAATTTAAGCTAGTGGCCAAGATGAATCTGACGGAAGTCGAAACCCAAAGTAGAACCCAAGCCCTATCATCATTTTTAGTTTATGTTATCTTTATGTGTTGTTTGTTAGGTTGTTTGTTTGTTTAACGTGATGCTGGTATTGCACCAACGAAGAGGGGAGCACTAAAAGATGTTTGGGTGGAATTGTGCAGAGATCTTAAAACCTTTACCCTTAACACAAAATCCTTTCAATGATCTCTTAGCCAGTTAGAACTATACTATAGGAGATCGTGTCAAATCAACGAGGCCTCATGAGGGAGGTCTGAGTATCCTGTATCCCATTAATTTTGGCCATAATATCCCGTATCCCGTTAATTCCTGTAGTTTGTATCCCCAAAATTCTACTTCGATATCCCCGAAGCCCGTATCCCTCTAAATTTTTCCTCAAGTGTCTCGTATCCCTATAATTTTTTACCCAAACATCCCGTATCCCGGTAATCCTGATGGGGCCTTATGGACCATCTGGCCATGTCTAGTCACGTATTTTTCGGAAAACGCAAGCCCAAAAAATTCCCCCAATTCAAAACCAAACAATCATCGAATACTCTTATAGGTTTTCAGAAGGAATTTCGATTACTGTTATTTTTTTTGTGACCAAAGACTGAGCCGAAATTTACACAGTGTCGAAAGCGTAGCGATTTCGTTAGGTGTGGACAACATAACGTGATCCGTGGCAAAATCGTTTAAATCAAGAGCGGTATACAGTATACTTGGTTTATCATACGAGTCCATTAGACTACTGAAAGTCTTCGGGGGGGGGGGGGGGGTAGGGAAAGGCGACTTTTAGGGAGAAGTGTTCCTATTTAAAGTTTGCCTTTTAGTCGAGGCGCTTTGACGAGATGTATCACTTCAAGATGAACCAAATTTTTCTTATCGAGGATCTAAGGAAATCATACATTTCTGAGGTTTTCTTGTTCATACCACGTAATCTCAAACGCACAATTGGAAACGAACAAAGATTTGCATTTAGCAAAAACAGGATAAATCCTTTGTTGTTCATTCAAGCACGAAGTATAACGCTTGAACAATATTGCCCTCCAACCTCTTTTTCCTTGTTACAACGCTTAGAAACAAAACTCTCTTTCTTTGTAATAATTAAATAACCAGGCAATAAATATCAGTGTAGAAGTCTATCTACAGTGACAACTAACTTTTTGCTCAATGATTTTGAAAAATGGAAATTCTTGCCCCTCCCCCGTCATCAAACATGATATATATATATATTCATGAATGGTTGGCCATTGGAGCTGAAATATCAACTTCGTCTTTCTACCCGTTTATGAGGGATTTTTAGTAGAATAGAGAACGTGCTTCAGTCTTCCAAATTATTACAACGTCGTCTGAACTCAGCCACGAAGATCAAGATTTGCCAAAAAAACCTGATTACTGATCAGGAAATCTATAGTTTGGTATGTTCACTGGTAAGAGCCATTTCTGTCACTGAACTTAAATCATGTCACGCAACGCAAATCTTTTTTTTGGTACATTAAATATTCACAACCAATTCACAAGATAGTACCTCTGTCCACCATGAGAAAAGGAACGTTTAAGCTCATAGAAACAAACTTGAAATGCCATAATTAGAGTATTCTAAACTTAAGTCAACTTGTGTAAAACTTAAGGGAGTCAAGGCTTTAAAACAATCTGTTTGTTAAGTGTGTGTCTTTACGTGAAATAATTACGATAATCTTACCTGTTTGAGATGAGTATGCTCGAAGACGACAAAGATCAAAATTGTGCGTTTTCTCTGGTTTGGGTTTAGAATCCAAATTGAAGATCCATGAGTTATCAGGTTTAAATTTCCTTGCCATGATTAGTTATTGAAAAGATCAGTCAACGACCGCAACTTCCCATGCGTCTTTGCTTGTTTTCCTTTGATTTGAGACTGGGAACTAATCCGTCACGCCACAATAATTATCTACCGCGAGAATCACCATTGAGAATAAACTCACATCTTCCAAAACTGAAAAAAAGGTGATTAGACAATTTCTGTGTATTGTTTCGCATTGAGAAGAGCAACAGGATAGTTTAAAATATCTTGTCGCTGGCAGAGATGGGTTTGGAATCGTTTCGGAAAAAGATAAACTTTCAGCTTTTGAACCACGTGGGCTCATTTCCCAAACAACACGTCAATCAGACGTCATACACGACTTACGACGTCAAAGAGCTGTATCAAAAATTACAATAAAAGAGGGATGACAAGCCTTCATCACTCCTACGATTCTTGACATTTGTTTAGCTGCCGTCGTCTGCAGGGTGTTTCTCCATACGCGTTTCTGAAGAACATAACAAAGTGCAGTACACCGAGGGTGCATTTAGACCCGCTCGACTGTGGTTAAGCGTCACGATCTGCTTAGTTTCCACGGAACGTTACCTGTCGGTTTGTTGAGTTAGAACCTAGCTTAGCCGCAGAGTTTCAGTATCACTGTGCTGTAGGAAAGGTCTGCTCTTGCTCATCTTTATTGCAAAGCATTGCGAGAAAAGCAGGTTTACAGGCGTGAATTTTAATTCCTTTTTAGCCCGCAGCTGGAAGCCTGGAATTAGTCCAGTCTATTGGTAGTTTGCGAGTTTCTGCCATTCAAACCATACCAGGTTTCACTCACAGAGCATTCCTGGAGTAAACCACGCTGAACGACTACCTCTTTTTTTTGGCTAACTTATCAATGTATGTACTGCTCTCAATCATGAAGTCACTCAGTGGCACCGTGATAGTCAAGTATCTTAAACGAGGACAACACAATGATTCAGCCTGGGCTCGAATTCGCACTCCTTGACCAGGAGTCTGGTGCTCTTACCATTAGATCACCACTTCTCCCATGGCAATATATACAACTCGCTAATATCGAACAATCTGACCACCATGCGATTCTAGAGACCAACTTTGTCGGGGAGTATTTTTAATCAGGAATAAAGTATTCTCGACCTGTACATTTTGTCTCAAGCTTATTACAAATAATAAAACAGAGGGAGATTAAAATAAAGAAATACATAAAAACAAATTTGTTTTTATCCTAAAATTTCTTTCAGACGATCAATAGTTCTCCAAAGGCTTCAGATCCAAGCTTTTTTCCCTCACATTCTAGCTCTGTTCTCTCTCTCTCTCTCTCTCTCCCTTTTTTTTTTCAATTGAACCTAAGATCAATGTGCGTGATTGTTATTGCTGTTAGTCCAGGATTATGTCTTTTCTCTTCAACTGAAGTCAGTGTCAAAGTTGTAATCGTCATCTTCAGCCATTGCCTCTCCTTGACTCGTTGCTGTAGGAGAATATAAAAATTCATATTCAATTCGTATGAACCACCCTGAAATATAACACTACAGTCAAGATTCCATCGAGTATTTGGTTCTAATATGTCTTCCTGGAGTATTTGGAAACTCACAACTCTCGATTCCAGCTACGGTCAAAAGCTTCAAGTAAACTACACAGCTACAGAGAACTCTATCGTGATCTGGGCTATTACTGCAGCAAGGTTCAGATGTGACTAGCGTCCTGTATATAACGCTAAGACCAACAATGTCAAAGGAGTTGATTGTGCTAAAAGATTGAGAAAGTTGGTAAATTTTGTGCTTGGTTGTCTACTAAGGAGAAACTTAACTTACGAGGCGAACCTGGTCGTTGTCATTCATTAAAGTCTTACCTTGTTTCCGCTTGTCCCTCTGCTGCTTCTTGAAAAGCTAAAAAAAAAACAAAGGCCAAGTAATGAAAAAAGATGGGAAAAAAGAATTCAAAACACATTGCATTGCTATCTTGTAGCGGAATGGCTTGGGCACGAGATACCAAACATATTTTACCTTCTTCCTTTCCTTATTAGTCTGTAGATTAAATTCATTGATTTCATTCGGCGCCAGTCCACCTGAAGTCGCTCCCCGAGATTTTGTGACCTCCTTCGGATGTGTGACGGATTTTGAATTCTTGACAAGAACTGTCATGCCATCTTTTTGTGCCTACAAGAGTAAAATTGGTCGGTATAGTGATAAGTTTTGAGTCACCCTTGACTACACTTTTGATTGGCCCTTAGGATTTCAGCTATCAAACGAATCCAAACACTTCTCATTGTCCGTTACGCCTCGTTCTCAAGGCGAATCTAGTTTACATCCTTTAATTTAAAAATGGGATTTCATTCACATACAAAATAATTTTAAAGGATAAGCTATGCAGCACGCTTCGTTGATCTGCGGGAGACTTGGATTCAGGATATTCACTACCTCATTGTTTAGCCTAAATTTTGGTTGAACTTCACTGCTTAACACTTGATGTTTTTAATCTTTTTGACTCAAGATGGTGTTTGGTGGCTATGTGCTGTAAATGTTTAAAGTGGTGACATAAACTGAGAGCGTCCTATACTGACGCCACTGATCTCTTTCTAACCCAAACAATTCACTCAACAGCAAAGTAATATCATTTGTAGTTTAGAATGAAATAGTAAACTAGGACCAACCTCCATCAATCGAAAGAGCACCGATTCTCAGCAGATTTCATGTGAGTCGTGAAGGTTAAGCAGTAACTTCAGTCTGTTATCGTTGTCGTCATCATCATATTTGATACAATTATTATCAATATGTAATGTTATATGATTCTTACCGTCACTGTTGTTGTAGTATTTTTTTGAATTATCATATTTCATCGGTAACATCGATTTCTCCTCTCCGATCCCTTAAAAAACTGTTGACGTAAGAAGAATAAACTTGATCATACCTGCTCACCATCGCTGTCTTCCATGGCTTCTTCGTCTTCTTCGTCGTCGTCGATTTCCTCATCGTCATCGCTGTCATCTGAGTCGTCGTCATCTTCCTCGGCGGATTCCTGTGTTAAGCAAGGCAAATAAAGCGTATGTTTTTCAATTTGTTTCATTACAAAAACTTTCACTCTTTAGAAGAAAAAGTTTTATAGATTGCGTTTCTTTTCAGTTCATCCAACCAACTTTGAAATGCCATTTCGCGTCCTACACTTAATCCATCAAAAACTTCTACTTAATACCAACTCGACGGAAAACCCGCTCTGAATGGCCTAGTGGAAAGCACGTTTTATTCCGGATAGAGAGGTCTGCTTAGGCCAGCATTCACTGATGTTGTGTTCTGAGAATGACGACTTATTTTTGACAGTAGCTCTCTAAACTGGCTACGAATAATCAACAATAGGTAACGATTAACTGAAAGACAAACCTGACTATGACGCTCATGGGGACGAATAGAAAAAGAGAGCTCAGCGACAGAGTGGGAATAAAAAGAACAGAGACATAAAATAATACTCTACTATCCTCCACTCTTACGTAAGAAAGCTTGGTAGGGAATTTGAAAACTTCAAGAGAAATAGCAAAAAAGTTCCAAAATGGATTAATAAATGAACAGTTACAGCTTTGAAACTCACCATATCTTCTTCATCAACCTTAGCTGCATCCACAGGGTCACCCGCTTCAAGCACCATTGCATCTTCCATTGTGTGCCGCAGACCTACCAAGGATAGCAAGTACATTAATTTCCTGATTAATTGCTTTACAAATGTATATACCCCAGCCCGTAGTTAGAAATGGTAACAAAACACTGAAAACCATTTAACAGTTGATTTATTAAATTGTATCAGCATGCAACTATGATGGAATATTTACGATAAAAACCGTCTTTGCAAATACACAAACCAATTTCATAAGCAACCTTGCGATTTACCCACTTTCAAAAGTTTTTTTTCCTTTTTTTTTTTCAGTTGGTGACAGACACATTCGAGCAAAAAGGCAAACAATATTGATTTCTCTCGTTTGTTTGCTATTTTTCCTTTTTACAACACATTTCGAGGCCAAAATTTGTCGTGGCTGAAAATGTACGAGGCACAAAAGATGTGAAACCAATTGCTTCCCGTGCCAAAAATTGTGCAGGAAAAACTTAAGCCAACCACTAAACTGGGTCTTTCCTCGCTTGGCGCCAGTTCTGTGGTCTTTCTTTCTATCAGCAGCAGACTTACCGTGCAATTCGTCATGTTCATTCTGTTGGAGAGAACCCTGAAGAAAGAGAGGTGCAATGAAATTAGTAACGAGGAATGTGAAGATATAACAGACATTAAACAACCCAGTAGTCTGAGCACAGCTGTTCATTCATCCCTCCATCTTAGCCAAGCGAAGCGTCTTCACACCTCTTACATCTCCTGGCATTCGCATTCCACAACTCTCTCGCGACTCTTAAAAGAACCAGCGCTTTGAGGAAAAAAGGGTTTGCGAACATATTAACACCCCTAGAAGGGCAGTAACAATTTTCAAAATCGATGCACTCTCAATAAAAGATAATATTGTTCAACAATTTGTCTTGAAATCAATGCTTTTAGGAGAGTTATACAAAATTGCTTTGGCTTTAGCAAATAACTTAATAAACCAAAGTAAGTAACCGTTGGTATGATGAGTGATGATGAATAATTGTCGGTTCAGTTAAAGTTTAAGAACACTGACACAAACACATGAAATTACTGAGGAGAATTTCATCTCCTTCCTTTAATATCTTACCAAATCAAACTCCTTGCTCCATTCACTGACAATATCAGCTGATAAATGGGTGGGTAACTTGTGCTGTTCTGGCGGATGAGTATAGAATACAATCTTTCCACTGTGGATAAAAAAATCATTTTTCAAACACAACTTAAGTTAATATGTCTCACTCACTAGGTGCCAGTGACCCTCCAATACAACATGATGTCTGTATTTGATAAAGCACACTCAAATACTTGATGCATCAGTTTATCAGGAAGTGTAGGGTCTGGCAATCCCTTTCTTTCTGTCAAACAAAGACCAACTCCCAGTGCAAGGTAGGAAACAATTAGGAGAAACGTGAATTCTACAAACGCTCAAATGTTTTTCTCTCTCGCTGAACTCATATCAAGTTGAAGGTAGATTTGAATGGCACAACAAATGACTGGAAATGTTTTGAGAGCCTTCCTTCAATTCTGCATACAAAACTACAAGTCAAATACAAAACCTGTTCCAGTCTTTCAACACTGATTTCCCCGCTGCATTTACATTGGGAATGCCACCTGTAACAGTTGAAAACAAAAACAACAAACAAAAATCTAACACACTTTCACCCACTGAAACAGAGTCAATAAATCAAGTTGGAAGCCTATACAGTAACCTAAGTTATATAATTATGATTATTAAGTTCAGTACCAAATTTAAGCTAACTTCTTATGAAGTTTCATTGGTGTTTATATACTGTATGTCCTCTCTTCAAAATCAAGTTCAGTATGTGAGAAAACGATACATATACAATGCAGTTTTTGTAAACTTGTGTTTAGCCCATTAAGAGAAAACTTGATTTTTATAGACTACTTTCAAATCACTGCGGCCAAATAGGTAATAAATTACAAGAAAGGTTTTGTTCTAACAAAAGGTTAGAAGGGAGGGGTGGGAAAGTTAACCTATGATGACCTATTGTAAAACGAGTAGTATCAACTCTAGTGACCTACAAAACCTGGGGGAAACCAGGACAACAACCAGCATTAAACTCCACCCATGAGAGGCCCAGGATCAATCAAACCCGTGACATAGCAAAGGAAGGCCATCCTCTCAGCACTCTGCTATCCCTTTGTCCCAACTAAAGAATCAACAAAGATGCCTTAGGAGCACCACCCTCAACAAAAGTATCCATCAGCAAACAGAAATTTACTATGTAACTTGTGATTTAAACCTGAGTTAAACAGGATACCTCAGCTGCAGATAAGAAAATGTACAGTTGCCTACTTCAAAAATTTCTGACTTTACTTTCCTTTACCATAATGTACATCACAATAATTATCATTCAAACAGTAGAAGAGACCTATGTAGAATGAAGTAATTCTTAGATCATTCATTTCAAACATTTAGTTTAACTATCTTACCTTTTTTTAACTTTCCAAGCCTTTTACCAAGGTGAGAGAGAAACTCATGCACATCTGTATAATCTGGTACTAGATATTTTTCCATGACCTTTCAAAAAATACAAAGAAAGAAAGAAAGGGCTCATTATCTTTAAAAAAATGATAAGCCAAAAGTTAGTCAAAGAGCTGTGTACTTGTTCAGGGTTGAAACCAATAACATGATGTTTGAAAAAAAAAGTGCAAATTAAAACATAATAAGATTTGCTCATATCTATAAAGTTGCTTTTCAAATTTTTTAATATGAATGAAACAAATAAATGAGGTTAAAAAAATTACCTGTCGTTTGTTACATCTTTTTAAAATAGCTTCAACTGCTGGGACTGGATCATCAATGCTTTCTATCTGTTATGGAACAAACTGCACTATCAATAACTAGTAGAAAAAGAAAATAAAAGAAAAAATTGACTCTATAGCATCAGAGCCATAAAATCACTAATAAACCAGTGAAATACTGTGTGGCCAATCAAGATTCTTAACTCACTGGGGGATATTAGTTGGTTATTAACAAGCATAACAAATGAGCTAAACTTAAGACTGCCGAGAACAAACCCCACATAGTGATACAAGTGGAATTGAACCTGATGCACCCAGCTGACCCAGTGGCCATTCTAACTCCTGGAAAACCTACAGAGCTGCACCTGTCTTGTGTCACATGTCAGTAAAAGTAGAGGGAAGAGCTTCTGCTACTCTCCATCAAAGATTCTACTTTGGTTGATGCTTACCATCAAGTTGTGCTTCGTTATAAGTATCACTGGATTTCCTTATCAAAAAGCATTTAGTAATGCAAATTGCATATCCAACAATTTTGAAGTTGCAAGGCTGGCCCAAACTTAACCTTGAAAGTCTTTCACCTGTACTACCAACTGGTTATGCACAATATTTTTAAAAAGGCCATTTAATGTGTTAAACCCATGTGGTTATTGATATACCATAGTATACCTGATAAAAAAAATGTAATAGAAATCTTGTGAAGATTTGATGGCAGTGAGGCACATGGATGCAGTATAATTTCTAACTAGGGGTCCTATAAACATACTGGTATGATTTCAACAAATATTTCTACTTTATACCTTAACACAGTTCCGTAATATAACAGCTGAATCAGAGTTTCCGCTGTCCATCACAATACCAGGACTGTCCAGAAGTTTGACATGTTTGTCCAAATGTACCTCTTGCATGCTCCTGCAGTTTAATAATGTCCTATTAGATTCTTTTATGATAATGTAGGGTAAAATGTTTTGAAATCCTTACCATATTGACATTTTTGAGGAAAAAATAATTAAAGAGAAAATCACTAAAAGGAAGGTGAAATAAATTTGAATACTAAGCAGGACATAAAAATTATCAAAGATCTGAGTTCTCAGTGTAAGTCCTTGAACAAATTCCTTGGAAAAAAGTACATCTGGAGATAAAGGCTCAAAACAAAACCTCAATATGTTACTTAGACTGGCTTAAAATATCATTTACTTTGCAAATCCTGTGAGAGATACAGTGTAGGGTAATAAGTTCACTTCAGAGTAAACTTCATGCTGCATTTAAATACAAGTAAAGAGTGCTGACTTACTTTGTAACCCCTGGAGTGGCTCCAACAGTACATGCTTTACACCTCTTTAGACTGTTGATGATGCTACCAAACAACACAAAAATGATGTTGATGATGTACAAAAAAACATATTACATAGGACAAATTTTTTTTTGCCATGATTTGACTTAATTAGCATTCTCTAAAAGTTTGAGGAGTCACACACCATTTCTGCAGTCGAGAAAAGTAACCCCCAATCTTATGAACATGGCACCATTACACTCTGTATATTAAGCTACTAGTACTGCAGATTCCCATTAAAATTGCATAAAATCCAGACAATTTATGGGCAGATGGTCCTAAAGTACAGAGAACTTGGAGGAATTGGATCTTTCTACCAATTATACCTCAATTATTTTATTTACTCTCTTTATAAAATGAGGAACAATACTGCAAAAATAAGATACACAAACTTCTCACATGTATAGTTGCAATACAAAACCTAACTTAGGTCCATATCATCAAACACAGCTATCATGATACAACCTTGCTGCTGTAGACACCATATGAGGATCCCAAGGGAAAGTCTACTACAAAAGTAGTTGATTATACGCTATCTTATTTTGTCACTTATACACCACAAAATTAGATAATTATAGTTCACCTGCTTTTGCCAACATTAGGAAAACCTAGATATTCAGAAGTAAAATAAAAAAAAACCTATAAATGATCAGCTCCAAGCATATAATCTCTAAATGTTATTGCAGTTGTATTATGAGTGACCATCCTGGGCTGGGGGCCTTGTAAAGAAATCATTTAGTGAATAGGCTTGACCTATTGAAACTGTAAATGTCCTGCAGGGAAAAAGGACAAAACTCCATGTTATCATACCTACTATTCCAACAGTAATAGCTGTCTTGATGTCTTTGTTACGGCAATAATTTCCCAGAAGTTTAAGTAAAGTGTCTGCTCCTAAACAAGCACTGGTTGCTAATAGATCTCCTGAAGCTAATGACAAAGATACCTTACTTTGATGCTGGAGAAAAAGATAACAAGAAAGAGACTGAGAATAACTAACTGACCTAAAGTGACTGATAATCAGTTACTACTAACAGTAATTGATATTGACTGGACTCTTCAAATATCTTTTGGTATATGTTTACTAAACATTTTTGGAACATAAGTGTAGTAGGGTTTCATGTAAAGCACTTGGACCATCCAAATACATTGCATATTGTTGAGGTGAGGTTCCTCTGTTTCTTTCAGAAGTCTCATGTCTACATTAAGTTTTCCTTTCTCTTCTCAATTGTTCATTCAGGTACATGTTAGGTACATGCAAGGAAAACAAAATGTTGACCTGATCAGCAGTAGGAGGCAAGCTCCCTTCTTACCATTGTTACATCCATGCTCACTTAGAAAACTTAATGGTGTCTGACATTTCTTAGAAGTAACTTTTACTAGTTTGTGTCATTTGTCAAGAATATTGAACATAATAATGTATGCAGCTTTAAGTGACAACTTGCTCTCAATCAAAACCTTAAAAACTAGTGACCATTAACTGCCTATAATTTCAAAACTTCATCAAAAAATTCCAATGATTGCCCTGCATTATTAGCCTCTGCACACAAAGGCTGAACAAAGAACTACTTGCTAAGTTAAAGAGGATCTTTTGTTCCAAAAATATTTATATTTAGTTACTTACCAGGTTCTGTCTTTGGTTCTGTGTAGATGCCTTAAAAGCAATTGTTGGAAATTCATTACGGAGATATTTCAACCACTGATCTACAATTTGTCTTGGCACAAGATCTGCAAAATAAATTTTTTTTTTAAAAAATTGTTTTTATTCTTTAAATTTAGTAGATAAACTTTTGGCACAAGGAGTATAAATTAAATAACAATTGTAACTTGCAATTGTAAGCACCCAAGAATGCAGTCCTAGTGTACAACTTCATTTAACATTTTCCACTGATTTTTTTTTGTTTTGATTTGTTGGTTTTTGTGATCAGTTGAAGGTGTTTAGGGATGGACTTGGTGGGAAATGTGGTGGTTTAATGGTAAGTCCTATAAATTTTGGACTCAACATATTCTTTTGCATAACAGTATACTCTCCGTGGTCCCCTCTCAGTCCACAAGAAAAATTGGTACTACAGAGCTGAAGAGAATTGTGAGGAAATACTGAGGGTACAATGTAGTGGAATGGAAACCATCCATATACCAAAACCCAAATAAGCTCTGCTGTTACTGGTTTGTGTGAAGTCATCTTAAACCTTGGCAAAAACTCACCTATTTTATTTAAAATCAGAACTAATTTCTTATTGACTCCAGAAGATAATACTGCCTCCTCTACCTGTGAGCAGTTAAAGAAATATTTAGACATGTGCAGGTACAGAAGCTTTTTTCTTGTCAGTGAAATGGTGATTATCTTGATCATCAAACTTGTGCAAAGTTCAGACATTTCTACCTTAAGGCCTTAAGTTCATATCAAATTTTGCTAAAATCGAAATTGACTCTAAGTGCCCTCCAAAAAATTATTTACACGTGAGCCACCACTACAGTGTTGTCTTTCATTTATAGCTCACAAAAAGCCAAAAAGGTATGTATTCTCTAAATAGTATCACATCACCTGTGGACATCTACAGCCTAAAGGATCACGGGCATCTAATACTTGCAGGACAACATCTGCAGCATCAACAACCTAATAATGAATACACATTTCATCTATGAAATAATCAAGTGATACTTTTTATTTTAAAAGCCCATGTGCAGTATGGTTGGACTCAACTCTCTAGAACTATTATTTGGTCTAGAACATTAAGGTGACACTCATCAATAAACTTCCCAATGAAAAATTATGTTAAACTGCATATCAGAACATTTTGAACTGCATTTTCATGAAGTTCCACTATGCAACAAGGGAACATTTCTAAGAGGAAATTGTTTATTTCTAAAATTCAAAGTATGTAATATATCTGGAAATTCATGCAATTGTATGTTCATAACAGGTTACTGTACCTTCTTGAATTCTTTGTAATATGCTTTAAGTGATCCCTCTGTGAACAAGTTAAACAAATATGGCAGTCATAAAAAGAACATGAATGATAGAGTTAGACAGATATAAATAAACAAACAGTGTACATTGTCAATCAATTCATCAAAAATAAATCACTCAATCAATTTGATCAATAAAGTTAAAGAGATTGCCAAAAAAGGTAAGTTTACAAACCAACACAACAACAATGAACACTTGTCTGTCATATTAAGAGACAGAATGAAGAATATTCAATTTTCCTGTACCCACCTACTTTTCTGCCTGAGTTAATATCTGATTGAGAATTTTCTTTAATTGCTTCCTATAAAAAATATAAGGTTTTCCATAAGAAAATATTAAGTAACAAACCCTCTTTGACAGGCAAAAGCTTGGCCTTGTCCAACAATCTGACTGTGTATGTATGATACAATGATAAGGAACATTTTTTCCAGAAAATGAAACAGTTTTTCTATTATTCACCACCACTTCTTGTGCTACAAACACCAGTCAGTGGCCTGACATATGACCTGCCTACTAACATAAATAATTTGAAGGCTTGTCTCAAATTCCATAAAAATACAGAGCTGTATACTTCATATCCCTTTGCTACAGACACCACCTAATCATACAGTGGTTTAATACAAAAAATTTTATCAGAAATTGCAGCAAACACATTCCAGTAATTGTACCTTTCTTTCAAACTCCTTTCCTCTCTTAAGAGCATCCTTCTGCAAACTTTCAAGATTTCTTTTTTTATTCACTTCTTTCAACCTGTTCTTCTTTCTTCTTTCTTTATCTTCTTCTTGCTGCAAGAATTACAGTATGATCTTATTAACACTAATGTATAAATAAATGTTTCCTAAAATATTAGAACTTCTTCACAATTTTAACAAAGAGACAGTTTAGAAAGTTAACCAGCACAACCTTAGTGGGTGCTCTCAGACAACAACTGCTACTTCAGCCACAGGTTCAAGTGGTTCCATGTAGCTAAATTGCAGTTGAATCTTAATGCTTGAGAAAACCTTTTGTTGCGGTTGTCTTTCAGTCCTGGATAGTTTGTAGCAATTCTTTTCAAGTATTCACCTTTTTCTTTACTCTCATCACTTTTTTGCTTGATATAATGTTGACATTGTAGGGAGAAATTCTCTCTTGGTCACTCATAGGAGTTAAAGGGTTAATGGCTAGTTTTATTGTCTATGTATGTTTAGTTATTAAGTACTCACTCTTCTTTTCTTGTCCTCTGCTTGTTTAAGTATTTCCTCCTTGAACGGAAAAAGGTTTGGGACTCCTGGATCTTTCTTGTGTTCTGAAATATTAACATTGTTAATAATTAATCCAAGACAGTCATCCGATGTGAAGAAAGGGCTTGAAAATATAACAACCCAAACTAGGATCAGAAAAACTCTATGAAGCAAGCACCTTGAACTAATTCAACAGACTGTGAATACAAGTTTTCCAGCATGTAAAAACAATTTCAGGTTACTCCAATTTGTCTTATGTCTGAAGGACTGATTTATGTGAAACAGAGGATCATACAAATCAAACAAGTCAAACAAGTTTGAAACAATTTAGACTTGAAATTTGTTTTAAGCAACAATGCAATATTAAGACACAAAGTCTTTTCTGACATGTTTATCTGGGTTATTATCTGGCTCAATTTAAGCCTATCATTTATGGATTTTACATACTTTTTGTTTTTCCACTTATTTTGGCTTCTTTTCGTTGTTTCCGAAGATGCTCCCTGATCTGGAAAAAAAGGTGAAACAATATTTAACAACTTTATCTTAACTACAAAGATATATTTTCAGGTTTGTAATGATTGATCCCAAGAAGGATATGTAGGACAAGTTGGCGATTTTATCTCTTTATCATAATACAAATGATTTTCAAGTGACCATGCATCTATTTTTCAATGGGACAAAAAATGCACCAAACAACGTGTTGCTTTATATCGCTCCAACTAATGTTTGTACTGTTAATATTCATGGTGAAAGGAATAAAAGAAAAAAATGGGTGTTGGGTAGAGCCTTGAACAGCACTCTTCTAAAGGTAATTGCTGATGTTCAAGTCACAAGGGAATGAATTGGAGGGGGTATAATGAAGAAGTTGGTGTGGCATCATCTTGATAGTATATATGATATGTTTAGATGTGTGATGAAAAAGTAGGTCATTCCTAGTGTTTTAGTCTATTTTATCCCCACTATATTTCTTGACTTTGGGTAAGATATACATGTAGTAGCCATGGTGACTGCCTTGATGAGACTCTATCCTCAAAAGTTCAACATGACCACTATGTTATAATAGTGTATCAAAACAATTTAAAGCTAGGTTAGTAGTTCCCTTTATCCACTGAGGTATAGTGTTGAGGTGTTAGACAAGCACTATAATTTTTAATAAAAGGGTATGTTTCTAAAGAAACCGTAATGCTGTGTCAGTGGGAGAGTATAACAGGGTAATAAAGTGTTATCAACTAAGTTGATAATGTAACTTGGCCACCGTGAAGAGTTTAAAGGCTGACATTTTAAGTGATTATTGCTCTAACAATGGGCTAATGTTCAAAACGTCAGCCTTTAAACTCTTTACAGTGGCCAATTTACATTATCAACTCAGTTGATAGCACTTGATTACCCTATTTCTTAATAGTTTAGCAAATACAGATTTATTGTGAATTATGTAAAATGGGAAATATTACTTGGGTTATCATAATAAAGTGAGTTTACACCATTATCTTGATACAGCAAGTGTGCAACTCCAACAAAATCCATAACTCTCCCCAACCCACTAAAGCAGACAAGCTATGGTCAGCTAAATACATTGGAAGCAGTTCAAAGAATTTTAAGAAACATGCGATTGACTGCAATTGATCTTTCTGAAAAGTTTACTCACAGACTGATTCAATGGCATTTACAACTGTAAACTGACTGGAGTTAAGCCCTATTGATGTTACATTAGTTAGTTAGTACCTGAGATCATACTTTTAGATAGGATGGTTAAAATTCCCATTGATTGGAATGAGACGACTCTTGATACTACAAGATTGATTCATTTGATATCATCGAAAACGCGTAATCCATAGCCTGAGAATACTGATTTCATTGATTCACAAGTACAATACATATAAAAGAATGAAACCCAATGATGCAATGGTCATCGATTTATAACAAGGTTTTCACATATCGATTTTTATTGACTGCCCAACCAGAGCAATGATATGTCTAGTGTGAGGGCAGTCAAAACTCGATCTTCTACTTCGTCGAATAAAAGTGTTTCTGTCTGAGCAGACACCCCTACATGTTACTGACTGCAATGTACTGTGAGTCAGCTGTACTACTACGATCGTCACATTTCACAATCCACAAACAAACCTTTCGCTGTATTTTGTATTTCTTGTGGGCCGTCATCCGCTTGCTCTGTTTCTCTGAAGACAATTTAAATCAACGTTTCAGATATAGGTTAATGGCAAAAAAAGCCGCTTGCTGACACGAAAATTTACAAAACTTACTTGGACGGACCATACTTTATTTTGTTCTCGACTCTCAATTAACCAGCACTCCACGTGAATCTTCCCAAAATGGCGGAACTAGTGCTCAGTCTCCTTAGGGCTGACTCAATTTATTATCAGTACAGGATTTCCATACTTATGTTAACGTAATATAGGGGTCAATATATAAATAGAATCGCTTGTCATGGTATGCAAAATAAACCTCCATCTCGAACCGAAAGTAAGATCTCGTTCCCATTAGGAACGAAGATGGAAAGAAAGGGAAAGGATTTTCGTGAAGGTGATGCATTCAGTTAAAGACAGGCATTCAAGGAGAAAAATGGATTGGAGTGCTCCCATTAGGAGTCGAACCTACAATGGCCTTCCGATAAGTGCTTGCTTGTTACTGTGCTGTAGGAGACTCGTCCCAGGCAATACCTTTTAACTAGGTCCAAATGGCAAATTTCCATCATACCTCTTGGATATGAATTTCAAGTTAGATGCTTTTGCGCAATCATGATGGAAATGAAAACGGTAAATTTTAAGTCTGACGATTTATGTGAAAGATGTATGTAGTTAATGTCATAGGCACGCTGAGATGAAAAAAAAGAAAAAAAAACTCTTAGTGTTCCCAACAGGATCCGAACCTACGACCTTCCGATGACTACTTCAGATACCCTACCACTGGGCCTTTGTCGACTCGTGGTAAGCTAAGCCGTTAAAGAAGTTCTGAGGTAAAAAATGTCCCACCATGATGCTTTTGCGCAACCATGACGTAAATGAAGATGATAAATTTTAAGCCTGGTGATTTAACTGAAATATGACTTTGTCACTGAATGACACAGAAATACTTGGAGAAAAAAAAAACAGAATAAAAAAAGGAGTGTCTCCAATAGGATTCGAACCTACGACCTTCAGATGAGTGCTTCAGATGCTCTACCACTGAGCTGTAGTAGACTGGTTTTAGGATAAACTGTTAAAGTAGTTCTATGGTGACAAACTTCCACTATACCGCTTGGATAGGAATGTCGAATGTTGCTTTTGCGCAATGATGATTTAATGAAGATGGCAAATGTAAAGCCTGTTGATTTTATGTTAAAGATGATGTATTCAGTGAGCGACTCAGGCATATTTGGAGAAAAAAGGATTCCGAATTCTCCCAATAGGATATGAACCTAACACCTTCCGATTAGCACTTCGGATGCCTTACCACTGAACTATAGCCGACTCGTGGCAAAGTAAATCATTTCACTAAGTCCATGGTGAATAACTTCTTCCATACTGTGAGGATAGTGCCTCTGTCACTGCTCTCTGACTCAGCGGCAGGCGTACTGGATTCTGGCGGATAGGCTTATTGTCTCCGGTATTGATAGTGCGTTGACATTTATTTTGTTCTCCCCGAGTCATCAATTGAGCAGGCAAACACATCAGCAAATTTAACTAACGACGTCGCCATTTCTGCTCTTCGAGATTCTTCCGGGCTTGGTGTGGTTCGTGAATAGAGGGCGACTAGATGACCTAGGACCGATTTAGTCAAAGCTGATAGAGCTCAGTGGCAATGCACCCGAAGTTTTAATCGAAAGGACGTACGTTTGACTCCTATTAGGAGAACTCGGAGTTTTTTAAAATCTCATATCCTCTGAATATGTTTGCGTTTTTCTCTGAATGCACCGTCTTTCACTTAAATCGCCAGGCTCACTTTTACCATCACCACTGCGCAAAAGTATCATATTCGACATTTCTATCTAAGCAGTACGCTGGACGTCTCTCACGATGGACTTTGTTACATGAGTCCCCTATGGCGTGACGTGGAAAGCCTACGAAATCGGTTAATACCGACCGAAATGAGACGGAGAAATGGGACGCTTCTTTTCAATAAAACAGGGTAAAAACACGGCTGTGGGATAGAAAGAACCTGTACAATCTTGTTGAAATAAGTCCCTTAACATTGGCCAAAGAGGTAAATGTAAAATACATTTAAAGGAATAATAATAATAATAATAATAACTTTATTTAAGTGTCAGTGTATTTTAGCACTGCTGTGCTAATTGGGGACACTGTAAATAGGGAAAAAAATATCGTAAATGAACAGAAACTCGTTAAAAATCCCAACTGGTAGGAGGCAGACCAGTTGGCTATTTACAAAGCGTGCAGGAGTTGAATTCGGGGCCACCGAAAACAAATCCATCCAGTGGCAGGGAGGAGGACTTGAACCAAGGACCTCCGGCTTACAAGTGCAGCGCCCTAACCAATAGGCCACGCTCGCCTCCTTCAAGGTAGGAAGGTACGACAATTCTCAAGATTCCTCCAAAGTAATTGAATTTAATAACTATTTAAGTAACATAAGTACATTCCCTACGTAAAATAATAGCTTTAAAACGGATGTACAAATACGGTCCTATTTTATGCGTAAGAATCGTTTCTAGACAAACTGCAAACGGAAAATGTGTTCCTACAAAGAGTCTTGTCTGATAGATATTCACGAGAACTTTGCAATCTAATTGCATTCCAATCCTAATGGGCTCCTGCATTTGTTTGTTCATTTATTGTTTTCTTAATTCTTGACAGGTTTTTACCACCATCATAATCATTTTTCATTACATCAAGATTAGCCATAATTTTTCTAACAATTTTAATTAGATCCCTATATTTTGTTGATTAGTGAGTAACGGCTCCCGCATGAGCACTGGAAACTACTCTGGAGTACTTCTGAAGTAGTCCCGTGAGCCTTCTGGGCGGTGGTTGCCATCTTAACTTTCGCTCGCGCAGCACGTCATCTGTGAGTTCCTGAGAAAGAAATTTGTAACATTTTTGAGAAAAGTGTGCTCTTGCGCAAAAGCGCTTTCCTTGTTTAGGAAAAGAAAGAAAACGACGACAACATTAAGCTCATTGGTCAAATAACCATACAATGCATGTTTGTATCGAGCTTCTGACAGAGAATAACTCTGAGTCCCAGGGGAGAATTCAGTCTGTGACTTACATCTATAACCGTCTGTTTTCATTCTATTTTAGATCCATTTTAAAAACACTGATGAAATGCTTGCAATCTGATTGGCTTTATGCGCGCTCGTTCGATTTTGAAACCACGAGTATGAATGAAGACCAAATTGCACTACACTCAGTTCAGTTATCATTATAAATCAGCGCTGCATAGGCTGGTTAAAAAAAAAAGTCATCTCCATCCTTTTGTTATTGAAAGGTACTCTAAATGATGGTTACTCTTTCTAATTTTTCCGGAATCACAAGGCCAGGAGAAAATAACGTGCATTTTTAGTTTGTGGTGCTAATATCATTGTTACCAAGAAAAGATCGCAAAAAACATAAAGTGGACTGAGTGTCCTGAAACCAAAACCAAGGAAATCACACCAACCAATCGGAACAAAGGAAAATATTTCAAGGAGCCAATGAAAAATCAAATTAAAACAGGCAAACAGTCTGAAGCACTGGAAATCAAGTGAACAAGTCGCGATTGGTTTACGTTTTGGATCTGATTGGTTGAGAAAGTGGCGAAAGTATTCTGGACCAATCACAGAGCTGAAAAAAGCTAAACAGAAGCAGACCTAGATTAAACTAAACTTACCACATGCAAAGTTGCATTTTCCTGGTCTATTACTATGATATCACCATCCTGTATCAACCCTATTGGACCTCCGACCTGAGCTTCAGGTGACACGTGACCGATCATGATGCCATGGGAAGCACCGCTGAATCGTCCGTCTGTTACCAATGCTACTTTCTTTCCCAGTCCTGCGCCAACCAGGGCACCGCTGGGGACCAACATTTCTGGCATCCCTGGACTAAACATGAAAAAAATATTTTGAAAACTTTCTCTTAAGAAGCATTAAACATTTCAGCAGAATGGACATTCATCATTCCATCTATAAAAAGGGCAAATTCGCCTGAGCGCCATTAGTTCACATAGGCTTAAAGGTAAAAAGTTTATGCAAACTTCTGGTGTTTCAAAATTTGGTAGAGCTACTGGAAATCTTCTTACAGTTACATAATGCTTGACTTTTTCATTATTCATGAAAATCTTTGTTTACGACAATTCTTTTCTTTCAGAAAAGTGTGGATAACTTCTGTCATTTACCACGTGCACCTAATTGTGGTTATCATGTATAACTGTACCCATAAAGCCGTTGGGTCTCATCACTGATTGCTTACCCTATTAGGGTCAACGTTTTTGCAGTATATTGGCGTTTGTGTCCGAGGATTTTCTCCTGATAGTTGTCGGTTTTAAAAAAATCAGTCATCAGATAGAATTGCTACTTCTATAAATTAATCTGAAATTAACGAGTAAACGCTAAGGAGGTAAAGATTCAAAGGAGTGATAACAACAACATAGATGAATACACAAATAAATAAATAAACAAATAAAAGTTACCCTTTTAGCACGTTTTTGTTTTTAAGTAATGCATGAGTTCACGCCAAAAAAGGGAAAGAGGAACACGTGACAAGAGAGTTCAACCAGTGTCGACAGATTGTAATTTAAACTAGTCTTTCGTGAATTTTACGAACTAAAAAGTCGTTTTATCTATTTTGGAAGCAACATATACTAAGACTGAAATGTTCATTGAACATTGAAGCACTGGGACTAAGGACTGGTAATAGTATATCACGTGCAGACCACTCACCTGCCTCGTGGACCTTCATATCGAATGACCAGTACATCGCCGGCTTTGATCTATCAGAGAAATCGAGAACTTCATGAATCTTTTTATTGATTTGTAAGATGATTTCCATAAACTAACTTCGTCACACCGTCGTGGCTTCTTCTCGACTGCTAGCAATCATCGCGAGTTGACGCAGAGAACAATAACAGCAACAATAACGATAATAATGGGCGGACAAGATTACCAGATCTGTAAGCGAGCCCAGATGGAACTTTTATCGCTTGCCTGACTAACGAGCCAGGATAGTGAATTTCGAAAGTAATACGAGATTGCGCCACTCTCTCAACTTATTATAGCAAAACCTTAATTAACTGCGATGCTAACATTTAATCTGGTTGGCCTTTGCGATTAGTTTGGTTCTGGTTTTACGATACTCAATACAAAAGAGCTCCTTTACAGATGTGTCAGATGCAGTCACGGACATTGGACTTACTTTTCCCTTCATGACACTTTGAAATGCTTGCTCCTCTCCATCAAATACCACTGCCTGCATAAAAAGAAAGAAATCTTATCCATGCTTACGCTCTTACACAGACAAAACATTGCAGAGCGCGAATGTGCGCCCAAAGAATGGTGACAGTCAGTCGAGGAAACACTATAAAAAGTAACTGATTTAGCTGAAAGGATGTGGAAAGAGAAGTTATTCTGCTTTCATTCATGTAAATACTTGCAGGAACTTTGTACGTTATTCTAATACTCGAATGTTACATTGCTATTTGCTATCCATGAATCAAAATGAGGCGATTACGTGTTGTCTACAAGGGAACAAAAGATCTTCGCAGGTGAGCCAAATTTACAGAAATTACAGATTCGAACTCATGTCTCTCAAATAGTTGGATGCTGCTGCCAACTAAGTTACGAGGCCACATGCTGGGAGCGAGGCAAATTTTCATGGATTATTCGTTCCCGTCAAGGAACCTGATCACAATTCAACAGTGGTGTTGAATGCCGTAGAAATCTGAATTCTTTAGGCTCTTTTTCTTCCAGCTCACTTGCGAGGATCTCGTTGTTACTTGATCATCGTGCACAGGTCAAAAATAAAAATTTGCAGCAGAGTAGTACCGTGTAATTTTTCGCCGGTCAACCAAAACAAAGCCATAAAGTTACAAAGACACTTCTTCCCGGATTTCCCTCGGACAAATGATGCAAGCGACGGCTTAGAAAACTAGTCCATAACTATGGTCTTACCAGATTACTGTCAGGATTATCCCCGACTTTTAGAGCAATATCTAGGCGCGCAAGCTTTAAAAGTCAGGAAGCATTTACTGTTCGTCAGCCGGATGAAGGTGAGAGTGATCGAGAAAGAGAGCGAAAGGAATAATGTCTCCACACTCAGAGTACTATAGTCGTAACCACAATGGCCACTCAAAATTCATACTTGCGTCAGGGTTGGATCCCATTTCTACATATCGGGCTACTTTCACCAACTGTCTGACAAAACAGGAATATGTCTAGTTACAGCACATACGTATTTAATCTCTGTATTACTCACCGGACCTCGAAACACTCCAGCTATATCCTTTCCACTTAATTTGAGTACAGCGCTCTCAGGAGCAAGATTCCCCTGCAAAAGAAATCACAATCCCGATAACTTTTCTGGAAAAATTTTGTAGCTACTTGTATTTTATTTAGAACGAAACTGATACGAGAAGATTCCAGAAGATCCTTATACCCGTTTTACTTAAATTTATATTTCAAATTGATAAATTCTTAAAGATACAGTGGTAACAAAGGAGCAACATTATCACCGACGTGTGTCTTTCAGAAACGTATCTTGGACTGTAGAAATGAACACATTGTATAAACTGTAGATAGCTTTATTGAGCCTTTTAAAACGGACCATCGGAAGCCCCGAAAGGGACAAACGAAAAGGCTGGTTTTGAAGCTCAGACCTGCACGATTGCAGATTTTAAAACTATCGATTTATTAATATTGCTTCGGAAGCGTTGGCAGGACTTTTGAGACAGGCCGCTGACCGAGGAAGCGTCTGAGGGACGAGGTTCAGCATTTTGTCCAGGCGCCTGTACGCAGCTCGGTCAGCTAGCGAGCTTGTAGTAAATTAGTTGTGCTCCTGAATAAAATAATGTGAGGAGAAACCAACATCAACATTGGTTACGTCACCTTTAAAATCAAGATGTGTCTGCCAGCTGGCGCCACTGGAGATGAAATTGGAAACACTACGTCCTACGACATATGAACGAATAAGAAGATATAGGTTTAAAAAAATAACCAAAAAAAAAAAAACAGAGAAAATAAAATCATCATTAACAACACAAAGAACAACTCAGCTGCTGAGTGACTAATAATTATCAAACCAGGATATTGCAACATACCGTGATTTTTCAGTATAACGCTGATCCACTATTTAAGATAGCCTTTACAGGCGTGGAAGGTTATACAAATGCAACGGATATCATTGTAGTTGGCATTTGAATCGTATTTCAATAAAGAGTTCTAGCAGGGTATGTACTTGGTAGAAAGTAATAGTGGATATGCTGTACGAAGCGAAAAATGTACTATAAAAAATATAGAACTTTTTCAGTTATTGATATATGGTCCGCATGTAGGAGCTGAATCTTCTATTTTTGACATAAACATACTGGCTCCATGTACCTGTTGTCCTATTTCAGAAAGACGTTGTACATCAGCAAGATTTTCAGCCATTGTTTTCCCACTAACTGTGATCTGATCTCCATTTAGAAAACCATTATCCAGTAGTTCTTTCAACACTAACTGCAACAAAGATGTTTTTGATTATCCCTTACTTTGATCGCGGGATTTTTCCCCTTAGTGACAAGTCTGTCATGATAAATACGTTTCAATGTTTTTTAAACACTGGACTAAAGGACAGAAAGGTAAACTAGCAATATTAGGGTCAACCTTCGGCAACAATTCTTGTAGCACTCGTTAAATTAATTCTACTTTTAACAAACTAGCGCACTAAGTTTCCTAGTTTTCTTTCCCCTTTCATTATTATAATGTTGGTACACATACACACACAATACTAAATGGCAAAAGGACGATGGAAGGAAGAATATCATATCATCGATATCATTGTTATTATGATGGTGATGATGATGATGATGATGATGATGATGATGAACATTATTCATAGATCATAAAGAAATGGTTAGTATCTTATCGAAGACTAAGCGTAGTGCTATGTCTGCTGGGAAAGTAGTGTCTTCTCTCTCCAATCTTCTCTTTCTAGTTTAATTTTTCAGTAAGACTTCGTTTATACCACAGGTAGGCATATAAAGATACAAAGCTATAGGCAGAGCTGAGCTGTTTAATCGAAAACGTTGTCTTCATCCCAACAACGCAAGGAATATCTCTGTGCAAGGTTTTTCTACGTGCTTTAATTGACTAATGTACCGTGAGCGATGGCACACAGGTCAAGCAATTGACGCAAGCCGAGTTGTCACACACTTCGTGTGTAGGCTGTGTTCTACCGATGGCCATCTGATATATCCTTTATTGACCGAGCTTGTTTGGTCAAGATAACTAAATATAGGCTTCGTTCTCTTTTCCGTAAAAAGGATAGTAAGGGCACGAAACTTGATTCGGTATTCTGTAGCTCAATCAATTGAATTTCTTCACGAAACACAGTAACTTACTGCTAAACAAAGTTCAGAATCTTTACTTACCGGAAGACCTCCAATCTTGTCCAAATCAGCCATTTGATACTAAAAAATAACGACAAAAAATCCAAACCGATTAATTCTTAAAGAAAATGAATCGTTTTTGGGCTGATGTGTACTTTTAGGTTTTTCGGCCGACAATTCATCGATTTTAGCCGAAAGGACGAGGAGAGTGGACTATACCTACCTTGCCATGTGGTTTAACATTTGCTATCAGTGGAACCTTTCCTCCAACCTTATTAAAATCTTCAATGCAAAATTCTACTTCAGATCTGAATGTTAAAGAGAAAAACAAGATAAAACAGTCTTCTGCAAATTTTTACGACATGCTGGTTGGAGTGTTTTAATTCACTTAACGGTACATCTCTAGGTTAGCCTTGTCAGAAAACCTTAGCACGAAAAGCAATGCGTTTCTTTGAGTACATTCTTAAACACGTTTAAATAGCGAATAAATTTTAAAATTAGTTTTTCAACTCGTGACACCACCGTCACCACTTTTAACCTTACCATTTCATTTTTAATACAAAATGAGTGACAAACACCCCTTATACCACTTGTCCCCGATCATGGAAGTTTTCATTAAATCCCTCTTTGAAAGATTTAGAAGCTGCACCCCCATACCCGACAGCTACGCCCTTGTGACGTATCATTTTTTGGGCCCACTTAACGTATCAGTCGTTTACACGCAGTCCCACTCAACAAGCAAGTTTTGCGATACAAGAAAAACTTTATTTGTTGCTATATTAGGGAGATGCAAGCCGAATTTTCCACGCAAAAAGTAATTCAAATAGAGCCAATTGAGCTCAAAAGAAAATTTAAGGCATCTTCTGTGGACACGGCATTAGGATTGTCTATTAAGTGACAGTAGCATAAAGATGTAACGAATGATGGGTTCCACTCCTCAAAGCGATCATAACACTTTTGCAATAAAGGAAAGACAACTTACTCATGGGCGAGAGCTAGTAAATGAAGAACTCCATTAGTTGATCCTCCTAAAGCGTACATAACTGTTACAGCATTTTCGAAAGCCTGACAAAAATGAGAATCAAAACAAAACAGAGTAAACTGGACCATAAGTATTGGCAAAACGTTACGGCCTGTTCAACAATAAATTGATTTTTTAAAAAACTTTTGCTGTGGTTTAATCATCGATTAAGGCGCAAGAACATTGGCCGAACTGTCAGCGATTTCATGGCGACGTTAAATAAGTGCATGGTCACGATTATACACCAGTCTCACCCTGAAACCTACTTATGAATTGGTGATGTTTTCCTTTAACTTACATTTAAAGTACAAAATCCAAAGGAGAATCAAAATAATTATCGCCTTAGGTAACAGGCATTTGTTTTTTGATAGTGCCTTAGCTTATCTTTATTTATCTCAAGAAGCCGTTGTATGGAGAATTTCCCTTCTGGTCACCCAAGACAAACGAAGGATTTAAAACTCCTCAAAGTGAAGTAGAAATACTACTCAGTATTTGTAAGACCAAACACAGTTTCATGCCAGAATGGATCCAAGTGCCATTTCCTGATTTAGCCGTGCTCAAAATCACATGGGAAATAAGTGATCACTAGGAAACAATACACTACTTCGTTATCAATGGGCAACATAAAGAAAGCGGCGCAATGACAAATATCACCTTCCTACTCAAAATATTTTTCGCAGTTTTTCCTGATTTCATCAAAGAAAACAACGCCCTCACAGCCTCTTTGACTTCCCTCTTCTTAGCTGATATCACCTGAGGAAACAGAAGACGGTGAGAGAGTCAGCTCTGTGTGCCAGTGTGCCTGTCTGTCTATCTGTTTATTGGGAATGAACGGTCAAAAGACGTAGAGCTGCTCTAAACGGCGGAGAAGAACACGATCAAAAGAAGTGATGCATCTAGTTTAGTAAATAAGGACAAAAAGACTTATTCATTTTAATATCCACATTTAAAACTGAAGCCACGCACATTTTCATTTTCACATTAAGTTTGAGAAACTAACCTTGTTTTCCCCATCTACAGCAACACCGGAAGCACTACCTATCAAATTGACGAAAAAAAAAACCAAACGAATTAAATTTGTACGTTATTAATAACATTATTTGAATTACAAACTGGAATATGCATGGAGTAAAATTACTCTTCTTAAGATAAGTCTACAATCAGTGGTAAAACTCTAGATCTTGGAGGAATGATTTTTCTTCTATCCTGTTTTATTGATGTTCTCTGATCCTTTCCCAATTAAACACAAAGTTAAGCTTCTCGGTCTAACATCACAGCTGAAGTCCAACATTGTTCAGGGGGAGGGCTCCTGCATTGGATGAGAATTTCTGAGATCAAAGGAATTTGCCAAGGAACGTCATTTTCCTTGGTGAGGAAATCAATTGATAACTGAATCATCACAAACCTGGTAATGACAAGCCAAGAGTTTCTACAACAGATGACATGGTGTTGGCAGTGAACATACCACCTAAAAATAAAATTAGAAAACACGGAAGCTGATGAAGAATGTAAAAAACTGGAAAAAAATTGAAAATTTCTGGAGCTCACAAGCACTGAAGAGGTAGTAAAAAAATTGAACAAAAAAAGAAACTTAAAAAAATGATGCCAGAAAAAGGTTGATGTAGACATTAGTTGCAAAAATTTTACAGTTACTCTTGAAAGTGTAGTGCGCTGAAAAAGAATAGATGGCCTAAAAAACAAAAATTTTGCTTTTTGATAGAACAGGAATAAAAAGCTCTGACAATTGGAGCCTTTCAGGGTAAGTAGTCTCCAAGACTTGCCTGTTATCGAGAACAAAAAGGAGTCAATGAAAATATTGTTAAATTTGCTGTCATAAATATAAGGCAGCTGTATATGTACCACAGGCTCCAGCACCAGGTATTGCATGACACTCAATATCCTTCAAATCTTCAATGTCCATTGAGCCTGCACTATATGAGCCAAGTGCCTAAAAGGAAAAAAAAAAGCACAGATTTAGATTGATAGACTGATCATCAATCAAAAAACAAAATTAATTTCACTCACTACATCACTGAATATCCAACAACTATTCCATGCATTTTATGTTGGATATCAGAATTGGCTACAACCAATCTCTTATCCAACAAGCATGAGTGGAATTATTGTTTTATCAAATTTTATTAAATCCTGAACTTTTGGATATTTGGAGCCTTTTTCAGCTCTGCACTAGTTGGCACAATGTATTTCCATATAAGGTGACTCTGAATATAAGCTGATAACCAAAGTGAACCAATCAGAACAATAGAAATGCAATATTTGTAGAGTAATACCTTAGTGAGCCAAAGTCAAAGTATTCAAAGTAATTATTAGCATTCTGTTCCACAGCATATTTTCAATAAATTTTGTTTCATCCATTATACACTTATAGAAGGTCGATTGGACAATGATAATCAAAATGCAAGATGAAATGTTAGTCCTAATGGAGCACTGGAATAAAGGAACAGGAAACTACAGTTGAAAGGGCTACCATGAAAGACTGCGAACAGATCAACGGTAAAAACATAAAAAAGACTGCTGGAGCCTCAAGGAAGCATGTGTTGGTTGCCATCTACAGTCACTCTGGTTTCATGTGGAATATGTTAAATTTAGTGCTGACTCTTCAAAGTACCGGAATTAAATCGTAAAAATAAAGACAAGAGAAAATAAAGTCTACAACAAGGGATTTTATGTGCAGTCATTGTCCAAATAGCAACCCCAGCCAACAGGGCCTAACTTCAGTGAGAAGCACAAACATGTGGCTAATTTCCATATCTGACCACAACGGCAGTCATATAAATTTTTGACATGGTCTGCCACAGGCATCTTACCTCAAAAGGACTCCCAGCACTCAGATTTGTATGTTTCTTTCCACATCCAGGAAGCATTGTTCCTCCATAAATAACAACACCACACTGTTGGTTGAAAATAATGTATGCCACTTTCAAACCTTAAAATCTTTCAGTGACTTAGTCTTAACCTGTAAATATCAGAGATATTTTGATAAAGCAACAAGTTTAAGTCAAAACTGGTTATACTTACAGGTTTATAATTAAGCATGTTTTTAAAATAATTTTCTTTTTTCCTTTTTTGTTTTTGCATTGTCTATTCAAATAGGCTTTTCACCCACACACTAAGTTAATATTGGGTTATAAAAATTCCTACTTACTGCATCAAGCCTGGGTAAGGCCATGGTGACACCAGGAATTGTCTTGTCACAGCCAGCAAGGCAGATCATGCCATCCTGGAAAGGGTATAAAGAAGGTGACACTGAATTTAAATGGTGCAGCAACCATTTAAATCATACAGATTTTCAGATGAAATTCTCACCTTCCTATAAGTTGTCATGACTATGACAAGATTGCAACTCACACTGAGAGGAACACAAGATCAAGTTTGGTCCTCAGCATGCCATGAAAGATGGTACGATAATAATCTCAAGAAAGGCAGTTACTGATAAGAATGTGACATATATTCACATCTGAAAACCCCCAGACAACAAGTGCACTGTGAAACTTACAAGTGTGTTCGTCAATATTTCATCCACACATTTACAACTTCATCTAATTCTTACCCCAGTGTATCCAGCATGGGTGATTTCAATACAATCAGTAATCCAGTCCCTTGATATTAGGGAATACTTCATACCACTTGTTCCCTAAGAAAATGAATTCAGTTGACTAACAGTCAGCTATCTAGTATTGATACCATTTTTATTGATATAAGATCCTTGCATACACACTGTTTTATATGCACTTTATGTGGACTATCTTCCACCCTTTCCCACCCCACCTCACTTTACTTTTACTTTGTTTTTGAAGCATGATGTTATTGGGAGTATTACCATCCCAGATTTTTTCATATTTGCCCATCAGTTTGTTGGCATCCATTGATATTCCTAGCTGGTTTTTTTTTCCCAAGAACACAAAAAACCATGCTAGGGCTCAAATCCAGTAGATCTCTCAACCCACAGATTATCAAGCCTAATTTCTGAAACTTTAGGACATCAAGCTTCAATTTTGAAATTTGTTAAGACAGCTCTGGCACCAACAGATCTTGTCTCCACATGACTGCCCTATCTTATACTGAACTTTCCTGATTAATTCTCATATGAACACCTTGAACAACTTATTTTTGAAGATTAATCAAGGCCAAACATTTGAACTATTTGAAAAGCTTATTACAATAACACATTTTATTATCTATAATTAGCCACTAACAACAGATCTTTTACCATGGTCATAGCATCACTTATGACAGGTGTGCAGCATAAGACAGCTTTTCCTGGTCAGAATTACAAAAACAAAGGCAACTTAGGTACAATGGAGAGAATGAGTATTTAACAGATTTTCATTTAGTTCCCCTTATATACTAATATTAAAGACTATAGTCCGATGGATACCAACTGATTTGTAGGAACTTGAGTCTGAAATAATGATATCATAATGGTAATAATCATAGATAATGTAAAAAAAAAATGTTTTTCAGGTATGCATTTTGGACTGAGGTAATAGGTCATGACAAGTCAATAGAATTTTCCCAGAGGGGGTACCCTCTATTACAAGAGATAGGAATACTAACGATGAGAGATTTGAATTTCAGGGGAAAAATCTGAACATGTCTTCTGTCTCAATAGTGATACCAATTAACAAAGCAACTGTTGAGTACAGCTGATAACTCAGTATGCATGCAGGCAGCATCTTTTTTTATTTCTAGGTATGCAACACCAATTGACCTGCTTGATAACTTGAGGTATAAATATTGTCATTTCACCCTTTAATAACCTGCTCAGACCCAAATCCACTGTTTGCTCTGTTTAGTAATTAGAGTTTCATCTCTGTCTCCTTTTCCAAACGGTTACAAATTAACCCATTCATTCCCAAGATCTCATTGGTAATTTTCCTCACTGTCTGCCATAGAATGTTAGCGAGAAAACGTAGTATAGGATCAATAAATAATCCCCTAGATAATATTTTCCTTTATTCTCATCACTTGCCTGCCTTAGCTTATATCCTATTAACACTACATAATTTTCTAAAGGACACATTTGTGAGACAAATACCTCCTTCTTCTTCGACAGCCTCTATCACAAGATCCGCAAGCTCCCTTTGAAGATCACAATGACAATTATATTAGAATATATTTACTGTCTGTAACATATGCCTATTGGGTTACACATGATAACTCCTTATTAACCAAGCATGAGGGCCATTCTGGGGAATATTGACCTGACGTCATGGCAGTATGGAATAAACTTCATCTAAACTTTCTATTTGAGTTCTTCATTTAAACTTTTTTATTCAAATTTTCTGGCTTTCAAGAACAAAAATACATGGAAACAGTTCCTATAAAAAAATCCTGACACAGTAAGAACCAATCAGAATGTTTGCATTTACCTCAATAAAGACCACGTACCTTGCTATATTATAAAGTATGTTATTTTCCACCCTTTAGTTATGGTAAGTCTGAGTTATAAAATAGTTATTTCAATTATAACTCAGGATAGCTAGTGAATAGTTCACCAACCTGAAGTGAAAGTTGCACGGTATTACATTGATATAGGGGCAAGCCACAGTTATCAAGGGTTTCACAAAATCTTCATCCTAAGTGATTAAGCAGTCATGCAAAGGTTATGATCAATTCAAACAATAAATAGATGTATGATACTCTTCCAATATAATGCAAACACAACTACTGCATTTCCACAAATATTAAGACATCAAAATTTTTATTATCATCTAGGTACATTCTGTTACCCTGAATTAATCTAGTCTTATGCCAGTACATGTAAGAATAATTATTTTTTCTTGTCTCACTTTTAAAAACATTTTGGACGACATTTCTGACCAAACAATTGTGCATGAATATATTAAGAGATTTATCATAAAATTTTTGAGCTTGGGAGTATGAGTGACAAATTAATAAGAATTGAGGTTAACTGAATATTAAAATATATAAAAGTGTAACATCTGGAAAAAAATTAAGTCCAGGAAGTTTACCTGTGTTGATGAAATTGATCATCTCACAAAATTTGTTTAAAATTTGTGTAAATTCATGATTGAGGGCAAACACACTTGAACTATAAACTTCTGATTTAATTAATTATCATATTATTTGGGTCTTGAACCAGGAAAAAACTAGTTGTGCACTAGTTAATGACTAAAACCTTAAAAAAACTTCAACCTGCCTTGAATCCAATGGCCCTCATGTGTGCCCTTGCCCCAATCTTAGGAAAACAAAAGGAAAAATTAGGAAAAATAAATAATTTAGGTGAAACAATTTTTTTAAAACTAATTCTAGGTTAAATTACTGTGTATGCTACCTAGATGCTTTTGGGGCAGCTTAAGTTGGATCCTAGAGTTAAATGAACTCTAACTTAGGCTCAGTTATTTGGAACCTGTCTCAATTAACACTTTTTTCTAAGATTCAAACTGCATTGATTTCTCTTTCTCTCTCAAGGCTGGTATTCATTGCTGCCCAAAAAGTGGTGTGTGGTTTCAGTTCCTACAGAGTGATTGATTTATTGAATCCATGGCTGCTAAAACAGGATTATAATCAATTATACTTGACACTACTTGGAGTAACTCGAGTATCATTTGGCCAAAAAGGAATTTGTGTTTACATCTGTGTAATAGTTTTCAGACACTAAGTGACAATATAGTGCTAGGAACATTGTTAGTACATGTATATATTAAAAGAGTGCATAGCATTGAAGGCTTGCTCTGATTGGTTACCTATACTCTGGTACCCTTTGTTATTCAGCTCTGAGTAACATGCATGGGATTTCTGCCTGAAAATGTTGTAACTGTTACAGGAATAAATGAGCTAAAATCATCTTTTTGCATTATATTATCTCAGTCACTGCTTTAGTATGTGCTAAAACAACTATTCACCTCCATGGAGGAAGTTAGTGGTGGATATTTACCAGTAAATACCAGTAAATACCAGTAAATATCCACCACTAACTACTTTCACTTGGATAAATAGGTGTTAGATATTTATAACACAAGTATTTATTAGCACCTTGCATGTACCTTTTTAATCCAACTTGCTTGATCAGTAACATCTCCAGTGAGCACCTTACTATTGACCTGGTGACCATAATAAAAACAGTATGCCCTGTTTATATAACTCTTCCTTTGTTTTTAAAATTACTTTACCAGTTGACTTGAAATTAAAGATAATTAAATCCATCAATTGAAGTACAATTGGTAGCAAAGGAGTAGTTGAAAAGGAAATTTTCTTGCATGGTATCTCCATTCCCTTCTTTTGGTTCCATGTTCCCTCCCCCTGTACATCACTAAGCTTTACTTGCTGTAATTAATTTTCACTATGGCCTTACCACTAGTTGGGTCAAATAATTTTGTCTCAAGATGTATGCATAATTTTTAAGGGTGAACTTTTATAGTGTAATGTGTTGGTCTGGATCAGTGGTCCAGAATCTATGACAGATAAATATATTGCCCTAATTCAGGTGAGAAAATACATTCAGTGGAGCAATTAATAAACAACATCAGAGCAAAGCTCTCAAGACTCCACTTTGAGTTGTCAAACTTGGGATGCTGCTTATTTGAAAGTGCAGCTCATATACCAGTGTTTAGAGCAATTATATCTGGAAAACAACAAGTCTAGGAGATGGCAAGGATTTGAAACTGACTGTTAATGTACTGAATGGTAATAACTGTGCTATGGGTGGCTGATGAAGTCCATTTACTCATCACTTGATGTTGACTGAAACATTTTCAAGCCAGCTGGCTTGAAATAGTGCTCAATAGTGCGTTGATGAAAAGGTAAAGGTTGGTTGATTATCCCTTAATAATCAACTGATGGTCAGCTGATAGGCACTCTACTGATGGACATTGGTGGAGTATTGCTCATGTGTCAGTCTACCTTTGCATACCCATAACCAGCGAAAGAGGTTGGTCAGTCCAAGAATCTCTAACCCACCTATAAATAGATAGATCACTGGCTATGCTTCAGCCATCATTCCTTCAATAATGTATTAAGCTCTTCTAGCTATTGGTCAACAGAACTAAGAATTTTATTGGTCAATGGAAGCCAAACCCTTTCCATATGGTGGAATTGTATACATTATAAAGTAGCTCTGGTGGAGAATTTGTATATTTTAACCTCCCCACTCTTCGCCAACCCCCCCCCGTCTCGACCCCCCCTGATATCCCAGGGATTGTCGATAGTATAAAAAGAAAATCGATTATTTTTAATCATTTTGTACTTCATCCTGAACAATGTTATCCTAATGTATTTCACAACGAGAGAAGAGTGTCAAATGAAGTACCGAACGTTCTTCGATGATCATAATCAAGGAAAATCTAGGGTATTGTTTGGTAACGAAATGGCTTCCGTCAAGAAGCAAGAAGAAATTGATATTCACGATAATTCAGAATAAAATCTAGCATTTTTTTTAACATTCAGAAATCACATACCTTCAGCTGAGTCGCCATTTTTATCAGTTACTGAGAAACAAACCAGCAAATATATGATTCCAGCACCATGGAAAGAATTAATAGCAAATCCCGTGACAGAATTGTGACAACTGACCCATAGGAAGCAGTTGCGTGACTGGAGTCCAAGCCCCTGGCCTCGACTTGGCTTAAAGAATGGCTACACATTCAGGTTACGCTCTGAGATAAAATCAATTCTCGTTTTAACATTGGTTAAAAATTTTGCAAAAACTCAATAGCTTACTTGAATGGGAATTTCAACATGGACAAACAGTAAGTTTCGCGTCATTTCGCGAGGTACTAAATAGCTATTATTATTTTGACGGTCATAAGTATACACGATAGTTGTCTACCATTTTGTTCATTTACTTAATTATTTTTTTATCTTTGAACATTTTTTATTTTTGTTGTTGGTTAATTTCTGACACCGCACCTGTTTTTACAAAGTTGTACACAAATTTGTTAAACCAAAACTTTTTTGCATGAGTTATAATTTTTTAGACTAACCAAAAGTGAGTCTCTCTACTTTTCAAAGTTCTTCCCTTTTTGCATTAACTTCTTACTAACCGAGCGAGTACGACTTGAGCAAGCGAGGTTGGTAAGTAGTTTTTTACATGGCTCCCACGCCAACCTTTTTCTTTTGATTCTACCGGCTTTCGCGACCGAAAAATACTCGGCTTATGACCATTTTCACGGAAACAGTCCATATGTCAAAATACGGATCAAGTAAGAACCAATCAGAACGTTCGCATTTACCCCAGGCTACTTTGTCATATAATAATTTGTAATTTTGATTTAACGACTTGACTTGAGAAAGATGGAACTGAAACATTTTGCTAAATTGACGAACTTTGGTCTCCTTTGTAAATTTATCTGCCACGTTGTTCATCTACTTAAAGTAATTTTCCTCTGCACTAATTAGCAAACCGTTATAAGTTCGTTTTCCGGGATTCCTCAATCCATCAAAACGCGCTCAAATTTCCTCAGGTGGTCGCTTTCTGATCAAATCCGGAATAGAAATTCAAACAAAAGAATATGTGAGACTTTTAGTTGTTTCTCAAGATTATTAAGTAATTACCACCTTCCGCAATTAGCGATTAAATTGCAACAAACTGAAAATTCACCTGATAGATGATTATTCAAACCAAAATATTTTTTCACCTTCTTTGATCATTCAAAAGAACTCATACCTCAACTTGTGGTAAAAATATACCGAGAGATTTCGTAATGGAAATTGGTAAGTTATTCTAATAAGTTAAAATAAAATGAAGGGAAATATTTGTTCAGAAACGTTTTTTCTTTAAATTTTGATTTTAGATATGAGTTTCAAATATCGTGAAAAGTTTGATGCACAAAAGAATTTTCTTAGAAAGGAAAAAGAAACAAACGAAATTTGACAAAGAACGCGACCAGTGTTTGGATCTTCGATTGCCAAAAATTATAATCTTGTGGTACCGCTGAATGACGAAAATATGAAACATCGAAAGACGTTTTCAAAATTATCTAAAATTTGTGAAATATTTCCTAAGAAAGTAAAACAATACTCTCTTTGTGGCAAGAATAATAAGGTAAAAAGAGTAATTCGTTTGACAGCAAACTTTATGTTTCTAAACCTTAATTTTCACGGGAAAACGGGTAGCTCTTGAAAGAGTTGTATCTAAAACATTTCTAAAATACCGCCCACCGGCTTGCTGGAGATCCAAAGTATTAAAAAAACATCAAATTATAAAGTAGCGTCGACTAACAATTTCCTAATGGTTAGTAGCTTATAATCTCTTGAGGTTATTAGTGAGTGCGCTCTAATACTAAGTAGAAAATTAAATGATGTATATGTCCAAAAAAAAATACGATTATAAAAAAGCCATTTCTACATATAAACATGCATTCAATGGTATATGATGTAAGTGAACTCCTGGCCGCACCAGATGTCTTATTATACCCCATTCACACCAAAGCATAGAATTATGTTTTTAAAGTTGTTTTGTAAAACATGGGTTAAATTTGTTTTTTTACCAGAAGCTCCTTAAACCGATGTTTGAGCGCATTGAAAATACACGTGAGCGATTAATTGAATGCTATGGAAAACTCAGTTTTTCTGTTCTCTGCTTCTGATTTCCTATCAGTTGAACGGTGTAACTAAACATGTTTTGGCGGTGTGAATGGGCGGATTAGACTCGCGATGCTCCGAGGGAATTATGGGATTTTTGACAAATAATACTCTTCAAAACAAGGATTCTCTTTGAAGTCAAAGAAATTATCCATGATATATGGAAGTCTCCAATTATCAGGGATAATCTTTTGTTCAGGTTATCGGAGTTATAATGAAGGTCTTCAGAATAAACTAGGAAAAACGGTTCTACTACTGTGTTCAGGTAGAGTAAGGAGAACGCTGAAATTAAAGCTCGGTCATTATCTTTCTGACATTTTTCCATACTGTGTAGTTTTGACATTGCTTATCCTAACAGTTCGCATGAAACATGTTACCAGTCAATCTAGGATAATGGCACAGCTTGCAAACAAACAAGTTCATTAATTATCCGTTAACAGTAAAACTGTTCAATGAAACGGGATTAGTCAGACTATACCATGATGCCCATTACGTTTCAGAGAAGGAAACTCCTGAAAGTAATTTTCATAATGAAGGTGACTGCGAAATCGAAAGTGTTCGAGCATCAGCAGATATTAGTCCGGAGCCCTCTTTGAAGGAAGAAGAAGGTAAATACGTTAACTTGACCCTGCATTTGACTTCCCATTCGCCACCGCGTTTTGTTTTTCTTTCTCTTTCTTTTTTTTTCTTTATTTCCCGAGAATAGTTAAAGAGGTTCAATTATCAGAATAACTTGGTGGGCGTCTGATTGGACCATGGTCCATTGTTGTGGGGAACTGTCCGTGGAAAGGCTGTTTTTACGTCAGGAGAAGAAAACATCCTTGTTGCCTCTCCCGTGTGAAGGAGGCGTGAATGCTTGTCTTCTCACTTCTATAGGAAATCTTAGATTTCATCTCCATTCAGGATGCTACGTGAGCTGCGGTTTGCGTTTAAGACAGGGAATACGAAAAAAGTCATGTTTTCGTCCTAAAGAGGCAGTAGGGTAGATCCTTTTTTGATATTTTTATTTTTCAGGCCAGTTTACAAAGTGTTCGAACACGTTGAATCAACTCCCTGACACAGAGGGCTCAGTTTATTATTGCCACCCAGGAAAAAGCAAAGGCTCAAACAGCAATGGGAAAAACAGCTGTGCAACCTCCTTGACTGAAAAAGCTAACAGTAAAAGTTCTACGTTCACCTTAGTAGAGAAACAAAGTGGTGACTCACCAAACAAGAAACCAGGTTTGTTATTAGTTTATCTATAGTTAACAGTACTCTTTGGAATAAGATTACTTTTATTATTTTTTGTTTTCATTTTGTTTTTATTTTATTTTTTATCTTCCTTTTTTTCATAAAAGAATTCGAGGTAATTGTCTTCGTCACTTCTTCGCATGAACGGTATTTTTTTTATTATTGTTGATCTTTGTTACAAACACAATTTACGGGAAAAAGTGGAAATGGCTCATGAAAAGAAAAAAGTCATCAGGACCCTCTAGAATTTTAATTCTGCCCAAGAAGAAAGTAGAAAGTAACTTGAATCAGTGAACAGGGGTGGTGAAAACCCCAAATACAGTTATTAATTGGTGGATACTACGAACATATCGTTTAAGTATGAACTATTAAGTGTTTATTTTCACTCTAGGAGTAACAAAACAACTTTCTATACCAGCCAATCAAAGGAGCCCGGCTGCTTACCTATGAAATAACGATAACTCTAAACAACTCTCCCAAACAATGTAATATCTCGTTAGAGTAACCGCCACCGGCCTACCTCTGATAACGACGATATATGTACGTAAATGTAATGCAGTGCAGCGCTCTATTACATTGCGATCCGCCGACGTAACGATACATGAACAGATGTCTTTTGGGGCAGTTGTAGAAGAAATGTACAGTGATATTAGCTCGCGTAGCAGTTCTTCTGACGAGAGTGAAAAACACCAACGTGCAACCATGCTGGACACGTATGATTCTCGACCAACAACGAAGGGTAATTTATTTAGCATTTGAAACTTTTCTGGAGGAACTCTTTTGGTGTTTCAAGTTGACTTTAATTATTTTCTTAACACTGTGCAGGCTTCTCTGCGATCAAAGAAGAACTTTTCTGCTATCATGTTTGCTTTACATGTAGCTCGAATTTCTAAAATTCCCATGTGAGATTCGCTTAAAACACGCCAGGCCATGGCCAAATCGTTTCGTCGCTGAAATTCAATGAGGATTATTTAAACTACTTTTTTACTCTAGGATGATTTGGCACAGCAAATTAAAAGCCTTAATCTCAAACTGGATTTAAACTGGACTTAAATTATGCGGTTCAAAGTTTTCCACTTTTCCCAGATATCGTATTAGGGCGTATCCTACGTGACTTATAAATGTATTATGATACAGAAATATTAAGTTTTCGCACGATATATTTAATTCAACTGCTAAATTATTGTAAGTATCCCAGCTTATAGAGCCCGAGCTATAATGATTTTTTTCACAATGTATTTCGAAACACTCTTGATAGCACGCTAGAAGGGTCCTTAAAATTATCCATTCAGTGAGGCAGCTGTTGATATGGAACTGAGTTGTTTATGTTTCGATTGCTGCATACAATATTAATTTTTGCTATTCTTGAAAGCGGTAGGATGTTTTAACGAAAACAAAAAGTTTGATAAAATCAGACTTAAAAATAAGATATTTTTTTATCATAAAGTCATAATGATCTCGATGAGAAAATCCTTTGCTAAAATTCAGATAGTTAAAATTTTATGGAATTTGATAGAAAAAAGTCATCTTGGCTGATGGGAAAATGAATAAATGACATAGAGAAAGAAACTCCCGGCCATAAGTCAGTTTAACGCGCTTATTATTCTTATTGAGTTTTGTTTTCAATTATTTAAAATAAAACAGACAAAGATTATTTCAAACATTGAAAATTGCATTGTTTCAATGATTGTGTTTTTGCAATCTCTTCTTTAATATTTAACCAACCACAACCAAGTTTAATCAGAGCGCGGGTTCAATTATTCTAATTACGTTCCTAATATTCAGTAAAAGGGAGACATGTTTCTTCCAGTGAAAACGATGGTGGATTAAAAAAAATTGTCTTCCTATGAGAGAAATAACAGTCATCCCTTAAGGCAGATCGCGTAAGGTAAGACAATTTTGTGAGCCATGATTCGACTTAAGTTGGGGTGGAATTGATTTCGGTTTGAATGAAGACATCACTTAGGGTTTGTCTGTCGATTTTAACACAATTTCAGAGAAGATATTTTCAATTAGTATCGAATTTTCCGAGGAAGAAATCGAGCAAATTTTAATTCCATGAGAAAAGTGCGAAAGATATATCTTTTTTGTGGTTTACTGCCGGTGTTTTGATTCCATGGTAACTGATATGTTAGGGTTTAGATATGGACAGGTAAATCGCTGCAAGTTTTGATATGATTTCCAGTCTTATTTGCAATAACAACTGGAAATCGAAGAAAACGCCGAGCGAGATAACTGATACAGAAAATACAAAATTAAACAAGATCTGTTTTCCTTTCCTCTTAATTCACACAGTAAACTCTCTTGTTTTAGTTTTGTTTCCATTTCGTACTTCATTAATATTTTACTATTGTGGTAATCTGCGCGCCCGCTAAATATATCACAGTTTATTGTAATGCAAGGTAGTCTCGAGGTAAATCCGAGCGTCCTGATTGGTTCCGAGCCGTGCACGTTTGGTTACAGAAGCCGGCGAAGTGAAATTAAACAAGTTTGGCCCGAGTGCCATATAATAAACTACCTATTAACCTCGCTTGCTCGAGCCGTACTAAGGAAAAACTATCTGGTGGTAGCAAAAGAGTTGATTGTATAATTGAATAATGTTCAAAACAAAAACATTTCCAGTTACCCATTAGATAGATACTGAAACTTTAAACACCTCGTCCCTATAAATACGAAAATAAAATATTTGATTTATTTCCAACTTTAGTTACCGAAAAAAAACTTGGTAAAAATCCTTATTCGCCTCGGGTCTACGATATTTTTCGACAAATTCAGTGCTCAGGTCGCAGGGTTCGAGAAGATCATTATGGAAGATTTTTTTATTTGACTCATTCAACCTTAGTCGAAGCAGAAATGTTTTTGGTTCTAGATACTAAATCTAATGACTGTATGCACCCACAGAGGTAAGGACTAATATTCCTACAGGAAGGGAAATATGTATGGTTTGTTGATTTGGTTTATTAAACTTATTTTGAGGTGGAAGAGCAAAGTCAAAGCAAAAAGGTATCTCTAAATTATCAACACAAAGGAAAAAGAAGACCGTGCACCAAACGGCAATGGATCGATTGCTGTACGAGATCGCTGTGAGAACACAACACAAAGCAAAAAGCCTGGAGTTTGAAGCCAAAAACCTGAGTGATACAGTGGACAACTTGCGTCACGAAAACAGAGCACTGAAACGACTTCAACGATCTCAAACAAGGGAAATTCACGATAGACATGACTTTGTAGATATGGCAAATCTGTCCCTAAAGGGATTTCGTAAAGATGTGAGATTCAGTGAAGAGAATCGAGTTGATGCTGATGCTAGTGTTAGGTGAGTAAATACTTATTACTTAAAGAGTGGGTTGGCCTCAATGTCATGTCGAAGTCCAGCAGAAAACATAAAGGGTGCAAGTTTCTAAATAAACTGCGGTGCTGCGTCAGTGGGGGTGTAACAATTTAATTGAATCAACTGAGTTGGTAAAATCAAATTTATTAAGCGCAAAACATTTCAGTCGAAAACCAAGTTCAGAAATTTCATCCCACGGGCGGTAGGCGGGGTTTTAGTGAAGATACATCTAATTATATGAATTTTGATATCCTGGTTGCAAATCGATGATACCACTTGAGTGAAAATCATAGAAAATCTGACGATCACATTTTTTTTAAACAATAGAAATAATGCCATTTTCAGAGTAAAAAAGGAAATTTGTTGTAGTATTCATTTTTATCGGGGAATAAGGTATTTTGAATAAGGACACCACCAACTAAATGTTATATTTTAACGATAGGAAGAAAACAAAAAAAGTCATACGGCTTGAGAACGAAAGTAAGAGATATGAAAATCTCCTGCAACTTGACTCAAAACTCCCAAGCATAGAAGAATTAGAGCAGAAGATAGAAAAAGCCGATAGGGATCTGGAGCTGAAGGACGAAAGGCTGAAGGTGAGAAGATGAATACTGAATATAAAGAAATTATTATCGATAATTGTCAAGGGATGTAATTGCATTACTGCATGAGCCATTTTCTCCGAAAAATTCAGGGCCTCGCTGCTTAGCAGGAGTATAAACGAAAAGCTGCAAACTCTTATGGAAAGTGGACAGAATTCCTTTTATGGACGCCATCCTATAAGTGGGAGGTAGCAATCCTTTTAGACGCGGAATGCTCCGGAAAATAGGGAAGCAGATCATCACGCATGTGTGCAATGGTCATAATATCTACTTTTACATCTTACGCTTTAATCTAAAAATTCTTCGTTGATACGCTTAAAAATTTCTTGTTATTAAGTTATTCGTTTTTTACTCAGGAATTACAAACGAAACTCGAACTGGATGACCAAAGAATCACCCAAGAACAAAAGAAGGAAAAGAAACGTTTCGTGAAACTGCAACATGAGATAGATGAAACTGTCAGAGAGTGCCACGATCTAACTTCTCGAATCAAAGTACGTACAATGAACTTGATCAACGTTAAATGTATAGAAATTCAAGTGATCAGCTTTTACGGAGAGAAACTCGGATTCTCAAAATTACTAGCCTTCTTTCCATTCTCAAGTGAAGTTGTTTCATTATCATTTGTTGTATTCCCGCGCTCTCTTTCTTTATCCTCTTTTCTTGTATCTTTTCGATTCTCAGAATTCATTACATGCGAATGGAGGGAATTTAAGCCGCAGATCGCACCATAAACCCCTCCCAGACATTGTTTTCTGCGCGAAGAGTGCTCTGCATGAAAACTTAGAATTCTTGGTTTATTTTCTTTCTTCCACGAGAGACAGAAATGAATGCATTAGTTGCAGTTGTTGGGTTAAGATGGCACAAACTCTCACAGGTTTTATCCTCTTATGGAACATCCCATGACCCTTAGGCATTCACCCGAAAGTTGCCTCACAGTAATGAATTATAAACATAGATTATTCGTGTAATACCGCCACAGAAAACAAAAATGCATAAGGGCCCATTCGCTGACAAATGATTCATTTCCTTCGCAGACGGCAGAGAGGAAAATCCACAAGACAAATATTTACTGCCGTAAGCGAGGACCCTCAACCCAGGCCCTCCCGGCCATCACTTGGTATCCTCCTGCGATTGAACAGTCTCCAACAAATAAAGTTCAAACCTGGCTGAATAAAAATTCTGACGGTTCCACATAAAATAGATTTGCCTTTCGGAATACCTTCCTCGTTGTGCAAGCGATAATTGTTCATTAAGGCGTCGAGTATTTTGTCCAGAAGAATTGATGAGTTTTTGTGTCAAGATTTGTATAAAAAAAGACTTACCATAATTTTAATCTTGTTTTCACAATTCTCTTTTACGAAGGCGCTAAACGAGGATATCTTTGTAGAAGTAGATACAAGTATTCTCCGCTAAATCACACAAAATGCCTAATGCGATTGACAAATTTTTCTTTTGCGACCGGGGTTATTTTAATCACGAGAGGCAATGTAAAATTTGCGATGTGCAAGTTCATTCCTGTATCCCGGCAGTTTCATCGGTCACTCACCGAGAAGTGGAAGACCTGACAACTAGGAAAGGAAACTGGATTACGCTTAAAACAGTTTGTCAATTAAATATCACTGAAGATAATCAGAGGAGTAACCTCCATCAGATATTCCCCCTACTTTTTTTCATGAGAGGAAAGAAAAATTCGAGCTAAGGTTGAACCACCCGAGTCTTTTGACGGAACCCATATATTGTTTCAGTATTTTAAGACAATATTCAGTTCAGAATAATTATTTCTTCGTTTACATCTACATCTGACTTTATTTCCTTCCATTTTGCATTGTTTGCTAAACAAAAGTCTACTGTTTTTAGCTCTAAGGCTGCTCTGAGGTCTATGATGCTATCTTACATCCAAGGGAATAATGTGAAAATCCCATATTTGACAAACAGAGAAAAAAATATCCTTATTTGTATACACAGCTCAAGATGTTCGCCATTGCTTAAATTTTGTATGTAGCTGCGATACACTTTTCTGTGGTAAAGAAAAATATTCTGGAGAAATCATATCATTCTTATCACTGACAAAAAGAGTAAATTCGGAATCATCACATCAGACAGTCCAATGCATTTAAAAATTGCTTGTCTAAGTCCTGTAGTAGAGTTTCACCTCTTGGCAGTTTGTTGGAACAATTAGGAGAAACACTTAAAAACACATTTTCGAATCACATGGAGAAGCGGAAAACCCGTGTTGTAGTTTCGCGTGTACCTATATGTTACCAAGTTGTTTTTCAAAATGGCAGCATTCGAGGTCGAATTTTTTGGCACATTTGACGACATCTTTCGAACGGTAAGGTGAATCTTTGTAATCTTGAGACGCAGTATGTCGAAAATTTGAATACTTACTTCCTAATGCCGAGGATAAAGATTTTATAGTTTCTGGATTATATTTTATTTAACGCAATAAATGTAACGTAAGAATATCGTTCCAAACGCTCCGACTAATCATTACTTGACGTAAAAAAAGTCCAGAGTAGTTTGCGCTGTATTGCCACTCGAAATGTCTCGAGCTGTTGCGGTTATTTCTGTTCCTCCAAAATACAGACTGACCTCCAGTTCTCTATCCAAACCTCTCCACGTCTCAGGAGACTGAACCACGACACTTCCAATCCTTTTTACTCCAGCATCGGTGACGAGAAGGGCATTGGGGTTGTTTGCCGCGTAGAAGGAGTACTTGATCTTCTTATCGTTTGGATACAATGGTCGATAGATACTTTTTATTCGCTGCCCGAGTTTAACGACTTCATTTTCCTTCACAAAGTAGTTTAGCAAATCATTACACATCTCCACGCCATTCGCGACAAACTTCTTTTCTTCTGGGTGAACTCCGCGGACAAACTCTCGGCAGCAGTCGGCTCCATACGTCTTGCTGACAACTCTTTGCACTATTCTACCCGGACTCTTGCCAAACAAGACAGCCCCTTGGACAACAGCAGTACTGGTATCATTAGGAATGATTATATAACACCTGCTGGAAAACCTTCTTTTGATTTCTTCCTGAAGAATCAAAGAATTCGCGAATCCTCCAACTAATAGCATCACAGTGACTTTCGAAAGCCGTGGCTCGCTAAGGAGCACTCTTAAGTGATCCTTCATGGCTTCCAATACCGGCCGAAACTGCTCCACCATAACTCTCGAACTTAAGCACAGGTACTCATCGTTGAGGATTCTGATTTCTCCATTTGAATAGCGTTTCAAAGCCGCTGTAACGGCATCGTTGATCCACGAGACGAAACTGCGTGGCAGGCGAATTCTTGTCTCTTTTTGCTGCACGACCCGAACCCCGCGCTTCTTAATTTCAAAATCGTTCATGAGTTTTAGCCAATCAGAAGGAAATTGTTGGCGATAATCATACATCTTCTGCTGACCAAATATTTGGTCCAAAAGGCTCTTAAACTGTTCATTCACTTTCTTGCCTCCATACGGTCCACCTGTTACTTTGTAGATTTCCTTAATGTTACCGTCATCCTGTTTTTCATGCACTGTCACATCAAAGGTACCGCCTATAAAAAGTTGAAAGATTTATGGATTACACCTAAATATTTATTGAATGGGACTTATTTACTTAATCGTGATGCCGTAAAATTTGATACCACAGCTATGACCAGATTGTTTTAATCATGATCTCGTCGACTTTAGAGAGCAAACTCCCGTGTCCCTGCAGTTCAGATTCTTTCAAGGTGAAACCGGATAGCTGGTTTGTGAAAGGTAAAATCCACAAAAAGAGAGACTTTTTCATAATGAAACTGTCATGCTGGGTTAGGAAATTAAAAAAGCTACAATGCGTTCTATACAGGGATTTTTGACTGTCTAATTCCACGTATTGACCTAACTGAATTGGCTTTGAACTCTATACCACATCTTTCATTAAAAAATAGGTGTTTAATTTTTTTGAATGTTAGCAAAGTGCGTTTCGTCATCTTTCATATAGTTACAAGGTTGTATCGCGTCTGTTTCGGATTTTACTGTGGAAATAGCGCATTAGGAGGAATATTTCTAACCCCTTCACGGTGGTTTGTCACAGAGGTTTACTTACGTTCCCCTATTTAGAAGGTAAATGTTATAGTTAACCAGACCATCGACATTATCAAGGTTTTGAATGGTTTCATTCTAGTTTTTGTCTGAACAAGTTCTCAGTTATAGAGCACTCCACATTTTGTACAGATAGCCATCGGAACTACTCCTTGCTTATTGAAAAAGTATTTCTTTTTGAATAAGTAAAGTAGCCGGCAGTATTTCTTTACTCAAGGGGCTACTTCTTGTAAGTTACTCCACCCATTGATGTTCTTCGCTCCTTTCGCGTTCAAAACAGAAGCACTATCGTTGCGCGTTTCATCAACTCTACAAACCACTCAATTTGAAAGGTTCTTCAGAAACGTAGACTACGAAAATCTTTGCTCAGAGGAAGCCTCACCTCCGATGTCGACAACCATATAGTGTATATTGGGTTGAGAGAGTTGTCCTTCAAGCGACACAGCACCCATTCTCTCCAGGTGTCTTTCTGTGCAAAACAGTGCCGCAGCTTCAGGTTCTAAAGCAATTATCAACTGCTCTGGATTCTCAGATGACCCAAGGCCAGCCTATGAAAAAAATAAGTGACACAACTACTCATTTTTCCTTGAAATGATGACAGACTAGTATGCCGGCAAATGCAACACAATCGAACAATCGTGCTCAATGCCTCACTCGCCGATAGCATGGATGATTTAAGCTCATCTCATTGCATACCTCATAGGCTGCTTCACGCATAAACTGCTTGGCTCGTGGAGTCCATATGGCTGGTACAGTCAGAACCCACTGGATATCCTCCATTTTATATCCGTCATCTCTCGTCTCTTGTCGAATGATATTGAGCGCTTGTTCTTTCAGAAACCGGATGGAATGTGCAAACACTTGTTTTGCATGCAAGAGTTTTCCATTTGCTGCGGGTATCTTGGTGTTAAGATTCAGGCTCTAATTTGATAAAGGTAGAAAATATAAGATAAGTAACTAAATTATGCGAGTGTGTTCAGTCACATGGATGCACAAATAAATCGCTTTGCAGTGTCTTAACTTTTTGAACTAATACTTCGTCTAAACGCGTTATGAGTACTTGCCATTCGCTAGATATAGCTGAACTTCATCAAAAATTTTTTGAAAGTGTAAACAGACAATAAGAACAGACAATGAGGAGAAATAATTAGAAGCTAATTAAAAGCATATAAAAATTAAAAACAATTTAAAACTTAATTAAAAAACTTTTTAATTAGCTTCTTATTATTTATTCTCCGTATGCTCCTATTGTTCGTTTACACTTCAAAAATTTTTTGCACTTCTTACACGCCTCTATATTTTACCAAATCAATACTGATAATAATTGGTTTTGCCAAATTATTACTATGGTTTTGTTCTTTTCAAATTACACGCTTTAAAACTCTCAAAGCGGCACTAATGTTTAAACAAACTAGTGATATTGATAATGATAGAGGTGAAAAACTTGATAATGATGATGATGATGATCCTTATCTCTACAGGTCATCCTAATATGTATCTGGGCTGTAGTTAAAACCACAATAGGATTTAAAAACTGATTAAACCACCTATGGATGTTCTACAATTTAAAGTGAACTACGTCCGTTTGTTGGAAGTGACGAGAATCAATTTGTTGTCTCGGATAGAACGTGCAAGGCCCAGGCCACAGAATATGACCTGATCAGCTCCTTGAATTTTCTTCATAATAATGATAACAATTACGATAATACTAACGATGATCATGACGATGACGACGATGATGACAGTTATAACAATGGTAATAATGGTACCAAATAGTGAAAAAAAGAGGAGAACATTTAAAAGATAGTAGATGAAATAAAATGGTTAAACATACTAGAGACTTATAGTCTAGCGCACTTCATACCTCATCATTGTGTAGCAGCATTTTAAAATGCCGAAAAAACATGTATTCCTTTTCCTCAGAGAGGCTTTTCAGATTTGCGTACTTTTCCTCAGCTTGGTAACCAAACGAGTCAAATGACAAATCTGGCTTAAGAAGCAGACATGTTGGTGTCTTGCTAGTTCGATGACCCAGTTCATTTTCCCATTCTCTGTTCATAAAAATCGCATCTTCACCTTCGTCTTTATTGAATGAGAAAGCAAACCCACTGTAGGTTGTGCCGAAGTCTATTGCTACTGTAGCAAGGAAGGACTTTTCAAGATGTAAAAGCGAATTGCCAATGTCTGTGTGGAAAAAATTGGCATAAAAAAGTGGCATGACTAAAATAAATTCTAAAAGCCTTATTAACTGGGATCGAATCCCTCATTGATATAGCTTTTAGTTAAATTGAGAGGTAACTGCCTATATATGTATGTATTGCTTTTCCATTTGTTTTTAACATGTTAGATATTCACACACTTTTCATAGTTTTTGATAGATTGAATTGTTTTAGTATTTTATATCATGCGTATTTGAGCATATCAACATGTTAAATTTGCGCACCATTATTATAGAGCTACTATTATTGATGTTAATGACTGTCTTAACCTATGTATGACCCAAATGTAAATTCTAAAAATTAGACCGATACTGTTTTTCTCCGTCGGCCACTGAACTTAAAACCAAGCAAATAAAAGATGAAAGCATAACACATTGCAGCTTGAATGTACATTCCGCCTTTTCACAATAAACTAATAAGAGCAGATAATATGCAAATTATCAAGAAGATGGAGCCTGCTACATTGTAGCTTGAGCTGAGATCAAAGGACCTTAAAAAAGAGGGCTACATCAAGTACCGTGACGCAAACCTGCAGATTAAAAGTTTGCATAGCATTTTACAGATAAGCGGCGTGTTGATCATGGGCATATTCAGATAGGATTGTAGCTATGATGATAAAACGGCCGCAAACTTGCAAAACGAAAGTTAGATATGACTGATTTAATCTTGCTTGTTTTATCAAAGGTAGGACACTGCCTGAACGTAATACATAGCACCACATTAATTTTCGGAAACCCACTTAGGAGGCTGTTTTCTTTCACAGCTGTACCAATAACCGGGCGAAAGTAGCTGACTGCTGTGACTGTGGACGCCGAGCTTGTAAAATTGCAAGGCGAGAATAAGTTCGCCGAAGAATAATGATGCATATCAGCGTTTCAATCGATCAATAGTTTCGTCGATCACCGTTAGTGATTACAGTGAGATCTGTGGCTTTATAATCAGTGGTCTTAAGAACAGTGTTTTGTATATTCTGAACCATCGCGTGTGGAAAACAGTCGTTGAATTAAACTAAGTGTAAGCACAGTGAGTTACGTCTAGTTGCTACGTCATCCAAACCCCAAAGTGTCCAAACAAATCAGTGAATACTGAAGTTTACGTTACCTGTTAGAGATAAAGCCATAGCGTTCCGATATCTTCCTTGAGGAAAGACTTTTATTTTGAAAAAGAGAGCAAATCATCGGCGATTGCACAAATTCAATGTTATCTCGTCAAAATCGAGGGGAAATTTCCCGGAAATCAAACCAACCAATAGAGGGTCAAGAGATGAATCGTGTCTTCCGAAACAACAGGGGGGTTACCAAATTTAGATGTTCGTGAACGTAGTTTGATTGTTTACATTTGCCAGTTTTTTCTCTCTCAATAGCTTTTATTTGCAAAGTCCATTTTCATACTCACTGAGCCCGACTTTTCTGCAAAGCAAACTTGAATGAAAACTTAGAGATTACGTCATCTTGCGATTGTGAGAATAAAGTGCGACCAAATTTATAAGCGTGACAACTTCCGGTTTTCCGCGAAAGAGAAAGAGAAAGAGCGGAAGCGATTTTTTTCTAGGAATATCTCGTTAAGTTTGTACCCGTGGAATGATAATATGGACGGACCGAGCAGAGGACCGAAAAACGCATGGCGTATAACTCGGAAAGAATCACTAGAGTTCACGAATGGAGTGGAATCACTCGCTACCAACCAAGAATTCATTAAGAATTTGAGAAAGCTTCCTGAGGAGCTCATTCGACTCCGAAGCGATAACGAGAGACTGAAGAAGGAAGCCCAAGCGATGCGGTCCAGGTAAACAGTAGAACAAATACACTCTGTATATCGAATCTGTACTCAGTTCCCTTTAGCCGATCCAGTGTCTGATTTGGAAGCAGTTTTTTTACTTATAACTTGATAAAGCCGTGATACAACGTACATTTTGAACAACTTCGATCTTGCCAGGAGTAATCGCCATATGCAAATAAACGAAATTCCACGATCTCTTGTCATTTGTTGGGATTCAAGTGGGTGGATTTGCCCCTCTAATGTGTATAAAAGGGATAACAGCACAGGGCTTGTGGGGCAATCACTCGAGGGTTTGAAATCAGGTTCTCGCAATTGAGGCTGTGACTAGAATATCCTCGCAAACTGCCAGGGTAGGGAGGGTGGAGAGGGTGCAGAGAGTAATTTGTGAAAATTCTTACTTTTATTTTTCAGGGTAGAGTCACCTGGCCAGGAAACCATTAGTGAGAGATGGTTAAAAGCCCAACAGGAGTCCAAAGAAAAACAGCTTAGAACAGAATACAAAGAAAGGTATAAGCTTTATAAATACACTGATGAATTTAAATCACACTCATTTTTCAATAATCAACTTCACTATGAACTAAATTAAATTTCCTACCTAAGATTCTTTTTAAATCATAAGTTTTAGAAATCCGTTCAACCAATGGTCCTGCATGTAACAACTGCAGTTCGTTACTGCAAGTAGAATGTGGTTAATCCTGCTGTTTGCCTTTAATGTAAAAGGATCTCAGAGGCACGGAAGAAATTTGAGCAGCAACTTCAGGCTAACACGGAAACGCTACAGAAAAACAACGAGGAGTTGAATAAGAACCTCAATCAAAGGTAATGCATTTTGTCATCAGCATTATCTCGAGTGCTCATCAATGTTTCTTGAAATTTTGATCATTTGAAAATTAAGGAAAGCTGTGAAGAACTGATGCTTATAATACTACTGTAGTTTAATCCATTTACCGTTAATTCCTTTCAGAGAGTTATGAATACAAGAAGAAAGACCAGTATGTTCACCAACATTTACGTGACTTTCTTACTAAAGAATGTGATGGTGTGAAACAAGAATACCCTCAAACTAAGTTATGCCTTTGACTGTTACATGTACACATACAAAAGTAATCGCGGAGCTTCAAAATACTCTACGTTTCCTGATATAACTCAGACCATTTTTTCCTTTTAAGAATGCTTATGACGGTAAACAGAACGGAACAACATACATTTTTAGTCTGATGCAATCCTTTACAATTCATTTTCCGCAGCGCACAAGAAAACCTGGATTTGAGGAAAAAATTGAAAGAATATGAGCGCCTTCTACAGGAGAGAAGCAGTGTCAGTCACAGATATTCTAGAGACTCTCAGAGGTTAGTGTTTACCTTTAGTTATGAAAAGGTAATCATGTTTTACTCAGTTGTGTGTTAGTTGGATATTAAACTTTATTGGATCAAAAACAAAAGGAGGAGTTTAGGGAGATGAGGTTTGCATTTAAGGCCGCTAATAGCCGTTGGATTCCTAAGTTGTTTGTTAGGCCTGCGTGCTGCACTTCTTCACGACTGTTCCCTTGTTGTTTAAGAAATACAGAAGTACAGCACAGATAAGGTGGGCAACAAATGTTTTGCTACAGAGGGTAACTCAGTTCAGCGTTTTGCAATAACTGGATAGATCTAAATTGTTAAAACATTACGTTTTACTCTGTTTCACGTTATTTTTTATCAAAGGTTCAACTATGAGCAACAAATAATGAAAGCGAGACAAGTCTCTGAAGGATATCGCCGAGAGCTTGACAGATTTAAGGAAAGGTATTGGTAATAGCTGTTTATGTTATCTTGAATATTTTTGTCATTATATCAATTGAACAAAGAATCCTATTCAATTACTCAATTTTCCTAAACGGTGGTCGCGCTACTGCTGACAAAACCATGTAACAAGGTCCACTGGTAAGTGGCGGAAATTATAATCTCTGAAACGAAACTGAAGCATAGTACACGGTAAATCAAGTTTAACTTAAAGTTCTAAGTTAGTGTTCCTAGAAACCTCAAAGCAAATAACTATTAACAAAGCCTAGACAACCAAATCGTCATTTATTTTGTTTTGCATTTTATTGTTGTCAAAGTTGGAGGGGTTTATTTAGCCATTCAATATTGTTCATCATCGATAGGCATGCTGCTGTCTCGGAAAGGAGAGTAAGGTCTGATCAGAGAAGAACTGAAAACACATTGAGTACCAACAGACAGTCTCAGCTGGAGAGCGATTACGTCATCGAATTTAAGGATGGCACTCGTGTTGATGCGATAGACATCATGACAAGTAAATCTGGACGTCGGAGGGGGAGTAACAACACCACACTGGAGTATTTAAAGTGCTGTAGATCGGCGTGCTTCATATTTGAGGTACTGTCCTTTACTTGTGTCGTATTGACTGGTTGAGTTATGTGTCGATCTAATTTAAAGAGTGAAAATTCAATCGTTTAGGGAGAAGGATCAAAGAGGCTTACCTTGGAATAAAGGATGTAAGTTTCTAATTTGGTTTAATCAACTAAATTCATGGTGTAAATTGGCGAAAGTTAGCTTTAGAAACTCTATACAGCGACCTTAGAATTGCTCACCAAACTTAATGAAACGTAAATTGCACGACAAACTTCTAGCTTCTTCCATATGAAATAAAGAAGGGAATCTTGTCTAAACAAGAGAGCTAAACATGTCTTCCTTTCCGGATCTAGGTAGCTTATGACGTTGTTCTAAAGGTGAAAGACTCCTTCATCAAATTCACATCCAGTGTAATGGAAACCTTAGCCGCTGAGGCTCCCGCGCTAGGGTTAGATTCCACATCGTTCCAAAGCAAAGTACGATTAGTCAATCATTGATCTAATGTAGTGGTAGACTGATAAAGAAATTTCAAAAAGGGCCTTTTTAGTGGAAGAAGGTTTTTTTAACCGAGGTCCAGAGTGCAGACGGGTCTGTCTACATAGTCTATTCTGAGGCATAGGAACAAATTTGTAAGAACTTCGGAGTGAAGCTAGTGAGGGTCACTGTGGTCTATTCGTGGCGCACACCCTTCGCGATTCTTGTGTCTCTCTCTCAATTGTTTCAATAATTCTGAATAAAAAGGTCTTGGTTTTGAATTGTATTTCCAGTGGATGGAATTCTTGGTTCGCGCTCGAAGCTTTTAAAACTACTGAAGGACAATTTTTTTTGCTCTTCTCTAGAAATTGTATTGGTGGAGGGACATTTACATATATTGTGGTAACACAGTAGAATGTTGTCAGTTCAGTCACAATTATGATTTACGATCTCCATATTTCACTGGCTAGCTCTGGAATACGCTGTGTAATAATCCAAATGGAGATGTACATGCTACTCAAGATGTGGTCAGCGAGTTGATGATTCTCGTCAAAGAAAAGGCGAAGAAACACGATTTAAATTCACTTGTTCAGGTAGATTCAATGATCTGCATTTGTTCCTAAATGGGTCTTTGGGCTCGATAGTATCTTGTTCCTCTTCTACTGAAGCTGTAGAAGTTGGTAATGTTGAAGCACAATTTCTTTCGCTCCTCTTCTTTGAACTTCTCCATTTATTTGTCAAGACTGATAAAACCAAATCAAATTCACAGTATATTCAGAACCAGTTGAGAACTGATAAATGATTGTTTACGGTCTTAACAAATACCGTGGAGAGTAGAAAATGAAAATTGGAAATCCTGGGTTGATTTTGCTTTGCCATCACTAAACGTTTGAGTTTGGTTTTAGGATTTTAAATTTTTTTTTCTCGTAGTAAAAAAGTATTTTCTTCGTCATTATTTTTCCGGGGAGCCCCTTCTTAAACCCCTTAAAACTCCCCGTCAAAATGTAATCACGTTTTTTCGTTGCGTTAATTTTCAGGATGTGAAAAGATCTATTTCTGAAAAATGGACTCGTCACCAATTGCAAAGAGGATCTCTTCTTCTTGAATACGACTCGGATCTATTGTATAGACTGAATGACTATATCAAATATTGCACTCAGTTTGCATGGTGTGCTGTTACACAGGTTCCTCCCCTTAAGGTTGACTACAAGACCACTGATTATGACACAAAGGTCCATGGAGTGAGTCAAGCGTTTAGTCCCTCCGAAGAAAGGAGCCCGTCTCGTCGAAAAATGTACTCAGAGACACGCAAAATCATGTGCTATCTGTGGCCTACTTTGTTAGACTGTGATGGAAAAGTTATCAGGAAAGGAGAAGTACTGTTGCTATAATGTGCTAAACTTCTAGATGGAGAATTGATTTTAAGTTATTCCTTACAAGAAATGAATTATACTTGAAAAAAATCAGCCACAATTCTTTCTTTCTTTCTATTTCTTTTGAAGGGACTTTAACACATATTTGTCATTTACGACGTGGAAGTTAGATCAGGTTACTAATAAAAAAATTATTTGATTCTTTAGGCTGTTTCATTAAATTAGACCTCGAAGAACTCCATGAAATTGACGTGAGAGCTCGTCGAAAATTTTAAATTTAAACCCCAGCAGAAATTCCATCAGGGCGTGGTTCAAATGAGGCAACACATTAAAGCAGGAGGCAGGCAAAACCTGCAATTATTTTTGGTATTATAAGATTTCACACTCTGATCGTTCGGGGTCGTGGAGTCCTAATTAAAGGACTATCACCGTGACTTTGCTTTACATTTCGACAACCTGAACGGAAGTCAGTATCATAAATAATAAAAACAATTATTTTGATTGAGCAGAACCAGGACCTGGGTAATTGGATGAAAAATCCAGCGCCCATGCAGCCAAGCTGCCTCTACTTAAATAGTTGTGAAGAGTTTGACTGACAAGCGACTATTCTTTTGACTCCAATAATTGTTTCCACACACGTCAAACAAGATCAAAGCACTGCTGTCAGACCGTACTATATATCTTATCGTGATTACCATGTAACACACGTGGCACCCTAAGTGATATTAAAATAAAAGATTTTCGCCAGTAAATGGGACGCTTAACATTCGCCACGGTTTGCTTCATCTGAGTGTCACATCCTGCTAGGGCTAATACTTAAGATTAAGATTTAAGAAAATTACTTAAGCCCACTGACACGAACTCAAAATTTTCTCCAAAGTTCCTTCAAATTAACAGTCTTCCACAATCGCTCTCTCACGGTATAGCTTTCCAAACAGTCGGTCACTCCCGACAACAACAGCAACTAGAAGTACACGACTGAGTCCTTTATGCATTTACAGAGTATTCTAGAACATTTCGGTAGCTTGTTATTTTGCTAATAGTACATTATGATTACGTGACCTAGGTTTAATCCGTAACAAATTTAATGAAATCGATTGCAGGCGAATTAATTGTCACTCTTGCTACAATCACTACTCCTTGCAGCTCTTGCTACCCTCTTCTGAGCTGTCCCAAAAAAATGGTTATGCAAGGAAGAGCATCGCCAAAGGTATTCTCTGATTTCGGTAACCAAGGATAGTTTTATTTCAGGCTAGGATGGGAATTTATAAATGAGGATGCGCACTGTTTAAACACCATGGCGCCACCAATATGTCACCGGCTCTTTCCAGTTTTTCTTTTAACCACGTTGGACGAAACCCAGCTTATTGTGACGAAGAAACAACTCAAAGGTAAAGGCTGCAACAAGATAGAAAAGAAATCTAGTACAGGAGGATGATGAGACTTTCGCGAACAAGAAAAACGAGGTCGGTGGTGGCTCTGACGACGGTTTTCTTTTCAAGCGTTTTTGCATGGTCGAGGCTTAACTGTATTGTTTCCTCCGACTATTAGTCTAAGAATTTCTGCACATGTACATTCGTCCACTTTACCATGAACCAATACACTTTCCTTATTATTTTAAAATTCTCCTGACAACTTTCAAGCATGCGCCTTAATGCTTAAGCATGTGCATAATCATCAAACAAATTGTATGTGGCAAGTGTAACCTTTTACACATGCTGGAGAAAGGGTACGTTGCCACTTTCCATCCTTTCCTCAAGGTAGGCTTTAACTGTTCACAGGATACAGTTTATTCTTGCCTTGCCAAAACAAAAAATCATCCTAGCCAATATTCATCCTTGCCTTGTGTAAATAGTGATTCGTTCACTCTTAAAGATCGCCTGTGAAATAGATAATTTTCATGCCCTTTTACCTGATTTACATAATTGCTACTGGATTCTGAGCTGGATATCATATGGATTCTGAGCTGGATATGTTAGGATTTTATCACAGTCGAAATGTTGTTCATTCGCTAGCAAAACTGCAACAATACATTACCCATGTCGGAACGGTAAATCCTAATGACTCCTGGGTCATCAATATGCCACTTTCTAGTTACCACTCTTAAATTAGTTAGAACTCCAGCCACAAAGCAAAGTAATCTCAAAGGTGTTTCGTTGAGCTCTTACCATTTATTTCGAGTAATAACATAGCTAGAATCCGACGATTTGTTCACAGTGGTGCTGATTTTAGTAATAGTTCTTTCTTCTCTTATCTAGAATAGCAAAGCTATAGCAGTCTAGAAAAGAAAAAAAATCATGAAAAACAATACTATTTTGTTCCCCAGTCTTTTTGCGACTACTTCACGCGGTGAATAAACTTTGGTATAATCACAAGCTCATACACTCTGTTATTTATGTGCAGCGAAACAATTTCTTCGACGATTGGTGATTCTTGCCTTTTTGTACTTAATACTTAAAATTTTTTCGTGGAAGGAACCACCTGTCACTCTTTTAAAAATTGTTGCAAACCCCCCTACCTTGTTCCAAAGCCTTTCATGAATTTCCCAGATATAGTAATACGAAGTGGTAATTACGAAAAAATGGATGTTGTTCGGAGAATTTAACTTTAGCCTATGCTTGACTCCTATTGTTTCGTATAAATGACATAGTGTGTAAAAAAAAAGTTCTTGGGTTGTAAAATAAAAATTTTTCTTACTGTGACAATATTCTCGAAGAATAATCTAGGTTTCTACTTTTGAAAGCTATCAATTTGTTAAATACAACTATCCAGCTCTACACGAACTTCTTGTGGTTCTGAAAGAGACGCTTTAGTTCTTCGATATAAGCAGTCTACGATTGAGTAAAAAAGTCCAGAGTTGTCTCTGCGTGATTCCCACTTGATTCGTCCCAAGCTGTGGCGGTTATTTCTGTTCCGCCGAAGAACAAGCTGACTTCAATATCTCTGTCTTTGCCTTTCCAGGTGTCAGGAGTCTGGATGCTAATTTTCCCAATCTCAGTTACCCCAGGATCTGAGGTAAACTGAGTATTTGGATTAGTCGTCACGTGGAAGCCAACGGTGGCCCTTGTTGAGCTGGGCGTCGAAGGGTGATATATTTTTTTGATTCGCTGTCCAAGTTCTACAACGTCATTTTCTTTAACTAGGCAGCTAAATAAATCTTTGCACATCACAATGCCGTCTATGACTGATTTCTTTTCTTCCGGATGCTCACCCGATTTAAATTTTCTTCTGCAACGAATGCCATATGTAGTACTCATTACCCTTTCAGTTATTGTGGTGGGCTTCTTGCCAAAGATTACGGCGCCCTGGGCGACTGCAATGCTGGCGTGGTGGGGGACGAGGATTCTACACCTTCCGGAAAACGTCTTCTTTATTTCGCTTTGGAGGAAAACCGACTCAGCAAAGCCACCAACAAGGAGCATTGTTTGTACTTTTGAGAGCTGTGGCTTTCCCAACAAGGTATTCAAATGTTCCTTGATATTGTCCACGACGGGGGTGAATAATTTCCTCATCATTCCGGGACCTAAGGAAAGATATTCGTTACTTTTTATCTTGACTTCTCTCTCTCCATAACGGTCGATTCCCATCCCTTTGTTTTGTTTGATTTGCGATACAAAGCTTCTTGGTAATCGTATATTCGTCATCAAGCTGCTGTCAAGTATACGTTTTCCTCGTTTTTTCGCTTCAAACTCACTCATCAAGCAGAGCCAATCAGATGGAAATTGCTCTCTATAGCTTTGAAGCGTCGTGGTACCAAACAACTCGTCCAATAGACTTTCGAACCGCTGGTTTACGTACATTCCACCATGAGGACCTCCAGTGACTTTGTGGATCTCTTTAATTCTACCATCATCTTGAATCTCATGCACTGTTACATCAAGTGTTCCTCCTAAAAAATGACAAAGCAAGAATCAATTTGCCAGCCTAAATAAATATATACCTCCCTCTCTTTTCTTCACACTTCTATTCTCAAGACCATAACAACAAAAACTACGACTATTTCTATCACCACCATTCGGTAATTTTAGTTTGGTTTTATTCTTTATAATTTCAAAGTTTTCTTATTCTTTCCACTTTGCTATTCATTGACCATGGTACACGCGATCTATTCGTTTATTCTCAGCGTTCACCTATTATACATTATGAAGAAAAAGGTGTTGATAATTTTCAATTTTTAAGTCCTTAAAAGGATGAAGAAATTTTTGTTTGCGTGAAAAATGATAAAAAACGTTTCAATTAGTCGAATAATAGCCCATAATTTCAAAAGAATCAGCAAGTTTTACTTAATGTGAAATATCTAAGACACCCTCAACTAACCTACGAATCAAAATTTGTTTCGAGTGTTAAATAACCCTAAGCATTTGTTGCCTGGCTTATGTATACAAAGAGAAGTAATTACATGGTCTATGAAGATCTGATTGGTCAAACCTTCATCCTTAAGCGGTTTCAATTTTTCATTCTCTCCAACATAGTTCTCGGTTTCACCGCTCGTGAGGACTAATATTTAGACCAGTAGTTTGTTTCGCTGCTCTTCCTATCGATGAAGTCATGGGTTGTTGTAATTGTGACTTTGAAAACTCTCTGCTCAACCTCCTCTATGTGGTATTCTAGTTGATAAGGAGTAAATCAATACATAACTCACCTCCAATATCAACGACAACGTAATGTGTGTTGATTTGGGATAGCACTCCATCCAAAGATCTGCTGCCAGATTCTTCTAGAAAGTCATTCATATTTTTCTCCTTGCAGAAAATTGCTGCCGCTTCTGGTTCCAAAGCAATCATTAATTGATCGGCATTTCCTGGTTTCCCCACACCAGCCTTTTAAGCAAGAGAAGAAAGATATATATCTACATGGAAAAGGATGCAATGTCTTAACCACTTCCGACAAGAAGCTGTTCAAAACCTCTTCGGCGTCGGATGATATTCGTGTAGTTAAAAACTTATTGTATGGGGAAAACAGGCCTAGTGACACGTCAAGTGGTTTAATGGAGAAATTTCTGACTTGTGCGAACTGTAATTCCATGAGCTGTAACCCTAACAAGCGTAAAGAACTTGACGTAGAGAATATACCACAACATGCCACTCTTTAGTTATTAGGTCTGACCTTCCAGAATGACTGTAAATTTTTTGCACACATAAAAGCTAAACTGTGCAAGGCCAACAAATGTCTACACGTGCTGAGAGTATGAAGAAAAGACCGCTACAGCCAGACAGAAATTGATTATCTCTTCTATAGCATTGATCTCCCTAACATAATCTACGGACTATCTGTTTATGGTGTCTCCGATGCGGAAATTAATGTCCTTCAGCACTTTTTAAAGAGTTGCTGTAAGTTGCTCTTTATATCTACGCAGTTAAATATTAGATCATTACTACAAAAACAAAAAAAAGCTTTTCTAAAAATAGTTCAATAGCGTGATAACCACCTTCTGAAGGTTTGCTTGCCGCAAGAAAAGAACAATTTAACCTACAACCTTAGACGTAAAAGCTGCCAATAGCCTAAGATAAACACTGAACGTTGTAAGAACACGTTTGTAAATAGATCAGTTTTTAAATACAACCATTTATGATATTTTATGCCAGATATATTGTATCCAGTTTGATCTTTTTATTCCTTTTATTCTATTGTAACTTTTGGCTGAACTTTTAATCTTTTTATCCTGTAACATTAGATATGTATTTTTATCTAATGAGCTATAAAGACATTTTTATTATTTAAATATTTTATTAGAAAATGGTCTAAAAACCAGACCGAAAAAATAGTCCAACAGTCCAAAGGTCTAGTAGTCTAGTCCACAGTTTGCTCCGGCCTAAAGTTATACAGAATTATTTAGTTTCATCGACTGGCTAAGGGCTAACATTAAAAAATTCAGCTTAGAAACTCCTTACCGTGGCCAATGTACATTTTCAATTCAGTTGTTAAAACCAAATCACCTTGTTACACTCCCCTACCGACGCAGCGATACAGTTTCTTTAGGAGCTGACCCCTTTATGCTAAAGTTAAACAATTAATTTGAGTGAATTCGTGTAAGATCAGTAGTATCATGATGCAACTTCGTGAAGTAACATAATATATTGAAATTTTCTAGAGTAATTATGAGGATGCAGATAGCAGGCTTATTTGGTCTGAACGACCTTTACACCCCACACTTAAAAGAAGAGAGCGTACAATAATTGAAGATTACCTCATAGGCCGCCTCCCTCATAAATTGCTTTGCTCTCGGAGTCCATATGGCGGGTACAGTCAGAACCCACTGGACGTCATCTGCGCTGAAATAATCATCTCCAGTTCTCTGACGAATGACTTTAATGGCTTCATCTTTAAGGAAGTTAATGGAACGTGAAAACACTGTGTTGGCTTCGACGGATCGTCCATTTGCTGCCTTAATGACAGTCCTGCTATTCAAAGTCTGAAAGGTAGTATAGGTATTCAAGGAAAGCATGTGTAGGTATTTTTTAAAATAGCATGAATCTGTGCGACATGTTTGGCGGTCATTCTAATTAACAAATAGAGAAGCCTTGACTGTGCTCTGTTCTGTTATAAAGCACGCAGGAAGCGGCTAGAGCACGAAAGAAGTTTAAGGAAAAACACGAGACGTAGTCGAGTGTTTCTCCCCACTTGTTGAAAGGATATCAGAATAAGCTCTTATTTTTTCACTCGAAGGGCGGCCGATGTAGTTTCTGAGGCTTGCTTTATTGTGATGACCGGAGATCGCCATGACGAGCGAGCCGCGATGGACTTCAGCATGATCATATTCGCGCAGACACCGTCATGATTAGAATGAATTTTCAAAGTTATGCCAGTTTGGTTATATTTTTCATCATTTCTGTTTTGTTCTGTTTTGTTTTTGAACACTGAACTTTATATACTATATGAATGTTAGCTGTGTTTGATTTTTATTTTCGTACGTAAGCTTGCAATCTAACTGAGCGTCAATCAATCTTTAAATCTCGGAATGTCTATTTTGTTTTTCCTTTGAGGTTTTTCGCATCTGCTCAGGTTTTAATAACGTAAATTACGGCGCCTGGTATGTTTACAAACCTTTGTTTGGTTCTTCTGTTGCTACTTGCCGGCTCGCTTGTTCCGAAATTTCACTTTCAATAATCGGAAAAAAGCTAAAAAGTAGTCCCGGAAAAGGTCGAACATGGTACAATTTGGTAGATGGCGTGACAGCTTTAGCTCAGCTCTATGCTCTATACTCTCATAGAGCACGCTCTTTCAACCAATGACAGCGCGCGTTATATCCGAACTTTATTATAATAAATCATGTATTATCAATAAAAACTATCGATCCATAAATAACAAGGTTATTGATTGAGTGGTGTTTTATGATCATTTGTTTTCCGCCATAACTGGACTTTTGCGGGGAATGCAACAATAACGGAGGAAAATAACTCGGTAGGCGCCCTCAACGGTGGAAACAGAAACTCGTCACGATTTCCTGGTACACAGGAACTGCTTCGGTGGACTTATTTCGGACGTTAAGGATCAAACTCTGTTTGGTTCCAAAAAAAGTTTATTCTAGTTCATGTTTACGAGTGACATGAACAGCAGCGTACTCAACAGCTTTGCAATGTAGTTGCTTATTTACTATCGAACGCGTGGCAATATTTGAATAGTACCACAAAAGAAGCAGAAAATGTCACTTTGAAGTTATCTATGCAACGTTGGTGTTGAACCGAGGTTGAACTGAGGTTGAAATCAATATTCTCACAGAAAGGTGACCTTTGTAGAAAGATTTCCTTAGAACGTTGGATGCTGGGTTTTGACTGTAAGTCTAAAGTCCTTAAAAAGTGGGTGCTCTGGGAAAAAAATCTATGATAATAACCATATCAAAGTTTTGTAAGTTTTATCAGTTTAAAAGACTTTACTGAGACACAAACACAGAAGCTTAGGTGTCATGGAAATTTTCGCCTTTAACGTTATGTAAATATGCAATTGAAATAGTTTGACACGAAGTTAAATCACTAACCTCGTTACTATGAAGTGCCATTTTGAAATGTTTGAAAAATAGATACTCCTTCTCTTCGCTTTCATTTTGAAGACTGGAATACTTCTCTATTGCTTCATAACCAAACGAGTCAAACGACAGATCTGGTTTAAGTAGCAGGCATGTTGGCGTTTTACTTGTTTGGCCACCTTGTTCATTCGCCCAGTCCTTGTTCATGAAGATGGCATCCTTTCCTTTATCTTTGATGAATGAAAATGCAAATCCACTATAGGTTGTCCCAAAATCAATTGCAACAACTGCCAGATATGAACGTTTCGGAGAGTAGAGAAGCGAGCCTTCGAGTGCTGTGTTAGGTAAACAAAATACATATCACTCTTATGGTTTCCTTTTCTTCGAACCTTTTTTTCCCTTCTTCTTTTGTCGATATTTACCTCGCCACTTCTCTGCTCGGTAAATATCCACCACTATTATCCTCCACTTCTATGAATAATTGTTAATTGGGCCATTTAGTTGGTCTTAAACGTTAAGATAGGTGACTCAAAATATGGCCGGCTAAAACATCGTTATCTCAATTTTTGCCACAACTACTGCCGGTTTCTTTATACTGTTGAGATCATAACTAGAACGGTATTATGGTGGTCGACGCCAAAAAATTGAGGCACTCTATTTACTTGATTTAAGACCAGATATTTTGGCATTTCACGAAATACAAGCGGAAAGGAGAAAGATCAGACTTAATATGTATTACATTTCTTCAAACACATCTAAATCTTTACCTTTGAGTGCCATTTGTGTCGCTTCACTCTTCTTTCAAAGTTGCTGAGCGTGTAAAACGTTTTTGTCGCTCCTTTCGCAATCCAAATGAAAATCTCTCAAAATTTCCCTTCCAAAAAAAGTATTCCGATCGCTAAGGGAAATTTCCCTTCGGCATAGTGCTGTTTCTCAGAAAAAGAAACTCTAATCTCCATATTGAAAAACGTTTTTATTGGCTACTACACTGAAAGGTCAAGTTGACGTATGTTTCCCCGATTTCTCGGAAAAGCACTTGGGCCCAAAATAAAAAGACAACGTCATCGCTTTTTATTGATTTGGATTTTATTGGGTAACGAAAGTTTCCCGTATGTTGTTTACTTCACATCATGCAAGAAAGTTGCACGCTCTAGTGTTTCTAAGAAGTATATTTTTATCGGAGAACTTATGCAAATGATTTCAACTTCTGGTTTCATGCCGAGAAAAACTTGCAATTCACAACTTAAATATTCTTCTAATAGTTTTGTGGTCCATAACAGTATTCTCAAGATATTGTTTCTTGTAGAATTAATCTAATTTACAATGAATTCTGAATGGTCATAGTTGTTTATCGTAGCATCTGGATTCTATTGAATTTAAGACACCACATAGTCTAACCGATGCGCAATTGATATTTAGTTAAAATTGTTTGCCGGTAGTTGAGCGCGTGATCCACACCATGAAAGGTCATGAAACTGTTGCTTATTCTACTCTAAGTTTACAAACTTCACATTGTTTTAAGCGATTCTACAAAATATAATGTAGATAAATAAGAATATGGAGCCCGTTGTGTAACGTTGCCTCTCCATTAGCGGTTCCCTAGCCATATTTGAAAGAATGAACAATTATTTTATCTTCTTCGATATTATTATTTCGATATTATTATTAAAGCAGATGAGAATTACTGATTGGATCCAAGTGATTTAGTAATTAATTTTTTTTGAGATTCTGTTACTGAGTTGACGGCCAAGTGAAACACCGCGTTATCAACAAAGAGTTCTTCAGAGTAAATTGACCGCCGTCAAGAATTTTGAGCTGTTGATTGAACATTGCCCGCTCTTTGGACTTCATTTTGCTTCGACAGGGGCGAGACGTCAGCTTTTCAAAATTAGTTATAAAAGTGAGATAATCAGTGAAAGGGAGACCATCGAGTCTGCGAAATATTCAGCATTTCTCTGAAACTTTAGCGCAGTTAAGAGCAATTTTGACGTGGTCAGTCAAATAAGTTAGTAAATGTCTGCTGCATTAGATCAAGAGAGATCCGCTGGGAGTGCCAGTATCCAACAAATTTCTACTGTGCAAGACCTAAATGTAGGATAGGAATTAAGAATTTGGCGACTTGATTAAGACGTATCTTAACAGCAGTCAACAACGAAATTCCTGGCTTAAACTAAACTGAGTAAACATGAATAAAAGAAAAAGTTTTCTTAACTCTCAGAATCCCTTGAAATACTCATATATTTCCATTAATTACTGATTAATTGCCAAAAAGTCTAGGCAGGCTGTTGATTGTGTATTACTTGTGAGGTTTACCACTGTGACCTTCATTTCCGTTCCACCAAAATACAAATTGATCTCGATGTCGTTAGTTTTCCAAGCTTCGGGCGTCTCGAGTACCAATCCTCGACCGGGCGTCTTTTCTACGCCAGGATCTGTAACAAACTCCGCATCGTCGCGATCCGATTGATAGAAATCAATTTTGATTTGCTTTTCCACCCCTTTCAGAGGAGCAAAGCCTGTGAATCTACGTCTTTCTCCAACTTTGACAACTTCGTTGACTTTAACAAACTTGAAGAAGACATCTTTACAACGTGGAATTCCGTTTATGATTTCCTTCTTTGAATCAGGGTGCAGCCCGTCAAGAAACAATCTGTGTATACGGATGCCGTAAGTCGAAGTCATAATTCTAGATTCAAATACGTGTGGTTTTTGGCCAAATATCACAGCGCCTTGGACAACTGCAAGAGATGCATTCTGCGGTACCATAATTTGAAGGCTTTTGTGGAAATGTTTTTTTATTCTCTCCTGGAGCAGTGGCGAATCAGCAAATCCACCAACTAAGAAGACAAATTTAACTTCAGACAATTCCTCTCTGGCGAACAGGTTGGAGAGGTGAGTGATAATTCCATCGAGGACAGGCTCAAACAGTTGTCTCATGATTTGTGGGTCAAGGCAGAGGAATTCATTACGCTGGACTTTGATTTCCGACAAACTGTAACGTTGTTCGATAACTGAATTAATATCCCAGCCTTTTTTACTGGAAAATTTACTCACAAAACTTACTGGCAACCGAATTCTCGTTGTGCCACCTTCACAGGTCCGTTTTCCTCGTTTCTTTACTTCGAAATCATTCATGAGGTAAAGCCAATCAACGGGATTATTCTGGGAATAATTCTCAATAAATGTTGCACTGAAAATTGACTCTAGAAGGGACTTGAATTGTTCATTAACTTTGTCTCCGCCGTGAGGACCTCCGGTTGCTTTGTGAAGCTCTCTGATCGACCCATTCATTTGAATTTGATGTACGGTAACATCCATGGTTCCTCCTAGAAATATGAATACTAGTAATAAGGAAGGGGTAATGAGGGAAACCTTAGGGATAACTTGGGAGGGAAATCCTTGAAGGATGCATAAAGAGGGAGGGGGGGGAGGGGGGGCGGTGTCAGGTAACTCCACCTAACTTTGTGACAAACTAAAACAATGCAATGATAAGATATCCTGTGGTTTACATTTTTTTCGGTTTCTTCGCGCCTACTTATGCGGTATTTCATCATTTTGGGAAAAACTCACCTACATTCCCAAATAGGTCATATGCCTTAAAAAGGGGTGGAAATTCCGCTTCCACGGATATCATTTTTGTCAAAGCGACCCATTGGACAATCACGATTTTAAAAAATATTCAGAAAGGCGACATTTTCTTTTAAACCTGTTCCGTTTAAACATTCTTCTTGATTGCTTTAAGTATTTACCTCCAATGTCTACCACCACGTACTTCACATCAGTGTGGGCAATAGTATCAGAAACTGACGCTTCGTTGCTCCCAATCTCTGAAACAAAATCCCTCATCTTTCGTTCTCTGCAGTAAACGGAAGCAGCCTCCGGCTCCAAGGCAATTACTACTTGCTCTGGGTTAGATGGAGAGCCTACACCTGCCTGGTGGAAGACACATTCAACGTATAAATATTTATGTGTGCCTTCTCTTTTCACATCTGTAATGTGATGAATGAGGCACCTCAGATGAAGAATGCAAAAATTACTTTAGACTCTGAAAGTGGAAAACTAATGTAAAGTTGAGAAGAAGAACTTGATGACTTTGATAGCGGCTTTGATATACTTTGATTGTACTAAAATTTTGGAGCTTTACTCTCGTTAACGGTGTACGTAACGTCCGTGGAAAATATCCATGCAATATTTAGAGCCAAATAGAGGCTTTAATTTGTACATATTTATTCCTGCAAATTAGATTAGTGGAAAATTGATTTTTAGATGAAGTAAAATAAATTTTTGAAAAAATGATTCAAATCAAATTGTTATCGTTTAGTTAATTTTCGTACTGGGGGTTTTGAATGTTTTTTCGTTAAACAATAAACTTCTTAAAATATCTTGAGGATTGCATACCTTGTAAGCTGCTTCTCTCATAAACTGTTTCGCGGCTGGCTTCCAGATTGCCGGCACTGTCAAGACCCACTGAATGTCACGGGACGTGAAATGTTCATCCCCAGTCCTCTCTCTTATGACCTCAAGAGCTCTTTTGTGGAGGTAATTTATTGAATATGAAAAAACTTCCAAAGCTTTCATGTGTCTCCCGTTGCTGGCCTCCAGAGTACTGTTCAAGTTTAATTGCTATCCCAAAACAATGGATATTAATTTGTGATGAACAACTGCTATAAACCAATGGACCGAACAAATAAATGAAGATAACTAAGATGAGGAATGAGATGTTTTTTTGTTATTACTGTTGACGGTTAACTGCCATTGTAAAGCTCGTTCACTTCTGGAAATATTTACTCACTATTCAGGAATTTCCCTCTTTTATAATTACTAGTATTTCGGGGCCGAAGGTTGATAAACTTACCTCGTTGTGGTGGAGAGTCATCTTGAACCTCTCAAAATAATAGTATTCTCTAGCTTCCTCATCTTCTAACTCTGCAAACCTGTCTTGTGCTTCATAGCCAAACGAATTGAAGCTCTTGTCTGGATTAAGCAAAAGGCAAGTTGGTGTCTTGAGTGTAGGACAGCCCTGATCTGCTCCCCATTCTTTGTTCATATGGATACCTTTCTCGCCTTCTTTGTAGTTGAAGGCGAATGCAAAACCACTGAAGGTTGTGCCAAAGTCAATTGCAACTAAACCAATGTATGTTTTACTTGAAGCAAGGAACAGATCGCCATCCTGTCGCATGTCTTAAAACAGCAAAAAAATGTGTTGATATCAGTTTCAACGAAAGATTTAATTGTTGTGATGCTAAGGGCTTACAGGGAAACTTAAGACAAGCAATTAACAACCGTAGAAGAAACTCAACACTCTGAATAACATCATGTAAAACGACTGAGCATGAAAGGAAATGATGATGAAAATTTTAAACGATAAGAAGTTTCGCTTTTCATTAGTATTTCAACAAGCGACACCACTGACTTACCATCAAAACTTTGCTCCATATTCGATCCCGATTGTAAGATGTATTTCAAATACTTCGAAAATGTGAATATTGAGGCTAATACTTCAAAATCTGTGAAGAAAACGTGAAATTAGTCTTCTGAAATATTTCTTTTGGTTAAATTCCCGGAAACTGAAAGTTCAAAATTATTTGCTGCGTATTTTTATCCTTTCTTGGAAAGATGACGTCATGTCTCTTCATAAATTTTTTCAACCAGGCGTAGATTTGATGCGATCGAGCGCTTTAACCGCTACAGAGTCTAGTCATCGTGAGTCAATGTAGGTGAATGTCAAAATCCTCAGTTATTGGCTGTTTGCAACTCGATATGTAAAAATATTTCTGCTCTATCATCGACAGTCCAGCAGTTATTGTGTAAATGATTTTCTCAGAAACTGAAAGTTCGCGAGTTGTTTATTTGACCTGCTTTAGATAATCAAAACCATACCACGTGACATATTTCCGCTTTTTCCCGGAATCTTAAAACAATTATTACAAACCCTTCAATTGTGTATAATTGTCTGTTTGTGCAAACGAGAGTGAATAAGATTATTTCATCGATGAATTACTGAAAATGTCGGGCGCACGAGAAAAGTTTGAGGATTCAGGAGAGATGAGCGACTGTCAGTTAAAATTTCTAAGGTCTCTTTCGATTTTTCTGAATGAAAATCAAAACGTTTTGCCCCTCTTGCCAGAAATGTGCGAAAGAATGATAACCGCACAAACAAATGTGCCAAAGGAGCCGCATGACGAAAGCAATTTCGACTTATTCAGGTATGTAAGTTTAAACCGCTCATTTATCCTTAAAGCTCTGCCTATGAATTTGCAGATATCTTGATTGAAGAATAACCTTAAGGATAGGTAATGACACTTTTAATTCAGAAAAAAACCTGCGGCGTTCAAAACATCAGAGGTCGTGGATCTTGTGTTTGAGAGTTTATAACGTCAATTGGGGTTAGGTCCTAGAGGAGCCTATTTTACGGGCTTCTTTTAGGAGTAAATAATTTCAGCTCGCTCATAGAATTACATATTAGCGCCCCATGTCTTAAATCATACCCAAGCGGCGGGGGTGATTAGTGAAAAACGAGACGAGACGTGGAAAACGAAAGTCGAGACGAGCACGATTATGGTCCTGTGCTAATGCTTGATTTCCATAATTATGATGGCCCAGATTGCTGCGAGTGCCTCGTCTGATCTGAGAGATTACTTAAAAGTTGGGTCTTTCTGGGTTCATAATTCGGCCTTGGTGCTCTTCAAATAGGAATTTTTTTCTACTCAGTTGCCAAGGTGATTGACATATGACCTTTCTATACTTATCCCGAGTTTCGAGTTGGAGAACCCATAGCTTCCAGCATCTCTCACCAGAGGGGAAATACTGGAATATCAGTTCTGAGGAACCAGAACATCGGTGAACATTTAAAGGCACCCCAAAAAACCATAATTACTAAATGAAATCGAAACATAACCTAAAAGTAACTGTTCAAAATAGGATCAGTCAACAAGAAAGAGACTAATCAAGGCGTCCCTTTGAGTTGTGGAAAACAGATCGACAGACTAGCTAGAGATAACGTTGGAAAAACAAAGTGAAGAAGAGTCAGAGAGGGGAATAAGAACGCATATGTTTAAATCTCACTGATATTTGTGTTGATTTATGTTATTACATTTTTTTAATGCTTGGTGGCCATTAGGACCGTTTTTACGTTAGGTTTGCTCGAGTAATACTCCGTTTGGTCCATTAAGAATGAAGATTTACCAGGGGGTTATTGAGAGGGCGGGGCGAGAGTCTGAAAAGGAACGGAAAAAAGAGAATCAAGGATAGATTAAATTTACTTGTAATCCTTCTTAATAGGGAAGATGCGATAAGCGTCCTTGAAAAAAGAAAACAGGGCGATTTGGTAAAACACTTAAATGAAGAACTGGCGAAAAAAGATGAAAGGTAAGCATACTATTCAAAATGCAAGGAAGAATTATCTTAATAACTTGTACAAGTTAACTGCAAAAGCTGCCATTGAAATACTGCTGCTACTAAATAAATCTTCCGTCGTTCAGCAAACTCAAGGTTGATCTTATGCGTGTAGAACTCGACCTCGTATAGAAGCAACTTGGAAAGGAAAAAAAGAAGGACATTCTCTAATAGATTGTATTTAATACTACATTTGATTAGAAAAATCATGCAGGAATTTGGCACAATTTCACCTTGGGGCAAAGCTGCATGGTTTAGTTTGATCATGAATTTACCACCTGAAGTGTCTTTTACAACCTAAGCGTGGTAACTTCAAGCTAAAAAGAGGCTCTTGACTCTACACTCGGTTACTTTTTTCTTTCTTTATTTTACTGTAATCACGCCGATAGTTTTTAGAGCTAATGGAGCATAATTTATGTATATACTAATAGCATGGTGCACTCTTTTCTGGTACAGCTTCAGAGATGGTAAACAAACGAGCAACCATTTTTGCTAAGTTTCTTCAGAATTGTTCACCTGAAAAATGAATTTAATAAAGATGGGAAAAGTTGGGAAAAAACTGTACGTTGAAATGAGAATTTCATCTTTTCCTTCTTCCTTTCTAACTCGATGAAGGCTGAAAGCCATCCTCTGAGCTTTTGTTACGATCCCAAATTTTTTCCTTTCATCCATCACTCCGTCATCACTCTTTCCTTCAATTCTTATTAAATTTTTGGTGAGTTCGCTAGCTAGCCTATAAGGCTTTCACGTGTTTAATTCCTGCTTGGGAATCAACTGAAATCTGAGAAAAGATTGAAAAGTAAGCATTTACCCGCTATATGCACTTTAATCAGAGTACTCGCTCAGATACAATAGGCGTTTTTCAGCCCCAAACTGGAAAACAGATCTCTTCAGAAACACATTTTCATTGATATCTTTTTAAAGAATAATGTTTATTGACACTTAAATCACAGTTTTAAATCTTTTAAAATTACCAATTCTTCGTATTTAGATTAATAACACCGTAATTATTATTATACTTAGTGTATATGTATTTTTAGAATTAGAACTTTATGAGTAGTATTATAAAACTGACGTTAAATACGCAATTCAGCTCTCGGATGCCTATGTATTTCTTTATCAATAAACTATGTATCACTTATCTACCACTTAGAGATCAAAACGTGCTTTCCGAGTATAGTCTGGAGTAGAGCAGAGAGTTAAAGCGTGACCTTCCTTTACTAAAAATTTAAAATAGTCAGTTTAGTGGACTCGAAATTTCACCTCTTCATATTTCATTTTCCGGGTCCAGTGGCTCACAGCCACCTCAATTTTTTTGCTTTCACTGGAGCGTGTAAGCTTATGGTAGATGCAATTTGCGTTCTTGTTAACCTTAGTTCAATACTGTTTTTGCTATCTTACAGGATCTCTGAATTGTTAAGAAATTACAAAACCCAAGAAGAGCGTTACAAATCAAGGTAAGTAATAAATGTATTTGACTTCGAGAAACCATGATGAAACATACCAAACGCTAAAATCTAGATAAAGAAGTCGTCTAATGTAACCAACAGAGAATGATTAGTCAACTGGAACTATGGTAGAGCGTTTAAATGGCGTAGACGTTTGTCTTCCAAAGCGATTATTTTCAATCTAAACCTCGTGGAGATTCTATCAAGACCGAAGTACGCACATTCTTGGCAAACAGTTTGTTAATGATAGTTCCGCTCAATGTTTTACCTTGAAAGGGCAAAATTTCGTGCTGATCTGTGCTTAAGATACCGTATAATTTGTTTCGTAGTAACGACAAGTACATAGCAGAGATTAGAGCCATGGAGGATGAACTTAAAGAGTCTCAGGAAAGGTAAGAAGGATAATCAGGAACAGAAAAAAACAAATATACACAATTATGTAGATCGATTACGCACTACTGAAACCATTTTAACATGGCGTTTTCCTTTTCGTTAAAAGAAAATATAACGAGTTAGTGAAACTACTATGAAACACGTTTGTTTCTCACGCAACTCACATCCCCATTTGAGCCAGCTCTTGAGGACATGGGCGACACAAACACCCCCGGGACGCAAAAAATGAAACTTTGAGGAGTCTGTCTGGCACCGTTCTCTCGCAACTGCTTCTCTTCTTTATTCACATCAGGTTTAATCATTGCCTTAGCACCAGGCTACGTCAACGTTCTGCCTATTCATCAGCCAGAATAAGGGCCTTCCGTTTGATTCCATTTCTACTGAGAAAAATCATTTTACTGTCCCTTGAAGATGGGCAAAAATGCAGTTTTTTCTATGCACTGATTTTTTTTGGTTCACCATGTGCATGTAATGTTTTTTTCACCACCGATTAGTTTATGAAAAAATGTCCTCGTTCTAATTCTACAAAAAACTCATTTGAATCAGCAGTCTTGAATGCTCTGTTGCTTTTAGATTCAACAGTTTAATGAAGTATAACTATACAACCATCAATGCCTCAATCATTCAGCTCATTCCATGCTCTACTGTTATGACATTTATCACCAGGATATCTTGGCGTGAAAGCAAACTAAACTCAAGTGAAAGAATGTCGACTATGACAAGGTAATAGGCATCAGTCTTTGCCTGAACCGGCCAAAAAAACGAAAAATTACTCTGAGGCCAGATTTTCAGTCAACTATTTTGTGTAGCACATATTTAAAGGACGGGTTACTTTTGACCAATTTTTAAACAAGTCAGAAGTAGGTCGGATAAATTCAATTATATTGTGCAAATAAATGGTCAAGAATTGCTCAAATTGTTGTCAACAAATATTTTGATGTTGTTTTTCGAGATTTGGTACTTTTAATCAGTCCAAGTTTTTTCATTTTGTAACGCGAAGTTCCGAGATTGACCTTAAATTTTGAGCTTCAAAAGAGGCATTTTGGCAGAATTCAGTTATTATCGATTTTCTCGAAAATAAATGTTAAAATCTTTTTCAACCCAAGTTGTCACTATCGTTCTTAAGATATATGGTCAAAATAAACCGAAGTGAGCAAGTTAAAAATTATTTACTACAACCTTTTATTCAAGTTAAAAAAAAAAAAAAAAAAATATTTAAGTTGAACATTAATACGTTTACAGAAATTCAGGTTAAAGGTCACCTCGCAGTAGTAATCTTCAACAAGTACAAACGGTCTATTTTTGGACATGACAGCCTACCGACGGTAACACCCACTTTGTTGGATGTCAACTAGTATCCCAGTTACACTAATAGAATAACACCTTAAAAGTTGTGAAACAATTACCACAATTTAAGGATTACTAGTTGTAAAAACATTTTTTTGGTATAAATTTAGTAGGCATAGGGTAAAATATGGACTGGACCTTTTTTTGGACCATTTTTTGGACCATTTTTTTTGGACCATTTTTTGGACCATTTTTTGGACCATTTTTTTGGACCATTTTATAGGGGGGAAGCACACCATTAGTATTCAGGGAGGGGTGGGATGCAGTCTACTAGTACTGAGGGAGGGGTGGAAGGCAGAGTGTTATTACTCAGGGAGGGGTGAGAGAAGGACTACTGTTAGGCAGGGAGGGGTGAGAGGTGGATGTAATAGTAAACACTACTTGTTAATGGAGCTTTTACTTTGACTGACTTTTTGAATGTTCTTCATTTTTGTCGTCCTGCGAAAGCGAAACGGTCACGTGAACACTGGACTTTGATTTCTATTGAAAATATCGCGTTCAGATCCTCTACTGTTGAGTTATGCCTGTGCCTTTTGAGTCGACATGTGTACCATCAGTTGCTTCACGCTTCCCTTTGTGTATACAGTATATAATTACTAAATTTATCTATCTTCCTTTTGTCGTTCATCTTATCAGACGAGATAACGAAATTTCCGGTCTTTAGCCCTTAACTTAGCAGCATATAGAATTCACGAGCGCTTTTGCAATTTCAACGTTTATACTTTTACTATCTGAACTATTTCGAAGAGGAATCCATATTCTCGAATCGAGCAAAAGCACTGCTGTACTTGTAGTATGGGAAGCGCAAATATCGATTTCATCTGTTTCGCAAACAAAGGAGTTAATCACCCACACCGGAAATAGCGACCACCGCAAAACGTAGAAGTCAGTAAATGTGACCGATTCTGCCCGGAAAATTTTATTGTCTGGAACTTGGATATGTCAGCTGGATTAATTACACCCCATGTTGTGAAACCATTATGAAGACATCGCGCTTTACTTCGCTTTTTTTGTCACATACAGAAAGGGAAACGTGAGGCAACTGGAAGATGATTCATGCTAACCCGTCGGTATCACTTAGCACTGGCACAAGTCGACCAAACAGGCACACGCATGACTTAACAGTGGAAGATGGCGATATTTTCAATAACAATTATAGTCCAGTGTTTAAGTGCCAGTTTCGCATTCGCATGACAAGAATGAAATAAACGCTACGACCCGGCACAAAAATTTTGACATACTAATAGTCGATCGAAAAACCGCTCAAAACAATTTGTATGATTCAATGAACACTCCCCCCCCCAAAAAAATGGTCCAAAAAATGGTCCAGTCCATATTTTACCTTCTTCCTAGGGTTGTAAGGTAAAATATGGACTATTTTTTTTATAGGGGGGGAGGCAGAACATTACTTCTTAGGGATGGGTGGGATGCAGTCTCTCAGTTCTCAGGGAGGGATGGTAGGCAGACTGTTGCTACTGGTGGAGAAAGAAGTACTAGTACGCAGGGAGGGGTGGGAAGTTGACATACTGGTAACTGCTACTGATTTATGAAGTGTTCATTGAATCATACGAATTATTTTGAGCGGCTTTTCGACTGATTATTTGTATGTCCAAATTTTGCGCTGAGCCGTAGCGTTTCTTTAATCTTTTGTAATGCGAATGCTAAACTGGCACTTAAACACTGGACTATAATTGTCATTGAAAATATCACCAATTCCATTCCTGTTTTCGATCCTCCACTATTAAGATATGCGTTGTCCCTGTTAGGTCGACTTGTGCCAGTGATACCGACGGGTTAGCATGAATCATCTTTCAGTTGCCTCACGTTTCCCTTTAGTATGTGACAAAAAAAGCGAAGGAAAGCGCGATGTCTTTATAATGGTTTCACAACACGGGGTGCAGTTAATCCAGCTGTCAATGAAACTCTCCTGACATATCCAAGCTCCAGATAATAAAATTTTCCGGGCAGAATCGGTCACATTTACTGACTTCTACGTTTTGCCGACGGAAAATATCGGTAAGCAACAGTAGCCACTGTACTTCCACTTAGCAGATTACGTAGGTTTTTACACAAGAAGTGATTGGCAGCGGCCCAGGCAAATTGGAAAACAAACGTACGGGAGTCGCGAGGAATGCCTAGTCGCTATTTCCGGTGTGGGTGATTACCTCCTTTGTTTGCGAAACAGATAAAATCGATATTTGCGCTTTCCCATCTTTCCCATATTACGTGTAAAGCAGTGCTTTTCCACGATACGAGAATATGGATTCCTCTTCGAAATCGTTTGCTGATTATTTTATGTCCCAGTGTTTACGTGACAGTTTCGCTTTCGCATGACGACAAAAATGAAGAAAATTCAAAAAGTCAGTCGAAAAACCGATGGAGATAATTTGTACGATCGAGTAAAAGCTCCATTAACAAGTAGTGTTCACTACTACATCCACCTCCCACCTCTTCCTGCCTAGCGATAGTCCTTCTCTCACCCCTCCCTGAGTAATAACACTCTGCCTTCCGCCCCTCCCTCAGTACTAGTAGACTGCATCCCACCCCTCCCTGAACACTAATGGTGTGCATCCCCCCTATAAAATGGTCCAAAAAATGGTCCAAATAATGGTCCAAAAAATAGTCCAAAAAATGGTCCAAAAATTGGTCCAGTCCATATTTTACCCTATGCCCTTTAGTACGAGTAGCAAAAAGACGCTTGATCGTTGTACTAAATAAGTAATCCTAAATTTTCCAGGAAGACACAGATTTCCTTGGACGAGATAGTGAAAGGCTACATTTAGATCAAGATTGAAAATAATTGATTCAACCTCTTAATAAAAGTTACCTCTGGAAAGCATAAATTGTATTCTAGAAAACAAGTTGATACACAGGCGGCCCAAGCTCCAGCTGTGGGATGATCATCTTGCGCAATAACAGTCATGGCGGAATTATAAGAGTTTGTATGGGAATATTTACGACCGCTCTAAGGTATAAAATAATACGTCAAATTCTCAAAAAAAATATCTCACCTTACTTTCACAGCGTATCGCTTGTTATATGACCGCTTACTTTGATGAAAAGAACGCATTTTAGCGAGTTGTCCATTTCGAGGTTTTCAACGTTCATAAGAAAAGCCCAAGGCTGAACACTCCATTTCCGAACGCCTGATCCGAGAAGCGAAAAATCCAAGCTCAAAATGATCGGGCGCCCACAAATCCAACGCAGAATCCAAGCACATATACTGTAGTTTCATTCCAATTCACTAAAAACTCAATCTTCCCCGTGCAACCGACACTAAGTCGCAGTTTGCTTAAAAAATTTCCAGTTTAGAGGTTTCTAACAGCCCGCGGCCACATCAACCTTGACACACGACCGTTGAAAACCAGCTCGGTAACCCCACCTCCTTTTCAAACTGAGCTTTGCCGGGGACCATACCGTCAGTTATCGTCTATAAATTGTTTTAGAACCACGGGTCCCCTTAGTAGAAATCGATCAAGAGGCTATTGTTTCGATCGGCCAATCGAATTCGCCTCCGGAAATGTTTACAAATTCAAAATAATTTACAGGCATAGTTGCAAACCGCACAGCTGATCTCGTAAATCTCGATAATTTCCTTTCAATTTCAAAAGAAAAAATGTCCTCGGTAAAAAATAGTCTATTCCACGGTTGCAGCAGGGACGTAATCAATTCGAACTCGTATCTGAAATGGAAATCGTGGTAAGTATTGTTGCTGGATATCTGTGCGGACGAAACGAAATAACAGTTGTCTTGTTAGCAACATTAAACTAAGTATGTCCAGATAGAGCTAAATTGAATACTGGAACAAATCTTTCCAAGGTTTTCCTCTGACTCCGAAAATAATCATTGGCCGATTGGCCGATCGAAACAATAGCCTCTTGATTGATTTCTACTGAGGGGACCCGTGGTTCTAAAACAATTTATAGACGATAACTGACGGTATGGTCCCCGGCGAGGCTCAGTTCAAAAAGGAGGTAGGGTTACCGAGCTGGTTTTCAACTGTCGTGTGTCAAGGTTGATGTGGCCGCGGGCTGTGAGAAACCTCTAAACCGGAAATTTTTGAAGCAAACTGCGACTTAGTGTCGGTTGCACGGGGAAGATTGAGTTTTTAGTGAATTCTAATGAAACTACAGTATATGTGCTTGGATTCTGCGTTGGATTTGTGGGCGCCCGATCATTTTGAGCTTGGATTTTTCGCTTCTCGGATCAGGCGTTCGGAAATGGAGTGTTCAGCCTTGGGCTTTTCTTATGTACGTTGAAAACCTCGAAATAAACAACTCGCTTAAATGGGCTCTTTTCATCAAAGTAAGCGGTCAGATAACAAGCGACACACTGTGGAAGTAAGGTGAGGTTTTTTTTTTTGAGAATTTGACGTATTTTTTATTCCTTACAGCGGTCGTAAATATGCCCATACAAACTCTTATAATTCCGTCATGACTGTTATTGCGCAAGATGATCATCTCACAGCTGGAGCTTGGGCCGCCTGTAGTTGATATTAGCATATACATAAACTCGATCATTGTCCTTGAACTAAACCCAAACCCAAACCTTATCTTTAAACTACTGCAACTAAATCAGATATTACTAGCGTAGATACCCGGAAACGAATCTCGAATTCAAACTATTTCCATTAACGTAAACTTGTACATTGTGAACTTGTTTAATTAGAAATTAACACATGTAAACAATCTGCCATTGCTTGATGTCGGCTTATGTAACACGTGCCTGTCAAAAGCATAAGTAAACTTTAATGAGTTCAAGAGTAAATTACCAATTCGAATTTTTAATAATTTTTAGCCCGTTATTTTATTATTTAGAACTGCAAAAGAAAATAAGGGGATTTCGAGTACTACAGTCAATTTTAACTTCTTTCCTGTTCCGATTTTTATCAACAGGGAAACTCCCCTTAATGGCAAACCGACATCAAATGTATCAGTGTCAACTATGACAGAGTAAGTCTCACTATCATTTTTATCGCAAGTCTTTACAAATAAATAATAACTAGACTTCAAAACGACGTACTGTACATTCCTCACGGTACTCCTGCATCTTCTACCCAACTGCCAGGGCGAGGAGTCGTTTTTCACCTGTCAAGCTCCCTCAATGAGCTCCAAGTTTTATAGCCACAGGTGTCTTGTTTCCTGTTCTGTTCTCTATCTATTTTAAGGCTTACTGAACAGGTTTAGGTGCAGAGTGTAGAGAATTATGTCGATATCATAGTGGAAAGCCAAAATAAAAGTTCTTAGACGTGCAAGAAAAAATAACTATATACGTGGTTGTATATGTTTCTTGAAACTGAGCCTTATTTATTCCTCTCTGTATGTTATTGCGTATCACTTCAAGTCAAACTTCTTTCATTTGCCGTTTAAAAATACATGTAACTAATGTTTACACACACTCTTTTCTTCTTTAATCAAACCAGCATTGAAGGAAAGGAGGACTCTGAAAGGTATACTTATGTGTCATAAGTGGATGTAAAGCTAAACCAAACTAAGCCAATAATTTGTATATTTTGTTTTACTCATGATAGGTTTGGAAAAACTTTATTTATTCATGTATTTTTTTAACTGAGACATCATTTTAGAAACGAATCTGAAACTAGAAATGGGAGACATCTCTTTAAATTGATCCGCAGTGAGTTTTAGTTGGGCCCGAACTAAGAAAAGAAAACTTTAATGATAAATGTCAGCCCGTAGTGAATACCTGCATTTTTAATGAATTGGTATATCTGTTCTCAATTCAACTCATTTGTCTTTTCTTCTGAGTTTGGTTCCACATTATGATAAGATTAGGTTTGTGATCTTTTGAGGTTTGAGGAGATGGAAAGAAAGTACCAGGAAATGACTTTTAAGAGAAACGAAGAGATAAAAAATCTACAGCACAGGTACTACTAAAGGATAAAAGAAACACCACGTTTTCTATAGGTCCCCCCTTGCGAGGTTGGATTATGAGCCAAGGCTACTGTTAGCTTGGATCAGTTTATTGAACCACTATCCATCATTGTCCGTAATATGAGTATTTGGTTGAGAAGCGAAGCCTCGAGGCCCCACATGTAAGATTCTGAGGACAATCTCTCAGCCAAGGACATTATCAGCCGATATACTAACCAGCCAGAAAGGGTTTATATATTTAATAACTCTCTCATGAATTTTCGTATCGCGAGTAGACAGCAAGTTTTGCTGCCTTTTATTATTTGACTATTTTCAATAACCAAAATAAAGTTATTTTCAATTTCGATATTTGATCTCTCTAGCCTTCACCAAATGGAAGAGAATGCCAAGTCAATAATTTCTATTAGAGATGGAGAGCTGAATCAAATGAAATTAAGGTAATATTCTAATAACTGAACTTTTTTAACGGACTCGCAGAGATTTAAACAAGACTTGTGATGTAGAGGAAAGGTGTTATATTGGCGGATACTTGCTCATAGAAGAGTGAAAGAGTAATTGAAAAATGAAGAATAAATTAACAATAAGAAAAAAATCGAATAGAGGACAACAACGTGGGAGGGATATCTCAGATTAAGCCCCCCCCCTACGAGAACAATCTGAAAGTGAACAGAGAGGGTAAGGTTCTAAAAAAACTGTGGTGCTGTGTCGGTGGGAGAGTAAAAAAGGGTAATTTAGTATTATCGACTGAGTTGATAACGTTAATTGGTCACCGTAAACAGTTTCAAAGCTGACTTTACGAGCGTTAGCCCTTCGTCGCTCTGAAACTCTTTACAATAGCCAATTTACGTTATCAACACAGTTGATAATACTAAATCAATTTGAAAGTGGTTCGAAGTTTATCAGATGAATAACAGAATAAGAGGCGCAATGAATCATTGTTCCTGTAATATGTCTGCCTCATTTGTGTTTTGTTATTTTTACATCAACATTTTTTTCCTCTCTGCAGAGCTCCTTCTGGTCGTATTCTTAAATATAAAGCGTTCCTTAAAGTATTTAGTTATACTCCTTTCAGGTCCTCCATCTTTCCATCCTACAAGAATTGATTTGTTCAAAATTATCCATAAACTATAAGACTCAAGAGAGATACTTCATGGACAGTACTGCACCAATTAAAAGGTGATCGGTCGTGTAAAGATAGCTTTTTGACATCAGTCAACATCTTCAGGATTAAGTGAGGCTTCCACCAAAAACTTATTTAAGAATTTTTGGTTCCTTGATTTTCTTGTCTTCATTATCTCGTTTCCAGGTAGAAACAGATTTCTTGGAAGAGATAGTGAAAGGCTAAATTCAGATCACGATTGAAAATAATTAATTGGTATTCTTAATAAAGTTCGATCTGGAAAGGATAAATTGTACTCTAGCTTGAATTTGTTGCCTTTAATTATTTGACTTTTTTCGATAACCAAAATATGATTGTTTTTAATTTCTATTTTTATCTCTCTAGCTATCACGAAATGGAAAACAAAGCCGCGTCAATGATTTCCAAACAAGATGGAGAGCTAAATCAAATAAAATTGAGGTAATATTCTAATATCTGAATTTTTAAACGTACTCGCAGCAATTTAAACAAGGCTTGTGATGTAGTGGAAAGGTGTCACATTGGCGGATACTTGCTCAGTTACATAAGAAAGTAAACATAGAAGAGTAAAAGAGTAATTAAAAAATGAAGAATAAATAAACCATAAGAAAATAATTAAATAGGGGACATCAAAGTAGGAGGGATATCTCGGAATAACCCCCCCCTTCCCCCCCCCTACGAGAACAGTCTGAAAGAGAATAAAAAGGGTAAGTTTCTAAAGAAACTGTGGTGTTGTGTCGTTGGGAGAGTATAACAGGGTAGGTAACTATCATCAACTGCGTTGATAACATCAATTGGTCACCGTAAAACAGTTTTAAAGCTGACGTTTCGAGCGTTAGCGCTTCGTCTTAGCCCTTCGTCGGGCTGAAACTCAATACAATAGTCAATCTACGATATTAACACAGTTGATAAACCCAAATCAATCTGAAAGTAGTTCGATGTTTATTGGATGAATAATAGAATAGGAGTTGCAGGTGAATAGTCGTTCCTTTGATACAATGTCTGCCTCATTTTTTGCTTTTTTTTTACATCATAATTTTTCCTCTCTGCAGAGCTCTTTCTGTCTGTACTTTTTTCTGGCCGTAGACGGGCCAGAATGAGATTTTCCTCTGCAGGAAAATGCACAATAGGCGCTACATGTCAGTTTTTAATTGGCGTAAAGCAATGTGGTGGACATAGCCCGGGAACGAGGTGGAGTTTTGGCATCGAGTGTATTTAGGCTTGAAGTGCTGGGTTGCGCATAAACGATAACCAAGCTTGTTACAGTTTACACTTATCTTTCGAGTAAACTTTAAAATACTTTTTTAAAGCACAAACCTAATACTGGGAATCAATTCAGTTGTTAACGTATTGATGAAAAACAACAACCGTGGGAACAGCTAAAGTTTATTGGCTGATTGATTTAATTCGATTAATTAATTCAATTATCTTATATAAACATCGGCGATGGGATCGATCAGTAGATTACTTTCGCGGACGAAAAAAACAATACTTTTACGACAAAAAAAAAAACTTGTGAAAGTCACTGCCACATATATTTAATTTCAATCAGTTGAAAAACTAGCGGTCCATAGAATGCCTTTGTGGTATATCGTTTCGAGGCAGAAAACTTCAGAGGTTTTTTATCAGATGTAAGCGGAAGAAAACATGGCAAAAAAAGATCATTGCGTTCAAATGTAAATATTTATTGAGCGGCTGTGAGGCGAAACTTGACATGGGAATGGAAATAGGGGAATTTGGCTTGTGTGGGCAGAAAAAGATTTGAATCGCAGCGTTAAAATTTGATAAACACAGGATTCTATTTAGTACTGTTTTTGTGGAGCGCCCGAGGTATGCATTTATTATTCTGTGGAAATGGATGGTTACCATCATTCTGGATTTCTCCTTGACTCAAACTAAGTCACAAAGTGACTTATTCCTTTTCTGTTGACTTTGCCGCGGTACTTACGTTAGTCCCCGCATTTCACTTGGCGATTTTAGAATTTCCAATTTGTTATGGCATCAACTTGTTCCAAAGTCTTAATCTTCACAACTCTCCATGTTCAGTAAACAATGAAAAGCACTCAACCGCGATTTTGCTAAAAACCGGAAGGCCTTCAATTCGTTCCCTCTGAACCGCAAATCCGGCCAGAATATAGGCTCCATGTAGCCTCTTGTTGAACATAAAGTGCTTCTTAGAGTATTCGGTTTTACTCATTTCAGGACCTTCCGTCTTTCCATCCTACAAGGATTAATTTGAGATTTTCGTCTTGTCACGAGCGTGGGACAAAGAAAAAATTCTGAGTCGCCATAAGGAAACGAATGAATGGAACTCAGAATGGGACTCAGAATTTTTTCCTTGTTCCACGCTCCTGAAAAGACGAAAAACATCTCTCTATTTCTTTACCGAGCTCAAAACTTACCATCTCTCTTATTCTATTTAGGGATTAATTTGTTCAAAATTTTCCTTTAACTATAAGACTGGAGAGAGATACTCTATGGAATAATGCTGCACCAATTAAAAGGTGATCGGTGGTGTAAAGATAACTTTTTGACATCAATCAACATCTTCATGATTAATTGAGGCTTTCATCAAAAACTTTTTTATGAATCAGTAACATTTGGATCAATATCAGTATCTGAGCAACTGCCCACCTACCCCTCCCCTAACTCAACAACAGTCAATTGATGACAAGTTAGGGTTAATGTTGGATTAGGGTAGGGGTAGGTGGGCAGTTGCCCAGATACTGATATTGATCCTAACATTTTTCCAAAAGCATTTGCACGGTCTAAATTCCATTTTGACTAAGCATATGAAAGAGAGGAGCTGAACTTTTTTTCATTTGTATCAGTACGTCACAGGCTGCAATTGAACAACCTCTCCCATACAAGAACAAGATGGCTTGGAATTACAGTACTCAAGATGATAACGAATGGAATAATTGTATTTTGTTTCGCCTAAGTGTAATAAATTTTGCTTGTTTCGCCGCGTACTCAGTTTTGTTTGTTTTACTCTTGTTTCAGGGAGAAAGAGCTGAAAGAGAAATGCAAAGCCCTTTTGGAAAGTAAAGATGAAGAGTTGAGGGAAATGAAAATGAGGTATTTACGATTTGCGCCCGAGGTATGCATTTATTATTCTGTGGAGTTGGATGGTTACCATTATTCTGGATTTCTCCGTGACTCAAGCTAAAGGTCAAATGCATACCGCAATTCGAAAGCACTCTTCCATTCAACATTGCTTTTATTTTTTAATATGGGAACGAAGAAGTAGCAAATTAAATTTCTGACATTCTAGATAAATAATCCGTAATTGTATCGCCGCACTGGATTCATAATTTTCCACTTCTGGAAACAACAATTGTAGATGTCTGTTGAAATTCTGCTTACAACGCAGAATTTTCATACAGCCTTCAAAGTTTTCTAATAATCGTTATTTGCTCGAATGTAAGTCCTTCTACGTGTGGTCATCAAGTAAAAAACTCTAGGCAAAAATCTAGCAAGCATGTTAATCAGAGGGAGCAGCAGAAATTGAGCCCACGTGTTTCTGTTTTAAACCGAAAGCTCCTTCTTTTTTTAATCCTCCGCTACTATCATGTTGTTTACCATCGGGTTTCCCAAAGATTTTGTGAAGACAAAATTTCCGAGATTTCTGATGAATGCTAAAAATATTTGGTCAAACTAGTGCGACTGAGTGCTGGCTATTTAACAATGTAGAGGCAATGGAAATTGGTTCACTTTTCCTACCTTGCTTTTTCTTTTTCCCAAGACTGGCTCATCTCAGTGAAAAACTGGTGAGAAAGGATCAGAGAAAGGTGGAAGACACGGCGGCAGCAAATAGACCCTCAAAAGTGGAAGAAGACTTCGCTGCTTTTTTTGACAACGAGAGAATGGACGCGATAGAAAAAATGCAAGACGTTTATGGATCTGAGGAAGACAACGACATCGGTATCTCTTACCCTCGACTAGCCTGCATGATATTCGAGGTGAGAAAAATCGATAAATATTCATTTTGTTCTCTTTTTTACCGCAGCTAGAAAGTTGCAATATTTTTAATATTACTGATTATGGCTGGTTACTGTCGTAACCCTTCAAATCAAACTTCTAGGAACACTTGTGAATTTTTTTTCCTGAAAGGCGGCCTACGAAAAGACGACAGAGGCAAAGGACTCAGCACTTCATGTTTTCAGAGAAGCAATCAATGAAATGATTAACAAAGCTGCGGAACTGGGCGAAGCTTACTTGCGTTCGGAAAAGGTATGCAGTAAATTCTTATACTAAAGCTGGCAAAATAAGCTCTATCTCGTTAATCCGGTTGAGATAATGATTATAACTCATGTTCCTTGTCAGGTTAAATCAATACCTAATTTTTGGTAAATGATAGAGAACCAAATCCAAAATGAATGGTTTTCTGTGCCTTTTTCGAGAACTATCGTCATGGTAAGACATGGTAAGATTGAAACAGTGATCCAGTAGTTTATAAAGTTCGGTGTTGTTGTTAAAGTTGTCTTTTGTTCCTAAAATTTGACCCTTTCATTTCACTACTAAATGAGTTTCACGGAAGTCTTGTAAGGCTATTGTGCAAGAATCTGATAATAAATAATTACATCGTATGAACTGCTCGTGCGTTTCGTACTTTCGTTTTGTATTTCAAAAGGATCATCCTTTTCGTATCACTGGACTCTTAACGTTATCGGGTTTTCTTCCATTTAAAGTAATAAAGATGAACAGTGAAACTCTTGAGTTGGCTTTTTTTCCGCTTGCTTTGTCCCTTTATAACAGAGATAATCGCGGGACAAGTATCGACAGAGACGCGGTTATTGCTCAATAACTGTCCGGTGATTTTGCACCACGCGACGTAAAGTAGCCAATAGAATCGCACGCAAATTAAAGCATGGGTTATCAAGAACCATAACCAACGTATATAACCAAGTGTAACAAAATATTTTGCTCGAGCTTTACAATTTCTAGTTTAATTCTCATCTTTTTTACTCTGTCATGTGTTGATGAAGTCCAAGCTATCGTCACATAGAGTCAGTTTGAAGATACCAATGTACAGCCAGGAATTGAAGTACCCGACCGAGGTTCTAGATACTCTCTTGCTTTCCTTGAAAGAAACTGCGCCCCTCTGCAGTCTCGAGTTCATGAAAGAGGTATGTTACAAAAAGCTATATAGTAAACTGCTTTGAATTCCCATTCAATTTTTATAAAGCCTCCTATCATCTTATACAGCTCATATCGTACAAAAAGGGAAAGTCCCTTAAAGACATGCTTGTGATTATGAAGGCGATAATGCGACGCGACCACAAAGCCACATGGGGAGTCCGTGTCAGTCTGTCTTTACCCTTATTCTTATGCCGATATCATTTGGATACCTAGCATATCAGCTGGTGATCAAATTCGGCGCGATCGGCGAATAAAATCGCCAAGTGCAGTGTCACCAGTTTAACTAACTTCGTATTCTTGGTCCGCACTGTAAGTTACGAAACCTAGTTTTTGCTGCCCTAAGTAGATTTGAATGGAAAAAAAACTCTATTCCTAACTTACTGTACTGACCTCGAACTTGGTTAGTAAGAAGTAGTTTCTCTTTACATTTGTCTGGTCCGTTTCGTTAAGCTTGCAATGAGGTCTTATACCCTCTAAAATACCTGAAAATTGACCTCAAACCAGCTTTTTAAATCGGTGAGAGCTGGCCACCCCGGGTGAGAATCCAAATCACCGCCTGTGTCCCAATTCTGTTCGGCCAGTGAGCTCTTAGCAAGTTCAATAGAACTGAAACTTAAAATTAAAAGTGCAAACGAACCAGAATGTGTGATCAATGAAAGAAATAGCCGAAAGAGAGAAAGAAAATTGTAACGAGGCATTTATTAATGGGCATTGATGAAGATGGCGAGTTGAATATTTATGCTAATCTTACAAAGTCGAGTATGATGGAAAATTAGGCGGCCATGGTGTATACTGACTTATAAAAGACAAATACGAAACGAACATTGCTGTTAGGTAGAATGACTAACCTGGGTTGGATTTTGTGTCAGTGTTTAAATGAAGGAATTGAAAAAATCTTAGCCTTTTCAGCCACTTCAACTCGAGTGTCTATAATGGTTACCTGACAATGGAGTTGATTCGACTTAACTACGTTTTCTCACCTAAACACTCGAAACATTGGATTGCGAAAGGGTTACCCTTGTTAGTGTGATTAATAATCGTCTTGAGTTTGTGAGGTCCTCTTCGCATATACGAATCAGAGTCGATTTGTAGCCCTCGTAAAACACCACAAAGAGTGCTTAGGAGATAACACTTTACACGTTATTGCGTGGTTAAGGCCTCATACAGCGGGCTTTCGTGGACCAATGGTTAGGAAATGCTTGCAGAGTACATCAAGAGAATATCCTATGAGCAGTTATTCTGTTATATGTAAGAAAGATCACACTATGATCCTGTTCTCTTTTAACTTTTAATTTTGAAGAACATGTATTCCCAAACAAACAAAGTTGACCTCTTTAGGCTATTTGGCCAGTGTACCCCAGGTTTCACTTGTAATTGGCACAATATTGCGTCTTTTTCAGGATGTTCGGAAAAGAGTCACAGAAAAGTGGACATCATGGCTCGCCAGCGAAAAATCATGTAAATTCTCTTTCTCCAATCATTTGCTGTTTCAACTCAAGGACTACATTAAGGCGTGCATCCTGCTAACTTGGCGTATGGTCGTCCAGGTTCCACCCATGCAACTGGAGTATAAGTGTACCGCTTTAAAAAATTTCCATATGAAGGTGGGATACCATAGTAGTCCAGAGATGTGTTCGAGGCCCCCTCCAAATGGACAAGGCGCCGCCGATGATGAGATTGCTTGTTATTTGTGGCCAGCACTCTTAGACGGAGGAGGACGAATCATCAGACGTGGAGAAGTCCTTTGTAAAGTGAAAGCCGAAGTGGTATAGAAACTGAGTTGAAATTGGTGTAACAAGGATAAATAAGTGACACTGAATGGCGGAAAAATGACGAGGCTTCTTACCCTCCAAATATTAATCGAATAGTACAAATACAGCGCTTTCCCTTATTCGAAATTGTTTTAAAATGTTGATAAAAGTATTTTTTACTTAATTTTTTTTCACTTGAAATATCAAGTAAAGCTCCTCTGAACGATGAACACATGATATCTTTGGTGGAAAATGTAACCCTAATAAAGATACCTAACTTTGCCCTTACCTCTTTCAAGAAGAATTTGCTTAAAAACGTATCAGGATTCAATATATCATTCTAGATCTAGCGCAGGAAGTGTAGGAGCTGATTTCTTACAGGTTATTACAAGAATGAAGAGTTATAATAATTGAAGCACAAAATTCGATATTTCTTTTGTTTTTGAAATAGCCCAGTCCTCTACGTGAACAAGTGTGGACTTTTATTTTAGCAGAAAAGAAATAATTTATATCCAATTTATCAGCCTCAATTGAAGGCCAATAGATTAGCCGTTTACTCTTGCCCAATACTGAGGCTTTATGGGGAATTACCTGTGGAAAGAGGGCTGAATTTACGGACAAATTTAACTAAGTGCATTCTCGGGAGGAATTTCGGAAAGAAATTTGTAGAATTTTGTTCTAATTGCTGCTTTCTCTTGTTTCCTTTGAGAAAAGTGCCATATCTTTGGCTTTTTCAAATCAAACTGATTAAAGTTCCTTTAAATTGAAACCTGTTCAATACTTGATTAGAAAACAAAATAATTGTGATTCAAATGCATCTTCAGATCATAATAAGAATATCAGCGCACGTCTAAATTCCCTGACACCACCGTAGCCGTGCGTGACAACAACAGAAAAAACTTAACATTGCTACCACGTGCTCACTGGAGGCCACACGGCTTGATAATTGAATAAGACCTGTACAACGACTGGAGATGTGTATATAAAAAAGTATACGAAAAACAGAACCCAGGCCTGGGCGAGGACCAAGAAGCATCCATATAGGACGAAGAATAAAACCCACCGCGCTCGTAGCGGTACAAATGGAGGAAAAAATCCCGGCCCAATGGATAAAAACCTCCCGACCACGGTCTTAAAATACAAAACTTGTCAATCAGATTCCTAAAGATTGTGACAGTAATTAACGAGAATTTAAATTTTCTTTGACATAGCAATCCTCAGCGTTTTTGCTGGCCCAATGACCGTGTCACTTCAAACGCCGATCGGGAACTCCAGCATTAGCTGCAGAGCTGTCTCCTTTAACTCCAAGGCTATGGATAATAATTTAAGAAACGTCTATGAGTCCTCTGAAAGCATCTTTAATGATAATTGTTGCGACTCTTGAGCGACTAATCCCCTGGCTCCGTACTTCCTGTTTGGAACGAGTAGTAGCAAGTGCTCCAAACAATGCTAAAATTTCAGTGAGGTCAGTTTGTGAAGCTGATGTGTTGTCCTCCATAGTCTTAACAGGACAAGCCTTGCGATAATGATGCACAACCCACCTCGGAGTTAGTCCGTCTTGGAAGATTCTCTAAGAAAATAGAAACGTACGAGGGGAAAACTTTAGATCGCAGGCATGAGTCACTAAAACGGAAAAACCCGCGAACCAATTAGGATGAGAGCGACTGGTCTGAGATCAGAAAGATCTCGAGATCTTTTTTGACCTTTGGCCCACAAAAAATTACCTGTGATGTATTAGCCATGGAAGAAACCAGAGGGTGTGTAGATATTTTTGATAAGCCACCCATCTATGATAATATAATTTGGTTAATGCTCGCAAGAAATAGGAGAACAAAGAGTACCAAGAGGAAGTATAAATAGCTTTCCTATTGGGAGTTTTAGGACAAAACGGCTTTCAAAAAGGATTTCCCGTTCTGACTGTTGAGGTAAAAGAAATGCAAAAGAAATGCAACTTACAATTGTTTAATATTACACTTTGTTACAAGAAAGCGTCAAAACTGGACTTTCTATGAAATCAAAAATTTGTTATTAGTGGACATCTTGACACTTTTCCGGTCCTATGTAATAGAAGAATTGTACCAGTCTAGTATTTCAGTTATATAACGAAGTTCAAAGATGTTTCATAATGTCAGGTTTAGCTTCGATACTGGAGTTGTTCATGATGGACTCCATACACACGGAGACTAAAGTAGAGGTTTACAAAATTTTAGGGATAAATCAGTTCTTCTTAATCCAGTGATAACATACGAAGATATTTTCCTTGAAACACAGACAGGTTTATCACACACATTTACTTGTGGACTTCATTTCTTCGCAAGTGATTTTCGGTGATTTTTAATCCCTATTGCACAGGAAGTCAAGATATACCGTGGCAGTGTTCCCACTGCTCTTGTCTATTGCAGTGGCCTTAATCTCAGTTCCGCCAAACTCTATCGCCAAGTCAATCATTCGGTTGGTTCCTTTTGTAACGTCAGGTGATTTTACGACAACCTCCCCAATGGATTTGCTAACTGAAGCGTCTGTTAAGTATTTGGCGTCAGGATTGGTCGAGGTGAAAAAACTGAAACTAACTGCTGTTTGACTTCCTTTCAATGGGCTGTAATCAGCGAAGACTTTCTTTTCACCTATCCTCACAACGTCGTTCTCTCTAACAAGAACCACAAAGCAATCTTTACAGTAGGCTACGCCGTCAACAAAGTGCTGCTTGTCAATTGGGTGAAGACTGGGATCAAACGGCTGGTATGTATCGAAGCCGTAAGTCGTAGACATTATTCTGGAGTCGACAATGTCAGGTGTTTGGCCAAACATAACTGCACCTTGAACAACTGCAATGCCAGCGTTGCTTGGAACTAAAATTCTGCATCTGTGATTAGAGAAAAAATATCAAAGATGACAGTCATTTTACATGTCATGTTTACATGAGAGGTCAATTCCAATTTAACCACGCCACTTATCTCTTTTGGTTACAAAAGTACCCTTTCGATTTGATGAATTTTAGGATAGCTTGCAACTACGTACTTTGACCACGACCCTTCGCGCCGAAAAACTTCGAACGTCGAAACACATCTCGGTGCGTTTGGTTCTGATAATGCGACCTAGGTTAAGATTCTCCTGTCCAAAACTTCAAGCCGTTCACACGTTTACGTTAACTTTACCTTACCTTCGCTGAAAGTTTTTCTTTATTGCATCCTGAAGTATCGCTGACTCGGCGAAACCTCCAACAAGGAAGAAAAATTGCAGCCCACGGAGCTCACGATGCTTAAGAAGATTGCCCAGGTGCTCCACTATTCCTTTCAGAACCGGTTCAAACAATTTTTTCATGGTCGCTGGTCCTATACAGAAGTACTCATTTCTGACGAATTGGACATCGTCAGTTGTACAGGAACTTGCAAATCGTCTCACCAGATCAGGCCCACCTTGCTCTGAAACCAGTGCTGTAAAAGTACGAGGAAGGCGAATTCTGGTTGTTTCACCCTCGTAAGCTCGGCGCCCTCGCTTCTTCATCTCAAATTCATTCATCATCTCAAGCCATTCTGCTGGGTGGTTTTCACGGAAGTTTTTCACTTGATAAGTTCCAAAAAACCTCTCAAGTAGGGAAACGAACTCCTCGTCAACTTTAGTTCCACCATAAGGTCCTCCGGTCACCTGATGGATTTCTTTAATGTTTCCATTCATTAAGATTTCATGAGCTGTAACGTCAAGAGTCCCGCCTTTATCAAAGATTAACAGATATAACACCAGTTAATTAGCAGCTTCAGCCCCTACATTCATATTGCATGAGTCAAACATAAAACGCATTACGAGCTCGATCGATCACATTTAGTATATTTGGGCTGATAATGCTTGATGCTGATGGAGCCCATTAAAGCTAAAACAGCTGTCCATGGCTGTTTGCTTCCTTCTATTTTTGATAGATAAGACCTTGTGTCATTAACATTATCGCCTACCTGGGAATTCAACAGCCTTTTACATTATTGACTATAAAATGATCCGTTCTTAGCCGACGAATTTTTCAAATTTATTAAAAATTTCAGCGTCGTTTTCGTTTGACTCCGTTTGAGAAAGAAGGTTATCACCACAAGCTATGAGCCTATTCGCTTTGGTCAGTATCAAATGAGTTACGACGATGTCCTACCACTCCACTCAGTTCAATTACCATCACAAGTTTGCCACATATTGCGAAAAATTACCTTGGGTCTTTACAAACAAATGGAAGTTTTTTTAAATGATTTAGCGGAGACACTACTGTTTCCCCATTAAAAATAAGAAAAGGTTTTGATATTTTATAGTGTGACATCGTCAAAACGGTCCATTTTTCTGAAAGTTCAATCTTGCCTCCGATATCAATAACAAGATATTTTGACCCAGGTCGAGCAAAGACGTCAGATGCAGTGGCATCCCCTTTCTCATTGGCGAATTCTCTCATCTTCATTTCTCTGCAGTGTATAGAGGCTGCTTCTGGTTCCAAGGCGATAAGCAGCTGTTCAGGGTTCTTATTTGATACCATCTCCGCCTTCCAAAGTAGAAGAAAAAAGAAACAGTTATTGAAGACAAAAAAAGTTTCATTAAAAAAACACTGATTAATCTCAAACTTAAATTTCTCGATTTTTGCGAACACCTCCAAGGAGAAAAAACAAAACTTTCACATTTGTGATAACGCATTCATGTTTACTAACTGACAGCATCAGAGTAACCTGTATTCTAGCTCGTCCTGTATTTTCCTTTTCTTGTTTCATTTTCACCTCTTAACTCATCGTACTTAACTCATTGTGAGGGGGGGTGAAACAAACAGATGTAACTTCTCTACAATTACCTTACATGCAGCTTCTCTCATAAATTGCTTGGCAGCGGGTCTCCAAATGGCAGGCACTGTTATGACCCACCGAATGTCCTTTTCATTATAGTTTTCGTCTCCAGTTCTCTCGCGAATAATTTCGATAGCTCGATCTTTGAGATACCTCAACGAGTGGGCAAAAACAACCAAAGCGTCAATATTTTTTCCATTTCGGGCCGTCAGCTTTGTATTTCTGTCTAATGTCTGTAATAGGAGAAGATAAATTTATAAAAATTATGCCTAATACTTTTGATGCGAATTATCCTAAGTGGAGAACTTATACAAAACCCGTACTATCTAGTTTAGTCTTGAGGACCCTGAGAGACCTTCAGTTTTTCATGCAATTTTCATTTAATATGAATTAACAAATTTTGCGATCTGTTTTTACTGATCAAACTCAGATGTAGATGTCGCCTAAAGATTACAGATCTATTGAAATCATGAGTATTGTTAACTTGGTTTGTTATGACCATTTTGCAATGAGGTACTATTGTTTTCAGTCATTGCTTTCAATTTTTTTTCTCCGATTTGATCGCTCGGGCTCCTCTTCGACAACCGCTTATTCCCTTGATTATTTTTATGGTGTTTGTCGAGAAAATCAGCAGTAATTTAACCTTTTACTTCCTTCTATGACTATTTGTTGTGAATTAGTTTTATAGGTGTTTCGAGTTGATTTCAAGATTAGAGTTAATGATAGACAGTCCGTCTACGGAAGTTTCGCTCCAGGCATGGCAAAAAAATAGGAAGAAAAAAAAATGACGAATGAATGAACTGTACCTCTGACTTGTGTAGTGCCATTTTGAAATGTTTGAAATAAAGATAATCTCGATCTTCACCATCAAAGAAGTTGGCGTACTTTTCTTCCGCCTCGTATCCAAATGAATGAAAGCTACCATCAGGATGAAGAAGCAGAGAGGTAGGTGTTTTAAGAGTAGCAGTTCCTTGGTCATGACCCCAGGCTCTGTTCATATGGATGCCTCCTTCTCCCATCTTGTGGTTGAAAGCAAAAGCAAAACCACTGTAGGTGGTCCCAAAATCAATAGCAACCACGGCTATGTATGATGAACTTGTAGAGAACAACAAACCTTCGGACGCTGAAGAGCAAAGATGAGCTTAAGAAAAGCGAATATTTCCTTGTTCACAACTTCACTGGAAAACACGAACAGCATATATGACCCTAATTGATAAGTGGCTTTATTAAGGTTGGAAGGTATGCTGAGAGTAAAACAGCTGGATCTCGCCTCGATGCAGAGAAAATGACGGGTGTAGCTGCTTAGATAATTCGAAAAAATGATACAAGATCATCTACGAGAGAAACTAGCGTCAATAATTACATCATGCCGAAAAATATGCATGCATTTTCTTTTTGGAGACCAAAAACTGTGTATTATAGCATTTATTTTGAAAAATCTGTTGATTAACAGAGAAGGTTTCCAGGCTTCTCTACTGGTCTGGCAATAATGCTCTCTAAACTGACCAAACTCCTTCCTCTTGTAATTCTTTGTTTAGTTCATTTACTCATACGTTTGGCGTCGGAGAGGAAGATCATAGTTTCGCGCTTGTTTGATGATAACAAAATCCCTCTGAACGAATTTTACTTGCTTCTCAGTCCGTGTATCAGTTCTTTTACATAGTATTCAATGACATGTTTTCTTCAAGTTCGAAGGTGAACAGGCTAGTCAGTATGATCTTACATCAACAGTCGAGGCGTTCGATTGCAGAAACCGAAAGTAACTAACTTCCGGGCTAATATGTTTATCCCATCCTCATTTCAAATTCTTGAATATTTTACGTCTTTTTCGATGATTCTTGTAAGCAATAATTGATGCATATTTGTAACGTGGTAGGTACAACTTAAAATAATCGAATGCCTTGAATAGTTAGGCCCGGTTGTAATTCCAAAAGGTGTTCACTCGTTAACCAGTATTAAAGCTTTCTGTTGCATGATTTATAAATATTATAACGACACTTATTTCGTTTCGCTCGAATAGTAAATGTGTGTACTTTTATAAATTAAATAAGGATTTTTATACGTACCACTCATGCCGCTTTCAAGCTAATAGTTCTTTAAATGATGAAGAATCTTTATGTTAAATAGTACGCTTCGTTCACACCAGCGAAAATGCTTGTGGGCTATACCGTAAATTTTTCATTTCCCCTTTTTCCTGGAATGCCTTTTGTCGTAGGGGAATTTTAAACTGTTTCCGGTTCCGGTCGCACTGTTCCGGAAGTAATCATGTACAGGACCTTTCTGTCTGTTTGCTTAACCATCTACTTGCGCAAAAAGACAGTGCAAAAAATGTCTCTTTAATCAACCATACAATTAACAGTGTAAGCAATTAATGTTGTAATTAAAGAGTTCGCAAAAAAATGGCGTGTTACTGACACACAGGCGTTTTTAATTCTTATAGATAAGGAAGATTGAAGGTTTAGAATTTTAGCGTTTATGAAAAACATGATTTTTTTAAGTAAAGATAGTCCGGTTGCTCAATCATTGCGCTTTGTCTAAAAGATATCGATTCTAAATATTTTTTCGGATTTGCAAAATAGTTTGGGTTGTCCCTTTTCGGCGTCTGTATAATTCTCTACAATGTCGCACTCTTTGTTCTGATGAGTGTTTTACCATCTTAGATCACGCTTCCACATCTTTTCAACCTAAAATCAAAGAAGCTATCCACATTCAATGGGAGAAACCTACACTTAATCACCAACTTTATCATATTAATTTAAAATTTTCCTTGTAAATGCATACATTGTTCTGTTACTATTGTTTGTTTTGTCCAATCAGCATTTTGTTATACAATTTAAATTCAACTTTGTACTTTGTATTATTCAGAACTGAAGATGACAGAAGAACTGTCGAAACATGTTTTTAAATATTACACCAATTACAATTAAAAATCCATGCGTGGTTCAGTTTTCTTTTCCCTTTTTCATTCTGTACAACTTTCTTGTGTTCCGTTTTACATGAATGGAGAAAATAGAAGTCCAAAATTAATTTTGTTTCCCCCTTCCCCTAGTTTTTCGTGGAGGAAAGCATTTATTGTTCTTATCCCTTTTTATAGAATCAAAACATCGGAGATAACCATCGAAGATCAACAGGGGCAGATCAGGGCCTTGGGGAACACTGGAAGTTCCAAAACATCGAGCGCTATCGGGTAACCTCTTAGATTACAATACATACCTAGGGTCAAAACACTGAATACCTTTTTTTTTAGTTTATTTCCTTAACCGATAGACCACAATTGATGCCTTCTAAATTAATTCTACCTCAAATAAACTTAGGACTGTTGGTGTGCAGATACCGTTAGCCAATAAAAAATATTTTTGTTAACTCCTCTCTTTGTTCCCCTTTAACTCAACTGGACAGTATTGTTTTTGAGGCGGAGATATCTAAAGTTTTATTTATCACAGAGCACTCTGTACATTAAAATGTTGCATCATGAAATAAATGATTTAAATGTGACATAGCTACATCTAGTGATGTATACCATCTTCGAGTTTTTACAATAACTCTGAAAGTATGACTATGAAAGTGATACATAACACGCCACCCCAAGGGCGGCATAAAAATTTGCTGCATATTTCTCGATTGATGAATAAAGGCGGAGTACAACTTACTTTTTAGATGCAAGTGCGTGTCTATTTTAGTTTGTAAATAAGCACAAAAATTTTTCTTTCTGTAATTTTGGAATTGTTGTTCAGGTAAGAAGAACGAAGTGAGGAAACGTCAGTGAAATATACGAGCAGCAAGAAAATCATCTCACTGACCGCTAGCGCCAAACATCTCGTAACATGCTAAAAGGCGTTATGCAATCTTCTTTAATCCGGCTTATTTATGCTCATTTTACCGCATCGGCAATCTTTTCAATTCTTCAGACAAAGGATGTTCAAAACTTTTTTCACTGAATGTAATTTACTCTAATGAAAGTAATATAACAAGTGTGATCAAAAAGGGTTGAATACAATGAACAATAATCACTTTAAAGTTGCTCTAAAAGTGAAATTTCGTTTAAACTGACATTACTTAGCGCATTTAACCTCAGAGATTCATTCTACAATAGGTTAAGCGGCGGACATGAAACCAAAAGCGATGCTGAATGGGAAATGAATGCTGAAACTTAACTTGTTGAAGTCAATCCTCAGCAAGTCAGCATAAATCTATTAGTCCATTCCAATTTTTTGTTTTTCCTCTTTTTTTTGTCTGTAAACTCCCTGCAAGCACTTCGCAAAAAAAAAAAAAAAAAAAAAAAACAAACAAAAAAAAAAAAAACAAACAAAGCAAAAAAACGTGAACCTTTCCTGCCTATTTCTTGTGCTACGATTTCTCATCAATTGGTGAGTTTTTCCTTTTTTTTTTTAAGGTTGTGTGCTCATAATCTAATCGTGCTCCTGTGTTCATGTAAAACTGTTGGAAGCGTGGGATGCTTAATTCTAATTTTTCTCTGACACGACTTTATAAACAAAAAAATAAGTCCCTTCTTATGTAACAAGAGCTAAAAGCTCTCTGAATTAAAGTTTCAAACCAACGCTCTCATCATAGCAGACGTATGTTCCCTCTTGTTAAGACACTCAATAATATTTCTATCTGTGAACTTCCTTACATCTATCTGCAACATGAAATTTACTATTTATAAATCGTGGGCCTGATATGACTAAATGTGTTCTACATCTTGGTTAATATAGATTACTTCCTCGTCTATCGATATGACCGTGAGATTGATTAGTGCAAAAGAAGGGAAAGGTTTCTTATCTCTAGATTGATTCTTCGGCCCGACGGGAAAAAGAGGGAAAATTTTTATCTCAGGTTCTTTTCTTATTAAATTGCCATTTATTGTTGTATAGGTGTTTATATGATAGGCTTGTCACCTGGTGGTTTCCTATCCCCAGTCGAAAAGAAGATCTCCTGTTGAAGATCGAGGAAAAGGAAATGAAAATTGACCACCAAGTAAAAAAGGTATTGTTTGCAAACCAGTTCTTGTATCTTCCCTCTTAAAAGGATAACGAAGAAGTTATGCAAAGAGATTATTATTTGACTATTTTTCTCCGGTATGCTCAACAAACCTTTCGCATTGTGGGGTGATTATAGTTTATTTCAAAGTTGGTGAGTACGTACGATTTTTATTCACAACGAATGAGTAAAAATTGTACAAGCGAACTAACCGTGAAATAACTTATTTGAAGCCATCTTTATCTGATTTGAAGCCGTCTTTCGTAAGAAAAATGCACTAAGTTCTTAGAAATGTGTTATTTGTCAGTCAAGAGGAGTGGCGAGCGAGCGACACGGTTTTGTTCATCAGTGAAAATAATGATATAGCCAATCAGAGCGTCGATACGTCGTCTTTCATTAGCGAAAAAGAATCGTGTGAACAATCAGCTGGCTTCTCTAGCGCGAAGAGACTATTTTTATCTCAATGCTTTTTGGTGTGTAAATCTTGGTATGTATATAATAACGTCGATTTATTGGTAAGAACCAAATTTACAATGAAAACAGTTTGGACTTATAAAAAAAAAGATAATTGGAACCTTTAAAATCATCGTTTTGAAAACAAAATTTTTTGGCGTCAGCAGTAAGTCTCCAGCATACCTCCCTTCTTTTCAAACTTGACCTCTTTACGGCCACAGGGACAAAGCCCTCTGGTTGAGCTGTGACGTAAGCCCGACCATTGGTCAAAACAGCACGTGACAAAAATAAGCTATGGGAAAATTAAAAACAAACCCCTAATGACGTAGTTGTTCAAACCCTACCCACTCCTAATATTTGGACGCACCACCCAAAATTAGGCCAGTCCCCGGGCTGCACCCGGATACTCGCCTTGAAAGTGCGTCAACCCATCTTGCCCCAGGCTGGCTTCAGGGCGAGGGATACCTTCCTTCAAGTGTCTGTGAGACACAGACTTGGTACGAGCCATAGCTAACAAGATTGGACGTTTCAGTCTCGTAATCTTCAGAAATTTTACGCTTTTCTCGTGATCTCCTGTGACAAAACCGATTTTATAACAAGCGCTCAACGATCCGATTGGTTATCCAAAGTTTGCTTGTGATTGGCTGCGGTGAATTTCTTTGTTCGGGTACTCTTTTTTTTTCCGAGGATGAGGCGGAAAGTAAATTTTAGTAAACTCTGACCTGCAATTTTTCTCAAAACTGCCCTCGGTTTTCAGTCGCTCGCTTTCAGTGAGTACTCTCGAAAAAGTAATAAACTAATTAGTGAGTGAGTGAGTGAGACTGAATTTGACCATGGATTACTTTGAAGGTTGTGAGTCATTTTCGCTATCCTTTAGCGTGGCCGTGTAGATAAGTGATAATGGTATTCATAAGTCGGCATTTGGCCTGGCTTTCTTGTCAATTGGAAATGTGACGTTTCCCGAGAGGTCCAGCCACACATCTCAAGTTTTGTTCAGGGCCGACAACAATTGCATTCGTAACATTCGAAAAAAAAAAAAACAAATCATGTCTGGACGCGGCAAAGGAGGTAAAAGGGCTTGGAAAAGGAGGCGCCAAGCGTCATCGAAAGATTCTGCGAGACAACATCCAGGGAATCACCAAGCCAGCAATCCGACGTCTGGCTCGCCGCGGTGGTGTCAAGCGTATTTCCGGGCTCATTTACGAAGAGACCCGCGGAGTCCTCAGAGTCTTCCTGGAAAACGTTATCCGTGATGCTGTGACTTACACCGAACACGCCAAACGGAAGACCGTTACCGCAATGGATGTGGTCTACGCCCTTAAACGCCAAGGCCGTACCCTATACGGTTTTGGCGGGTAGAGAATCACGGAAACCTCAGAGAACTGATAAACGGCTCCTTTAGGAGCCACCACCTCATGCGAAAGTCGTGATCAGCCACAGTGATGGTCAAACCCTGTGTTTGAACAACGAGTCAAGGGGCGATATTTTTCTGCTCTCAACGTTTCTCCTAATCCTTGTGTTAGCGTTAATGCAGTGTAACTCGAGTCGCTTGTCGTGGTGTGCCAAATAGTCTCTCGTTCCAACAGGGAACTGGGATGGCAGGAAATAGGAAGTAGTAAATTGGAGTTTCAAAAGCCATGCAAAGCTGGGTTCAGCGAACGTTCTACTCAAATTCTATTACGTTTCCACGCAATGGAACCACGCGTGATCGCACCGTTCTCCAAG